TCCAGGGTGGAAGAACTGTCCGTCGAGCTCCCTCAGGGAATAAAATACTCTGGCAGGGCTTCACGGCGTGAGACGAGTTTCCACACGAGACAACTCAAACGTCATGGTGTTGCCGACACGGGTAGCTTGAAGGAATTAAGCCGCCTTTAGAGTTCGAAGATCTCCTCCTTGTGCCTTCCAGGGTGCCCAACAAAAGGCCAGGCGAAAGGGATAAGCTTGCAGGAGGTTGAGGGATTTGGCAAATCATGTCGCCTAGATTGACCATTTGATGTACAAAGGTCAAAGCTCGTACCAATCAGCCATTTGTCGATTGCATTGATCATGGTTATCTGCCGAAGCTTTTGAAAGCTGCGACGGAGAATTGATAACCAAAGATGCTATGGCCATTGGATGGTTTTTCATAGAAGTCTGGCCGACTGGCTGAGGCACCTAACAAAGCTCTCAAAGATTCAGCATTTTAACGATCGAGTATTTGGTGAAATTATATCAGGAGATTCGTCATCGTGATCGAGCGATGTCGGGAGAACGCCTTCCCCGCCTCTCGCTTCCACATTCGCCGCCCGTGGATACGCTAGCATTTTCTGCTTCGGCTTGCCCAACTGGGTTAAACTGGCGATCTGGTAGGTTTCCGCTTGGAAGTGCTTGGTGATAAGCTTCACTTTTGCTTTCTAATTTGTCGGGATGATGTAGCGAATGCATGTGAGGTCTTTGCCCGAGGTGTACGTAACTCGAAGTTTCGTTGGAAGACAATATAGTGACACATCCCAGCTTAAAAACAATGTCTCGAGTCTCCCGTGATGAGACTGCTTCTGGAGCCTTGATTCTATTCTAGCATTCAAGTAGCCCGGCATGTGGTCAAGCAACGCCACTTGGTGGTAAGCGAGGCCAATGATGGCTGAGACAGAAGCCGCATCACGACCAGCATCACATGCCAGCTCACTCCCCGACTTGACCGGCACAATCAGGCTGAGAGTCATGCTTCAAGAGGGTTCTTCCACCTCCTCATTGAGTGGTCCTCGCAAACGTCCTGATGGAGAAGCCATAATGTCGCGATAGGCTGCGAGCTTGAGCATCTGGGGATGCAAGCAGATCCATTGGTACGCCGCTCGACCTCGATATAGATCGGTTGACTAGCGTTCCCAAAGAATTGTGAATGAAGAAATCCGTCTCGGATAGGGCTCCCTTCTGCTCGACTTTGTGTTTGCACGAGTAGAAAGGGGAGGACTGCGGTAGGTCCCTGCGTCGTTTATCTTCAGAGATGTATCGATCAGGGGAAGTCATTCCTATATCGAATACTCCACATGAGGATGGTGGTAGCATCTGGTTTGTAATTCACGGACGACCCTACGAATGAATGTGGATTCTATGTTAAGGACAACAATGGAGTTCTGAATCGCTTCGATGAGGATGAACCGCCATTCTGTCAAGTCAGCTCAAGATTTTCAGTGCGGGAGGATAGATAAGTTGCTATCGAGGCGATGCAGGGCCATTCTCGTCGATGTCTACTCCGTAGTGGGCAGGTGGATAGACTGTCTCTTTTTCAAGAATTGTAGACGTTATGGTTATAGCGAGGTTGTGGAAAGACTCTCTGAACGAGACTGGCGACCTTGTTCTCGAGACTAAGGCTCTTGGAGAGCGTCATTGCTGGCATACTGGTTAGATTTGGACCCTACAACAGATGGCGGACACGGGGCCTGCTTGAAGGAGCCCTCAAGTCTTTCCCCTGCTCAAACAGGATTTGTTGAACGGTGCTGTCCGTTGCAACTGACCACGACTGGTGCCGTGCCGCCACTCACTGCTTGGTATTTGATGCAAAATTCCACATAGGACCAAAAAAGGCGATTTTGTGGCTGACATTCAGCAAGGTCCTTTCTGTTCAACTCGCCTCAAGAGAAGGAGAAACAGGAAACAAATACTGGAATTTTCTCCCGAGCAGCAGCGCAAGTCTATGGCAAGAATAAGAGACGTCGCATCGCTGGGATCAAAAACCTACCTCTGTAACTTTTCCAGGCAAGGACTTAGAAGTCAACTCGAAAACTCAGAATTCCGTATTCCACCTTCGGGAATTGATAATCTGAGACCTTGGCGCTCGAGTCATAGACATAGAGCGGCCTCCTAGGTTTCTTTTGACCATGTGATATGCCTTAGCTGCAGGGGGAAAGCTCTCCACGTTGCAATTAGCCTTTTGCCTCCCTCTTCCCTCGCTTTATAGGTTAAGCACGTGGCCAGTCGTACAGTGGATGGCGAAGCCTCTGGCACATAAAAACGAGCCTCACCACGGCAGAAAAGGCGGTCAAAGTGCAAGCGAGGGCCGGTGCAGGTTCAATGCATTGAACATGCATTGCTTGAACTGTGACTTTCGAAAAAGAGTTGTGCAAAGAAAGCGGAGTAGGCGTCGGCTTCATTCTCGGTCTTACCTTCGCTTGGTGCTCTCAATATTCGAGTAAGTGATTAAGTCTCTTTGAACGTGGGTAAGGAAGCGATCAAGAAGATTGTGATGGCTTTCAATTTGGCGTAGATTGTCAGACTTAATGTACAGGGTACCTGGGCAGGGAGGTTGTCTGCTGCCTGAATGTGAAGGGAGGCTGGGACACCTCTACAGAGAGGCATCACCGCTTGTCATGCATCACCAGGGTCGCCGGTCTGGTTTGCCCATGCCCGTTGTCCCTTGTTAACCAGGAACCTGCCCTGATCCCCCCCCTGCTTGGTTGATCGACCCCCTAGCGAATGCGTCACTCTAGGCTTCATACTAGATACTAGACTTCTAGCTTCGATATCGTACACTTGCATTTCATCTGTCCAAGAACGATCCTTTCAATCATACCTTGGCGGTCTTTCGGCCGATGTTGGTCGTGACAAGTACAGTCTGTTTCTTACCGACTGCGCCGTGTTTGGTATTCGAGTTCAAGACTGAACCGGCACAGGGCACACCTGGTTTTGTCATACATCACATCACCTCCCTCTGTCCCCGTAGCTTCGTATCTCCATTAGATAATTGAAAACCATGCCACCAATGCTGGATGACGAAACCCTTGATCGCCATGTCTCATTCCATGATCCTCAGGAAACATCATAATGCATTAGAATAGTCGCCTGCTTCCACCAATGAAAAACACCCCGTTAATCCTCCACGTCTGGATTAGCCACGAATAGCCTAACCCCGGTGCCCATACTCATTGTCCTCTCATCCACACTTCCTCGCCGCCGTAGATCCTCTGCCTTCTTAGCCTGCGCCATGGCCTGTTCCACTGAACTTGGCCCTGACAATTCCTTCAATTCACCGAATGATTCCTCACTGTCGGCTGGGGCCGATTTGTCATGGTCATTATGATGGTGGTTCTTGTCGTTCGCATTGGAATTCCCTGTTTCTGGGTCTTCTGGGATGCTTTGACCCGATGAGCCTTCATTCGGGGGGGTGCTTGTACTGCTGAATCGCCCTGCGTCAGGTCTGGGGTAGCCACTGCGGTATTGTGCACTGTTGGTGCTGCTTCTGCCGCTCCCGGATCGACCATGCATCATACTGTTGTCACCCGTACTGAGGCCTTCTTCCTCATCTCCGAGCATTTCGTTTGCACTCAGTCGTATCGGGACTGAAGCTCCGGTCATGTTGGCGGGAACATAACCTGGGGCTTTGGGAACACCTCCATGTCTGATCTTACCAACTACTCCACCTGAACTGATTGTACTCGTCCGTCCTGCTGAATTGTAGCCTTGTACTTCTAGAGCGGCACGTTGTTTTGCCGCCTTTTGTGCTGCTACTATCCTTGGATCGATGTTTTGAGCTCGATCGCACCACACGGTAGCCTTCTGTTTTCGCATCAATGCCACGTATGAGATAGGGCTGTTGGTAGAGGTCGAGCGACCCGAGGTCGAACGACGAGGAAGATTTGCGGTTGAGGCGCCTGTCCCTTGTCTATGCATGCTCATGGCGTTTGAGGTGGAAGATTGGCGGGAGTGTGAAGATGAGGGTACGCGGGAATGTCCGGTGCTGGGATGCGACGGAGAGGAGGTAGAAGCAAGAATTGGAGCGAGAGGTATCGTGGTTGAGGAGATGGTTCGAGAATGCTGATGATTGCTCACAGTACGCGCTGGCGCTCCTTGAGGGCTTGCGGATACACTGTGTGATTTTCGTTCTGGTCGACTAAAACCGCCCGGAGGCGCCGATACCGCCGACCGGACGGGGCGAGAAGGGAAAGATGGGGTTGGGGCGGAAGAAGGTGTGTAGTGGTAGGAGACTGTCGGATCTGGGATAGAGGTCCCAGCAACTGTCAACACGCTCATCGAGACGTGTGTGCTGTGAAGCTAAGGTTCGAAATCGAAACAGAAGGGCCAAGCTGGAAGTGAAGGAGAAGAGGGCTGAAGTTCTTTCGGCTTCAGGCTAGGTGGAGACACCGGGCTGCGAGTCAAAGTCCACTATGGAGGTATTTCGTCGGTACAGTTGCCCCCGACACAAAAACTCTGCAGACCTGGGACAGGTTGTATATTCTGTGTGATGAGATCTGGTCGCAATCTTTATCTGTGTGGTAAGGCCTTGAGGGCACAAAGGGTGTAAATGTCGTTTGAAGCTGGACCGCCCGACCAAGGTTGGAGCATGCGCCGAAACAAAGCTGACGGGACGCAATGGTAACTAAGTAGGATGTCTCGTCTCGTATTACTAGCCCGCTTTAGGATACGCGATTGCTATTATTACTGAGCCTGAGGAAGAAACGCAACGGTGGGCCAATGGCGACGACTCTTCTTGCGGAAAATGGGAGATTTCGTGCGCAGTCGAGTCCGTGCCGTAGGATGTTAGACTTTGGACAAGGAGGCTTGGTTGGATGAGTTTCTGGAAAGTCAACGTGGGAGGAGAGCAGCCTTGCAGAGAGGATGTGGTGGGAATTGACGATGATTTGAAGGACTTGGTGAGACTACCGGATATGTCTTTGAGTAGGCCGTGGGTTAGGGATCCGAGTCAACAGGGATCAGGATGGGACCCGAGGGGTACCGGTACCAGACCCTATGGGTTCAGGATTCAGGAGGGGTATGAGAATCATGGCTTGCATGTTATGAGGCCCGTCACTAGCTTGCTAAACAAACTCGAGCATTCAAGAAGGGGGCCGTTTTTGGGCGCAGTTTTCGGGCGCAGTTTGGCTTACTGTCATGGCTTTCCACTGCCAGTGGCTCCTCCTCTTCCTCTTTCAACACACTCTTGGTCCCTGCTTGCCCGTGACCCGCCGCATGGAGCAGAAAATGGCGGTCAAGAGACTAAATGTTAACGGGGCATCTATCCTGAGCCTCCAGTTCGCCCACCAAGCGATAATGATGAAAGATAGTGGAACGATTTCCATCCCACGCGGCCTGGGGACCAGCTGATGAACCTGGCGCTAATCCACCACTACGGGGTCAAGCGAGCTCCGAAACCCCGATCCAGCCACTACCACTTCATCCTATGATTCATTTTTCGCAAGCTCATAGGATACTTGAGTAACATCCCAAAGTTAAAAATACGAACGCTCAAACACGAGATGTTGGTTCGACTCGCTCAATTGAGACATTTATTTATTGCTACTGTCACCTACAACCTTCAATTGATACTACACCTCACGCTGTTCTTCCTCACCAGCATGGCACAGTTCCGTCACCACCTAGTTCTCCATGCTAGTCAAGTGAGACGGACTCCTGCATGAGATGACAAACTCCCGCCATGAGCTGCTCCTACTGTACGACTGTGTATACATGAGTCTCGGGTCTCCTGATCGTGGATCTTCCCTCTCCGGTCTCAGGAGGCCTCATCCGCACTACCTAAAACAAACCAAAATGCTGATCGCAAAATATCTTCCCAACTCCAATTGCGCCTTTGTTCACACGAATAGGGCCAGTGAAAGAACAGCCAATGATGGCACATGATTGGAGCAATCGAGATCAGGTTTGTACAAACGCGGAATCGCTGCAGGCATCAGCCCTGCAAAAGGGGTGCTGTTTCTTGGGCACAACCGTTCCTATACGTCACATCGTTTCGGGTTTGCTCCATTTATCCGATGCGATGTCCTCCACAACCAAGTAACCAGCGCACCTGTGCTACAAAGTGCTCTCGACTCTCCACAGCGGAAACGTCATTCAACCCTTCGGCTTCTGCAGATCATTCTTCAGCAAGTCCACCTTGAATGTAACAATCAAGCAGTTATTAATTTTGCCCAGTTCTTGATCGACTGGAATACCAAATGCCCGGTCGGAGGCTTGAATCATGACTTGTCCCCCGTCACATCATATTCTCGTGCCGCAACTCGATGGATCCGGAAATATCAAGACGGCCTGGATCAGCACGAGACAGATTCTGGGGTATTCTACTCCTCTCATTGAATGATCGAATCATTCCATAGTAATTCGTTTGAAAATATGCGACCTAACGCGTTAGGACCTCACATAACGCGCAAAGATCAACTTTTCATGTGGTTGGTCTGGTCTCCTCGATCGTTAAGAGAGCCTTGACCTGGAAACCAGATGGTAGGTGACTTTTGATCTTGATCGAAGAGGGGGTTCTTTTTATCTTGAGGCCAACGTGGTATTATTGAATACGATGACCTCTTTCTCTCCCAGGTCCCGAACAGAACTGAAAAATTGTCATGTCAGTAAAGGGGTCGGTCTCCATGCGCTCTGCATGTCTCGGTGGGCAATAGGTGGTCAAATCCGGTGCGAGTCCGTCAAGAAAAGGCGTTATATTTTTCTTGTTCGGATACGTCTCGAGAATTTGGAGAGCAAATCATACTTATCACTTGATAGAAGGTGATAGAGCTGAGATCGTCATACCTCACTGACAGGATCTTTTGAGATCCTATTTCACCATCCACGATCGTGATAGGTTGCTTTGCTTTTTTTTTTTTTCCTTTTTCCTTTGTTTTTGGGGGGTGGGGGAAGTGGTGGCTACTGGCCAGCAACACGACTTGATATGATCTGTTGCACAGATGTCACCGACTCCCTTTTCTTGGTTGGAAGGAGAGGGTTTAACCACAACTATTGCTGGCTCGCGGTTCGGAATTGTTTTAGAAGTGTTAGTGCGGATAGATAGGAGTCTGAGACAAATGTCAGCAAAATTCTCCTCCGTCATGTCCCTTTTCCATAGTGTCTCGTTGCCCACCGCATTCTCAAACACCGGTTTTGGATATCTGCCAGAAGCAATACAGAGAAATACACCACTCATACTTGCAGAATAGAGATCAGCGATAAGCGTGGTATCAGTCCAGCTGAGGAGTGTCACTTTTGTATAGGGGCGGGAAAGCAGCAAGGACGAATGGGTTTCAACCTGTGTCGGAGCTGAAGCGAGAGGTACCAAGTGACAGTGGCGAGCCGTGTCGGTGTCGGAGATCGGTACCTGCACCTGCACTGGGCTAGGGGTTGTTTCCAGAAAAGACATTTCATAGGTAAATTGATGGTGAAAGGACAAGATTTTAGAAGCAGACGCAGTGCCAGCGCATCGTCCGGGTTTCGTGGGTCGAACAAGGGCGGCAAGAGGCGGCGTTGTCGGTGAGCTGGTGAGTAACACATGGCTGAGGATCTTCGTGATTTGAGATCGTTTTAGAATCTGATGAAGTTCATCGTTGGTCCAGTTATTTTACTCATACCAAGGCCTGACGTGGCCACTTCTCCGAGGTCAATGGACTAGACGAAGGGCCATGTTCTGCAGCATTTCTGCAGCACCATTTGCATTTGCCATCTGTCCCCGGCGAGTCAGATTCTGCGGAACTGGGGACTTTCTGCTCTCCTTGTCGTACTATATCCCTCAAGTCACCATCGCCACCAGTGTACTCGGTATTGTCGCGTAGGAGGCTAGACGCGTCTGTGGAGCAGCACCCACTATTCAGTTGCAGCACCATTAGCGATTGAATTGCGGTGGAGAGGGTCATTGAGCAAACCAGGCTCCGTGATAGATGATGGACGAGGGCACGCCATATCATTTCCTGTACCAATTACCTCCCCGTGTTGCGCTGTCGCCACAGGTATGGGAATCTGGGGGGATTGAGTCGTGGTCCCTCGCGCACCGCCAGTTTTGTCCAGAGAGTGTTAAGAATCTGGGACTTGCCGGCCCGGAGCGCATTTGAGCGTTGCTAAACTGCGGCTTGACACCGCCTCTGATGGACAATGAGTGGCTCGAGAGGACGCTGAGCTTATGTCAAGAGACCTGTTTAGCCTCGACTAATGCAGCTGTGTATGCATTCGTTGGCAACGTCGTCAGGGCCTGCAAGTCATCCATCGCGGTGTGTGCTGTGTTTGTTCGACTTTTTCTATGTGTGCGCTGTGCTGTGCTCTCGCTGCTGGTGCGCTGGGTTCGCCAGGAAGAGCTGCAGCCCCGAACGAAGGGGACCAAAGAAAAAAAAAAAGTTCCTTTCTTGTCCGCTTCCCGCTTTCCGCTTTACGCGCCGTGATGAGAGAGTCCCATGGGCTTCTCGCATATTCTAGATTTACGTTCGCAGTTGTGGTTCACCTTCGTCGTCGTCGTCGCTGTCGCTGCTGTCGCCGTTGACGTTGCTGGAGGCGAGTGTTGTTGGGTGCGAGTTTCTCCCCCGCATTCTGTGACTCGACACTCAATCCGGTGTCTTGTCACCTAACAACTCACGGCCACTGGCTCTGACGCCTTTGGCTCTCTGGCACTTAACGATTGCGAGAGCGAAAAGCGCCCAAACCACTTAAATTTCTTCCAAAAAAGCCATTCCCAAGGTCGAGCTTGCTTTACCCGGCTGCGCTTTGAGTGCAGCCATCACGGGGGCTCTTCCGGACTCTCAGCAGCTTCAGCCCATTCCGAGTAGAACCACACAAACATCCCACTCGCAGTGTCTACGTCCAAGCCAGAGCGTTCTTCCCACGCCGCTCCTATATTCGCTCCTGCGCCCTCTGCCCTTGCCCAGCGCTGTCCGTAACAGACCGAGTGCTACGGCGCCAATGTAAAGGGTCTTGCAGCTACTCTCCTGCACCTCAAATCCCATCCTGGCCGCCGTACATGAGTCGACGACGAACGCGCTCTGGAATGGAACTCTCCAGCGTATGACACAACTATCTAGGGCCACCGGTGTCGTGGATGGTCAAGGTCAAGGTTGGTCATCTATCCTTCTCTCTCTCTTCTCCCCCCCCCGGGGATGTCCAATTCTGCTGATACATTGTCACTGCAGCAGGCCCGTCGACTCTGCCACCGCCACCGCCATATTCCGACGACAATGCGCAAGATCATGCCAAATCTATGTCCGGCCCTGAACTTCCCGAGCGTACCTCGCAGGGTCCCCCGCAGGTCAAAAGTTCTTCTCAGGGGACTCCCATTACACATGGAGTGCCAGAAGGTCAAGCAGAGGAGCAGCAATTAGATGGATCACGGTTAAGAGCTACGAGAAGACTGACGGGCAACTTGAGGGGGAATCTTCCGCATGTTAACCTGGCACATCGAGAGATCCCGTTCGCACATTTGCGTGTTCATTTTGAAGAGTTTGCCGCACAACTGCGGCTGCACCGACACCATGAATATCGAAAACGAATGCTCTCTCATCGACGAAATCACCTTCAAAATGCCGTGGCTCTGTCTGCTCGGTTGTACAGAGTGGGATCTTGGGTCCACGATGGACTGGTCGAAATTTCTCAGCAAGCAGATGCAAATGGCTTTACACGAGTGCATCAGCACATGCAAGATCTGGTGGATCTGTGTTATTCCCAATGGAATCATGAAATTCATGCCTTGGACGGAACTTATACTCCGAAACCGCCTACAAAGCATTCATTTCTGTCGAAACTACCCGCGGCGTCTCAAGAAGATTGTCTTGAATTAATTCAGACCCTCCGCAGCAACCCCCGGTTTTTGGTGGAAAGATTCAAGGCAATGTCTCCCGCACAGATATCGGCTCTATCGACCTTCCCGAAGTTCCAAGAACTTTCCGAATCGGTGTTGACTTCCTTGTCACAAAATCGAGGACGAGCTTCCCAGAAAAAGCGAATTAAAGCCTACTCCAAAGATCTCGAGGACTATGCTTCATCTTTTGAACGGTCGAATCCCTTGACCTTCCTTCTCTACAATGTTTATGGACCGTTCCAGGGTGTCCAAAGCTATGAAAGCCAGCTGCGATTTTCCACTTGGTCTACAATTTGTTCGAGCTTGATGATGGAATCAGAACAGGCCTTTTACGCCATAATCGGGCAGGTCTTAAGTGCATTTGCGAATTTGCATGAGTGGCCAATAAAAGATCGACTGGAACTATTTTTGATGAGAACTCTGCAGAGAGGTGCATTCCTGCTTGATCTGGTGGAGAATTCAGCGGCGAGCCCGCATTCTGATCTCAGTTTTTACGATCCGTTCAGCACCCCACAAGCTCAGGACTTTTTCGACGAGGCCGTCAAGGAACTCTTCGAAATACTGGGTTGCGACGGAGGTATACCTACGGGTGCTCTTCATCTGGGTCGTGTCATTATTGGAAAATTTCCGACAGTCGATATTCAGAGTCAGTTTCGTGGTCACTTCTTTTATCAATGGTTCATGCGCGATTTTTTAAGAATCGCGATCGCATATCCAGAGGCGAGTCCCTCCTGTCTCTCTAGTGAATCGACTGACCTTCGAAAAAGGATGAGAAAATGCTTCTACAGTTCCATATCAGTGATAAAGCAAGGTCACATTTGCTGCAGAAACTATGGGACCGCGCCTATGCTCAGGCGAGTGATGTTTTCAACCCAATGTAAGATTTTGTATGTTTCCATTGTATTGGCCTGATCCTGACCACCTCTTAGGCTTGCGGAATCGATCGATCGAGATGTACAAGCTTGTGTGATTGCCATGATCAGCAAACTGGACGCCGAAGACCAGTGTTTCGATCCGTATCAAGCCAACAAATCTGAAAATGTCATTTTGACATCCTCCAGCCCGACCTGCCTCTCAATCTGTGCAGCAGATATTGCCCATGTTCTCGAAGCGCTCAGCCCGCAGTTTATTCACACGTCAAGCCCGTGGGACTCTTTTCTCAGCTCCGCTCATGCCACCTTCAACATGCAATATGGTCGTGCAAGCGGTAAATTTGACAAGTTGAGACGACGAATATTGGACGTTATCGAACCCGGCCATTCTTCCAAGAATATACACCCTTGTCAAGAGCATTGGGCTCCGCTTACAATTTCAAGGGAAGGAAAACTAACGGCCTCGACGACGAATGTGCCCAATGAGACCGACACGAAGATCGAAACGCTAGAAGGTCTTCATCTGGCCGAAGAAGCTGCTCTGCGCTTGGTTGAAGGACCGAACTCTTCCTTGGATGGGCAGTCTTTCGATCCCGTCCAGGTTTCCCGTCTCAACGAGCGTAGTCTGTCCGACATGTTCACAGCAGAAGCAAAGGCGGCTCAGATAAAGACCGACAGTATTTCGTCCATGTACTGGCAGAATGCACGGGCCTTTTTACAAGTCCATTTCCCTCTCTCAGTATTGGCAAAGGACGACACTAAAATCCTTGGACCTCTGACCGAGAGATTGATACGATGTCGATTGCTACTTGCGGACGAATGCCTTCAAGTAGAGCAAGAGGTGGCCGAATTAGAGGCTGTCAACAATCTTGCAAGAGCGAAGATATCCAAGCTTTCCGGATGGCTGGACAAACTCCGAATCAAACTCTGGTACAAAATGGACGTGGTAAGCTCGAATGACTATGAAGATGCAAAGAACGTGGCTACGGCCTTGAATAACATGGCATTACCTACGTTACAAGGATATGCGCCGGTCGAGGCGAGAGGAGTTTCACCAGCACCCAGCCGTCCGAGCACCGCAGGCACATCTGCTTCGTCCGTGTTCGATCAGCCGAGACATGACACCATGAGTATTCTGAAAGCACCTGCAGAACACGGCGGCCCAAGAAAACTGTCTGATTCTCAAATCGAAATGACCAAAAAATGGCTGGATCGGAATCACCTCGAGAACTTTTGCAAGGGTGAAGAAAGGATCCATCGATTCTGCATGGAGGTCAGAATTGCAACGAGGAAACTTGTCGGGGAGACTCTCAGCGACAGCCCTGTGCTCTGGTCCAGCGATCTTTTTACTCGGGAGAGGAACCTGTACGACGTCCATGCGAGCAACGCCTTTAGTGCTCAGCCGAGTACAAGGGCTGCTAGCGTCTGGAGTGAACCACTTTCATCAAGCTCATTTCCGTCTCGGTCCGGGTTTGCCGGATCCAGGTCGTCTTTCTACAGTCAAGGGTCCAGCCGGCTCGGACGCGACATATTAGGAAGTGATCTGGGGTCATTGATCAGTTCACCAGGCCGGGCGACGACGGTGACGACTTTGGAGTCAGGAAGCAGCTTATGGTCACCTCCCCAATCGAATTCAAGATCCGTCACGACGGCTTCCGTGCAATCGAGGCCCGCATCCCTTTTCGAAGATCTCGGGTTGAATCGACCGACGGATTATAGCCAGGACAAAATAAATTTTCTGGATGGTCTGCAGCAGGATTTGACCTGTCTGTTACTTTCGGATCTCGGATGCCCGGTCTGGAGCCGCGGGAGTGAAACGGATGCCTGGATGGATTCTCTACGGGAGTCCTCCAGTATTTCTGAGCGATTAGAGCAGCGAGCTGTCATGGAACGGCTGCTTCCGAGTGCCGACAAGCAAAGCCCTGCCGCACCGTCTGCTTCCAGGAGCGGGAAGACACTGAAACAGCGGAGCCAAAGCGCGGCTCCGAGCGGACGCGGATCGGTCACGCATGACCCAGCCTCAAATGCCCATCCAATCAAAATGTTACTCACCAATGGAGGTACACAGGTGGACACTGAGGGCTTCTCATATATGAGCGCGTTCGCCGACATTCTGTCCCGGGTTTCTGAACACGTGGATCCCAACTTGAAGCTCAAGGCAATCCATGATTTCAAGAATTTGTCGCAGAACTTTCAACAAAGCCTGCAAGTGTTATTCTCCCCTGCACACAACGCGGGCCCACAAGAACAGTCGAATACGGAGGAGTCTCCGCGGCGTCGCAGTCTCAATCCCAGCGCCCTCTCGGCGAATCTTAGTCGGCGGGAGCGTCACAACAAGACGAACTCCCGGGAAAGGAGAGAACTGCGTAGCGATGAAAATAATCTGGTGGAGCTGCTGAAAGGACTTCTCTTTGTTCTTCAACCTAAGACGATCTTCCGCGACCTACAGTACATCGCCACCTTTGTTTCTTCTCATACGTTGGACAACACCGAGATGGGACGAGCTTTCCTCCAGGTGGGACTAGCAGCGTTGGCTTGGAAGGATGAGGTCTGTCGTGGTATGGTGGATGTAGCCGATCGCATTGTGGCGAAAGACTCTATCAAAAGAGGGAAACGGGGAGGAGATGGTAAAGAAACCTCGATTCTGAAGGCCATGGAATACTGGATGATTGCGGCTCGGGAAGGGAATGCGATTGCCCAGAGAGAGCTGGCGAGTCTTTACCTGACGCATCCGGATGTGCCACCGATTGTCAGTCTGCCTCTGACTCTTTCGTCGGAAATTTTCAAAAGCGACATGATGTGGGAAGAACTAGAGGGGTCGCGGCGGAGTCGTCAAGCGCTGTGTCTGGCTCTACATTGGATGCAACAGGCGGCGGAAAACGGAGACCAGGTCGCGCAAATCAAATTGAAGGAGCGCCGGGCGAGTCGTTCAATTCGATAAGTGCATTGTTTTTATTACCACGACTACTTTTTGAGCGAAGTGAGCAGCGAAAAGGCGTGGAACGGGGTCTCGGGGAGGGAGAATGAGAGCGAGGGGGGAAATATGAGATATCTTCTTCTGATGACTTCCAGGGTGGCTGCAATTTTGGGCCGAGATTCTATGAGCCCAGGGTACGGAGTCTGTTTTTGTTTTCCCTCCTGGATGTGTGGCAAATTAGTGATACACGTGTACTTGCTATGGGAGGCAGACTGCTATTTGATGGTGAAGGACAAGCACAATATGCATTAGGATATAAGCAGAGAGAGAGAGAGAGAGGGAGAGAAAGAATCGGGATTCATCTGCGGCCCCCGTTCTTTCTTTCCTTTTTTTTTTTTTTTTTTTTTTTCCCCACTCTCTTCAATGGTGTTGTGTTTGATGGAAACAAATTGAGGAATTGACTCAGATTGTGCCATGTGTTGTGGAATGAGTTGTCAGGTAGAAAAATCTGTCGGCACTGAGAACTAACCCTACCAGGAGAGTAGTTTCATGTAGTATGTCAGCGATCAGGCAATGATCCAATGATCTAGGTGGAAAGCCGAGCAGATCAGGTGGTACTGCATGTTCTCGTGGACGAATCATGAAGAATGGTCCGAATCAGGCGTGGTGCATCTGCATAAACTTAAGGCACAGGAAGAAAAGTAATAGATGCAAAGGAACGAGTGGCCTTCTGTCCGGACGGGGAAACTGTCAAGGGGTGAATGATGCTAAGAGGTGAAATGGATGCTTCGAAGGGGAGAAAAATTCTTGATAGGGGCCCGGAGAGAGGGCTGCCAGGAGCGCAGGCTGAACATTGAAGCTGTCGCAGGAGAATGATAGAGGCTGTAGGATACATATGCTATGAGGTGGATACTTCCGTACTTCAGTCTACAATATCAAATCGATGTCCGGGTACCTAGGCAGCTAGATGTCTATACTGGGTACTTCGGAGAACGGGCTTCCTTTAGGTGACGTCGATGGCCAAGGTATCGGCATTGCTACTAGTACGAGCTAACAAAGGCTAGTACTGCTAGCAGAAAATGTCGAGGGTTAGTTCTTATGATTCACACTAACTAGGACTCCGAGCTCCATGAAAATCCTAGTTAGCAGAACATATTGATACCGCTAGTATCACTAAAGCCACTTAGCTGTAACAGTACCTTTTTTCGGAGTCTGTTTCAGCCTCCCACATGCCTTTCCATCTCCCCATCTCTTTCGTCTTCCCGCACTTCTGTGCAGCATATTTCCATCATCCATGCCATCATAACCACCGCCACCACTTGTTTCCACTGCCAGGTGCCCTTCTGGCAGAGAACTTCTTATTCCCTTTTCACTCTCCTTCCTGAACAACAACCACGACCATAACAAATCATCACCAACCGTCACAAGACTGTCTCGTGAATCATCCCTTGCCGTTGTCCTGGTGATTCCATCCTGCCTGTCACATTACTTCTACTACTGCACCTCGTATCCACTTCGAATATCCACACCTACCGTCGACCCGTCTACAACTTCCACTTCTTCCACCACTCTCTGTCACCTTCCTCACCTCCTTCGCTCCAGCCATCTATCTCTCCTCATACTAATCATCCTTCGCAGCCGTGCTGGTCACTCGGTCACTCGGTCACTCTCCTTCTCCGCCTGACTGGCGCTACGTTCTCTCCAGTCTTGACGGGTCCCGTCCCGTCCACCACGTCCCGCGCCTTCATCCCGCTACTCCTTTCACCGACCTGGGATATACGCAACTCTCTCATTTTCATCGTCATTCCCGACTGGGATTTTCTTCGACATCATCTCGATCAAAAATGCCAGTCGAAGTCCGTCATTCGCCTCCATCCTTGCACCAGCCTGGTTCAGGTAACATTCGACCCAAGGGTACGTTTTCAGTGATTCAAACCTCCAAGCCATTTCCTGATTCTGACCCTTCCCCAGGCATCTTAAAGAACCCATCTTTCTCTACAAGCGGTCGACCAGGCTCTCCTACCAAAGACGAATTCCAATTCCCCCCCTGGGCACCCCTAGATCCCAAGGAAGAAAGAGAGTTGGTTTTGCAAAACACCCTACAAAATGCCGGTCATCGCCGCTCCTCCTCTGCTGCCAGACGAGCTTCTGCCTCTCGACGCCATTCTTCCGCCATGGCCGCCAACGTCGACGAGGACCCGGAAAAGATGCGTCTCAAGTGGGATGAGGCAAATTTATACCTGGCCGAACAAGAATCTGGAGGTCGTATGAAAATCACGGAACCAAAAACCCCCTACCAATATGGCGATGCCATGGAGGAAGATGATGAAGATGACGTCGCTATCGACCCCCGTTTTGTCAACGTTGATGAAGTCGATCTGGCTAAGAGCAAGCCGCACAAAAGGCATCGTGAGAGCGAAATTCCTGGTTTAGAGCTGGGTGAACCAGAGGACGAATTGGCCACAGGTGCCCACTTCGAAGACGATCGAATTGTGCAAGGAACCAGTCTGTCTCGCGAGAGTAGCAAGGAAAAACATGTGAGTGTCAGCGATGGTAGTGAAGCCGATGGGTTCAGAGAACAAGTTGGCATGCCGACCAGAGAAGAACAAGAGAAGCATCGACAATTTGAGGAACGGCGAAAGAAGCATTACGAGATGAAGGACATCAAAGGGCTACTTGGGTAAGTTTCAAAGCTCTGTCCTATCAATTTCCCTGTCTCCTACCCAGCCGGAAGCAGAAGAAGGCTATATGCGGGGTACTGATGAGTTTACACGACAGTCATCCGGAAGAACTGGATATGGAAGACGACGAAGAACCACCTGTCCCTGCAGCAATACCTCGAGATCTTCCAGAACGATCCGTCAACGGCACTCGCTAAGATATTTCCTTCCGCTCCACCACTTGGACGATACACTCATGTCACAAGTCAGGCAATTTTCAAAGCGCCAACACCAGTATCATACATTTACTTGTTACAACCTCCCGGGATGCAAGGCTTCGTGGCATACGCAAGGCATAAGACACGGTGGGGAATCGGAGTTGAAAACTATTCAGTTATACGATCTCTAAAAGTGCGCATCGAGTACGAAATGAGATCTCATTTCCTTTGTTCCGACATTGTCACGACCTCGTTTGAATTACTAGCATGACATGACCAACCCACAGTTACAATTACAATCATCAATCGACGAACGTCAAATTGAACCTAATTCCATCTTGACACGTCTAGTTTCCCTGGTTCCCTTCCCACCTTTTTATTCTTCTCCTTTTCCAATGCGTGACCGATAACCATGAATATTCACATTCCGTCGACTTTACTTTTATGATGGATGATGGACAACAACGAGTGGAAGAGGGTGCATGAATGCGATCATAGCTATCAGTCTTCATTTTACATTGTGCTGTTGAGCCGTGTTGTAGAGTTTTTTCCATTGAAATCACGCTCGCACATATACATAAGTTTGAAGGGGGTTGGGGGGAGGGGATTTTCATCTCCTCGCCTCTGTTCCCCTGTCCCTTTTTGCTCCCGGGAGCGGAGTCAGGCAGAGTGACCTTGATTGACAAAGAACAAGCTGATAGCACCAACAGGGGCCTAGTATCGACCGACATGTGGCCAGCTAGTGCCGTCAAAAATGTCAAGAGTGGCAGTGTTCTTGAAGCTCAATTGTATGAGTTTTGGCAGCTGAGATTCAAACAGTGACTACTCACCACCTTCACAGGGATACTACACAGAGCACAGTCTGAACGTTCTCGTAGTCTAGTACGATATGATATTGAGGAACGTATTCAGAACTTCCCTGTGATCCTCTCAATTCACTCTTAATTGAGCTTCGTCAGGACTCGGCGTTAGGCATCTGTTTGATATCCTGACGCCAATACCATGGGGACACGACATCCATATTCAGCGCACCCACAATCGCCCCAGTATCAGACTCTGCACAATATCCTCATTGCACAAAACCTTGACATTTCTTTGCTCTGCTTGTGTTTGGGGTAGTGGTGGATGCTGCTCCATCTCTATCCTGGACTTTTTCCCGCTCTTCTCGCTTGGAGGAGGTGAAAACATGGCCCTCGCTGCTTGGATGTCCCGATCATCTACGAGAACGTAATCAACCGTGTCGCCTTCGCAATCACCTTCATCATCACCATTCACTCTTGATTTGTCCAATGCCGCCTTTGCAGAACCAAGGTCGGGTTCCACCACAACCGTTTGGGCGCCCAAGGCGCGAATGAGGAACATAAACACGGGTCGGCGTGCATCGGCCCTGCCTCGTCCTGACACAACAGCCACGCGTGACCCTTGCAGCATCTGCAGTCTTGAAGAAATCATTTCCTCGACTTTCACGAGCGTGGAATATTGAGAGACAGGTAGAATTCTCGATCGTGTAGCACCATCAAGTTCGGCACTCTCACCTGCGGGAAGCAGGTAAGTCTTCCAGTCTACGATCCCGTTCGCGTTAATACAGGCTTCCGCCCACTTTCCACTGAGACACGGGATCCCAAGGGCAAGAGCTTGCATGTATTTCTCTTTTCGTGAATGACGTTCGGTGAGGAGGGCGGTAAAATAGAGATCCGAGAATTGTGATCTCAACTCTGTTGAATCTGTTTCAAAGAGATCCAGGAACGATTCTTTCAAGACAAGACCGCCGTTGCTTTGGATGAGGCTAGCAAGTTTATTTTTGCGCCAGCTGTCTTCATAAGATATTGCAAAAGCCATGTTCGCGAATATGCCCTCGGGTGAGACATTCGGGATAGTGGTCGGGCCTGAAGCCAACGGTGCAGTTATTGTTGCACCTCGACGACTTCGCGAAGGTGGCGTACTCGGAGCAGAGGCTGGGTCAAGAGGTGTCGAAATACCGGATAATAATGCTTCATGAATGGATGGCTTGTATTCATAGACCCGATTCTTCATCTGTCCCCACATGTTGTTGTCCAAATAAATTGACGAGACTGGTACCTTTTTCACACAGTTGGTTGACATATCCGCTGGTAGACTTTTACGCTGCTTCGGTGCGACAAGCAAAGTCTTGAAGCCCTGAACGTCAGTGATGGTATGCCTGTCAGAATCGGCATTGCCCTGCACGATCTTATCTTTGAAGCCTCGAATGATGTAAGATACCTTGGGGACGCCTTCCATGTTTACTTTCACCTGATCTCCGATACGTAAGTCTAAGCTTCGTATACCATGCTCGTCGATTTCGTCAGGTTCATATCCCTCCCACTGGATTGAGAACCGGCCTTCATTCTTGGTCGAAGGACCCAGACACCGGGCGGGATAATATGCGCGAGTCTTGCCATTAAAACAGGCAAATACCATGTTCGGAGCCGTGACGGTCCTGGTAGAAACACGAGCTTCTTCTTTCCCTGACTCTGATTTCGCAAGTTCGCTCAGAGTGATGGGATCGGGGCTATCACGTTGTTCATCCCCGCCAGGATCGGCAAGCAATGACGTCTTCGATGAAAGTTTTCCCTTCGTGGGCTTGGGGCGTTTCGTGACAGCAATAGTGTTCCCGTTCTGCGGCTGTTCAAAATCGTTCGCTTTTCGTTTCAGCGCAGGTTTGATTACTGGCACAGATTTTGGGGGCGGAGACACGTCAAGATCCCATGTGGAAATTCGAGATGCAGAGTAAACAGGTTGAGTCTGATATTTGGAAGCGGCGGGAAGTTTGGATGTGGGTTTCCTCTCTCGCCGCGGATACGACGAGAGGATAGACTCAATACGATTATTTCCTAGGACTTGGGCGACGCGACTGATGGTGTTCTGAGCTTCTTGATGTTCTGAGGGCCCATTTGTGCCCGACATCTGACCTGCGATTGTTTCTTGATGAGTTTCAGCTAGGCAATATTGCGACCCTGCTTGATTCGCTTCGTCGTAGGCCTCTATGGCAAAAGGCGACCCATCTTTGAAGGGACTCTGAAAATCGGGGTCGAATTGAAGAGCTTCACTAGCATTAAAGCTGGGTTGTGATTTGAAAGGCGAGGGCTCGGCTGCAATTTCGGCCATTCGCTTTCGTCTTCGCCCTGGAGGTGTGGTAATGACAGGAGGACTACTCAAGCCAACAACACTTGGTCGATCGGAATTTGCTCCAGTCGGAAGGCGAGTTTGAGCAATCTCGAATTCACCACGACTGTCAAGCGTCTGTTGCTTGGTTTTAGAGTTTCCTAAGCTATTGCCATTTTGGCCTTCTTCATTTGAGCTTGTCTCAGGAATAGTACTATGCAGAGCTGAAGTGACTGTTGCCTCTTCAGGCACTCGATCACTTTCGCCCTCTTCAGATGTTCTGTTTTCTAGTGGGCCTTCTGAAGAATCCCGATGAGCCGTAATCGTACGCTGAGGAGATGCTGTGGGAGATTGTGGAACAAAATCACTCCCTTCTGCAGAGGTCGATTTCGGAGTCTGTGTAACAGCCTGGCGCTGTTTTAACATCTGTGAAGGCTGAGAATCTGCCACAGCAAAGGGTTCCGAGCTGTACAATGTTGTCAATTGGTTTATATGATTCGATCCACGTCGAGTACTAAGCAACGGACTGTCTTGAACTTGAGGAGGAAGATCGTTCATAATCCGTTGAAGTCTGGCCGTAGTTTCAGGGACTTGACTTCCTCCGTCAGAGAAATTTTCCTTATCTTCTTCGTCTAAAAGCAGTAGACCCTGACTGGACCGTGTGACAGCAATATCGGCGTTGTCTTCTTGTTCGGTTTCCTCCTCACTTTCGCGCCCTGGGCTTGGATGATTGTCATGTGCTGGACTCGAGTGGTCCAGCAATTTGTTAGGGCTCACGGATGGGGCTCTTCTCGGTGAGTCACGGCTCGGTCCTCTAATTGGAGATGATTTTGACAGTGAAACACCTCGCCGTGGATGCTTCGAAGGGGACGAAAGCCGGTCAAAGGCCGCTCGCCTCCTTTTTTCGACTTCTTTTCTCCGACTTGTCGCAATTGAGCCTGGCTCGTCGCCAAATCCGTCGTCGTCATCATCGTCGTTGTCAGTCATCCCTTGTTGCTTCAACTGGGCTTGCCTTTCTCGTTCCATTTGTGACTGTTTTACCGAAATATACCGAGATGCTGGCTCTGTTGAAGCTCTTTTGAACACAGATAGCGGTCGCAGTGGGGAGGGGCTCGCGACGGTAAAAGGACGTGGCTGGAGATCAATATTTGGCGACGGGCGGTCAGACCGCAATTCGCTATTGATATTTTGGATGAAGGGTGAGGTATTTGCCTGTGTTGCGGCAAAGGCCTGGCTCAGACCCATTACATGCGCAGTGCTCTCTACATTGCCTCCCCGTAATGGATTCCGAGGAAGTATTGGGCTGTCCATGACATCTCCGTTGTATTTCCTCTTTTTACCAGCTGCTGCAGGGGTTTTGAAGCACTGAGATTCGGGGAACTGGGGAAGGCCATGCTGTGTCTGAGTAGGCGAGAAATCGACCTGGTCGGAGTCCGCACCTTTCACTTCTTCCCGTGGAGATACGAAGCTGGATATGAGGTCAATATGTCCTTCGTCTCCTTCGTGCAGGGTTGGCTGCGTCTCATCCTCGTGGCCATCCTCTTCTGGCTGCTGATCAACTGCGCTTCGACTCCTATTAAGAATTGACTCAAAATGTGAAGGGGACAGCTCCTGTGTTGCGATGTCACTGGCTTGGCTCATAATTTTCTGCGCCGCAGAAATGGGTTTGCTTGACACAGCAAACGGAGGAGGGAGCGGGAGGAGTTGAAGCTGGGTGTCGACACCGACATCGGATGCGAGTGGCAGTTGTGAATCAGGGACGGTGCTGGCAAGTTCAGGGACGGCGTCGAAGAAGGGCCCAGCAGCGGGTAGAGCGGGTTGGACTTGGGACGGTTGGGCAAATGCGGACTTGGTTGTGCTGTGCTGCTGTCCGCCGACCAGGCTGTCTTCTGAACTCGGCTGCTCATGTACTGACTATTGCGCAATTAGCGTCTGGAGATCGCGACGACCAGGGTTTGGATTGGGATATGCGCACCTCCAGGGGTTGCTGAAGAACAGCAAACTTGATGCTCGAAATGTCAATACTTTCATTATCTGTCTCCATGAGGGTAGACCTCCCTAGAACTTATGGTCAACGGGAGCCCTGCATAAAGGGAATAAAAAAAAAAGAACATGCTACTCAATGCATGCACCGTGCCAAAACGTAGCGCGTGCCACTTTAGAACGCGACTGCGGGGCAAGTAAAGAAGTCGACAGGAACTGCGACCGGAACAAATATAATCCGCTCATGACAGAGTTCCTTGGCATCTTTCAGCCTCGTCACTCTGAGATCCACTACCGCCCCACCAGTCTCCTTCTTTTCCATCCTGGCTGGTCTCTACCTCAACTACCACTCTAGACTTCAATTTATCCCCCTTTTCCAATGCCATCCTTCATCTTCGCCAATTCATTTGTGTCCTGAGTCACCGAAAGAAACCTCCCGCTCAATCACACCCTCTTCTCTGGGGTCACCAAGTCAAAAACCCGCCACGGAGCCCAATGCCGTGCTCACCGCCAATTTGCAAGGTATTCCATGCTGGGATCACTTGTCGATACGAATAAAAGGAAAGTCGGCTTGCTCTTGTTCCAAACATCACCCTTCTGAGTGTTGTGCAATTCCGATGGTGGCGTCAGAACCGTGCCGGGATGCACGGCGAAAGCCTGCAAATTACTCTTCTCGGGGCCGGGGTGGACATTGTGGATATGTTCTGCCATCCGATTCACCACCAGTTCGGCGATGCTGTGTGCGACCTGTACAAGACCGCCCTGAGCAATGTGCGAGGCAACGCTTGTGATCACCACGTACACCCTTCTCTCGGACGGGTTGGTATCCAAGGTCGAGATCGGCGTCGGATATTTGGCAGTGTGATAACTGCTCATGAAGTTTTTATGCCCATGACGCCACCAAAGTCTTCGTCTCCCATAATTCCCGCAGGGAGTCGATAGTTTGTTGTTTCTCTCCTATTTTCGGGTCTGTGTCGTGAAGGTATTTGCTGATTATCCCTGCACTGGCGATAACAACATCAAGACCTCGGCCGGTTTTGTGGTATCGCATGTTAGAGACAGCACCTCGATCTTGGGCCCGCAAAACAATCCAAGGAACGAGAAAGGGGTCAGCTTCACAGGATTTGCTTCCATATTAATTCTTCCCGGATGGGCGAATATCACCGAATGAATGCAAGAGAATTCACATTGCTTTACCGATATCCCCACCTCCAGTGGACTCGGGGTGGACTCAGCACGGACAGAGGCGGAAGATATGTATATCTCAACATACCTTTCATGGACATAGATAAACGAGTTGCGAAGATTTGCCTTTTGTTTTTGAGGGGGGGGGGCTGTGCTTGATGTTAGTTTGTGCGGCTGATTGAAGGCCACACGGCCGGCAAAGATAAAAAAGGAGGTGGGTCAAATTTGAACGAAGTCAAAGTAGACAGGATGCCAAGTCACCATGACAGACCTCATGTTGCTCGACGCCCTCTCATAATCATCTCAGAGAGCTGGATTACCACCAACAATGAGATGAATGAAAACGATATCACCATTCTGCAGTTCTGAAGGATCACAAATCGTAATTTCTTTGACTAGAGCGAAGTTTTGGCTCATCGTCTCCTATCTGCCGTCAATAATAAAACGCCTTCCCATCGATGATCAATCTCGACTTCTGTTTGGAGTCCAGCGCCTTACGTTTACGTCCCGGATTTTGTATCGAGAAAGCAGGAGACCAATATCCACATCTTTCCCCTTCTCCTCATTTTTAAATGGAGGTGGAACATCCACATAACACAACACCAACTGTTTGTGAACTTGTGCTTGAACTCGATTGACTCCATGCAGCCACCACCAAGTTCTCTTGGTCTTACTTTCAACCATTTTTCTTTGCTCTGGCGTATCTGTCCAATGGGAATGACTGTACGATGGGATAATGACAATGGCAAACTCGGCGTGAGAGAAGGCCGGTCCTCGATTGTACAACAAGTAGTCGGTAGAAAACTTCAATCCGGACCTCACAACCCAGCCCAAAGAACGATAGTGGTGATATACAACGTAAGACAGCATAAAGGGATCGTCGGGCTCGGCCGGTATTGATAGAGATCGTGGAGGATAATATGAATGTCTTCGGAAGAGAGACAGGAGAGACGTTGGTGGTAGAATCGCATCACTGTCGTCGCAATAAATCTGGAGCACCCCAAGCCCATATGATAGGAAGAAAGCCTCCTCAAGCGACAAGTTCAAATGCTCCTGATTCTCCTGACGGGGAACCTCCTCCGGCATAACATTCTCAAGTGTTGATGACCCTGGGCTTTTGATTGGTGATATCACAGGTGAACTCAGATCAAATTCCCTTGCCTCGATCGTTGGCGAGAATCGTACAGTCTTTGTTCGCTGTAACCGTTTTACCGATCGGCCGTCGGCTTGACTCGTTTCTGACGAAGTTGATGTCGGTGGGGGAGTTGGAATTCCATTGGCCTCGATTGCATTTTTCCATTCCTCAAATCCTTCTATTGAGCTGTTCTCCCTGTCTTCTTCGACTTCGGATGTCGCCGTTCCACCGGCCGACTTTAAAACACTGCCAATGTCACTTATATCTCGGGCATTGGTTTTCAGAATATTTTCGGCAAGGACACCGTCGACATGGCCATTCATGTGGCCGTTTGGCGCAGACTCCTCGAATAGTTTCTGGTCTATCTCTTCCTGCTCCTTCCGCGCTCGTTCTTGCTTTTGCAGCCTCCTTTCCTGCCGACGTTGTGTTGTATTCTCTTCTGCAGTAAATCCCCTTCTCTTCAGGTTTTCTAGCCAGTTTGGTTCGCTTCGACTCAGGCTGCCTTTCCCAAAGAATCCCATCTCCCACAATTTTCTAATTGTGTCTGGATCTGTGACATGAATCGACGACGTGGCCGATGAAAAATATCCATTGTACGTGGGGCGAGGGGGCGGGGCGAGTATCTGCGCGAGATAGGATAGAGCGATGGCAACTAAGGAGAGAGGATTGTGAGGAATAAGAACAGGGAGCGGGTGGATTTCGATGGGTAAAAGGTTCCGATGTATGTAGTTATAATTTGGTCTCTTCGGACGTCTTTGGGACTTGGACGAGCCGCTTTTGGTTGATGAAGCCTGGCTTGCTGCCGGTGAAGGAGCCGAAGAGGACATCATGAGTTCATGGCATAAGGGTCTGTAAAGAAGTTGGTCAGCCTTGTGTCTCTTAGATATTGAACACCCGGAATATAATCCGCAATCGATCGATCAGATACCGTTGTAGTCGAAATACAAGAGCCCGCATTGGAGGAAGCTGAAATCAAATGCTACCTCCTAGGCAAAGAAGAGGTCATCACCGGAAAAATGGGGGATGTGGTGTGATTTAGGAGATTGGGCATACTTACTTCTACATCCGAGCTGCCGCTGGTCCACAGGAGAGGAGGAGGGAATTTTCGGGGAATAGGCGACGGGATCTTTTACGGCGGTCCAGGATTTGCCATGGTAGCTTTTATTTGTCGACGAGCAGATGGCTGTGAAGGTTGTCTTCGGATTGGAGGTTTGTTTTGCTTGACTGCGCTGATGAAGAGAAAGAGTAAGGACTTGCAAGTGACGCTACTTTCCTGTTCAGTTGGCGACAATTTTCGGCCTGGCGCGGGGAAATTTTTTTAGGGTCTGCAATTCAAGTTGCAGTTGCCGAGTTTGGTTTCTCCAACCACATCTTTGCAATTTGATCGCCCAACGCGAGAAAGACATCTGCAAACAAAAAACAATCCAGATCGGGATCCTAGACGAGTGCCAAGCGAGGAGCAGGAAAGAAGATCGCGTGACCACGAGCGACAACATCAAGATGCATTTGATGTACACGGAAGACCCGAACACGGGGAAAAGAATTTACACACTGAAAAAAGTCCTTGATGGCGTGGTCACCAAATCAGCGCACCCGGCACGATTTTCGCCGGATGATAAATATTCGAGGTAAAAGTTTATGCATTTGTCTTTGGCTCTTCACATATCTCACATGAATTATAGGCATCGAGTCACATTGAAGAAACGATATGGACTCCTCCTGACGCAGCAAAGTATGTTCTTTCTTCCGCACATGTCGAATTCTACTCGCACCAAAACTAACGTTTGCCCAGAAAGCGATGGCAAGTGACGATGGTCTCTATGGTGTTTTGGGCAATGGCGTTGAATACAAAATGTGGGAAACGGATACCAGGGGATCTGAATAACTGGAGGGTTATGCATGATGCAAATGTTTTTGGATATTTCAAATGCCTGCGTTTTCTACCTCTTTTGGGAATTGACACTTTTGCCTGCTCCTACCCGTGGCCGCCCAGACGTGTGTCCTCTGTTCCCAGTGAGAATGCTTGGCAGAGTATCCTCGTCCATCAGATCTTTTTCCTTTGTACGTTTCATCGCAGCCATGGCTCGGATGTATTCCTTCTGATCCTCTGCCAATATCAAATCGTTACCCCAGCCTCCTTGACCTCCGCCTGATCTGGGACCCTTCCATTTCTGATTGGAGCTTCCGCTGACTGGTTTGGGTATGGCATATACGTTGCCCTTGGTGTTCCATTGCATATTTGCTTTGAGGTGTAGCTTAACCTCGCCCTTGTCATTGATTGTGCAGCTCACCCTGGTCAATGTGGGCTTTCCACAGCGAGGACAGAATTGTTTGGTCGTGTCCTTGGTTGTTGAGAAGCAGCCGTGGCATCGTAGGATAAATTGTTTGATTTGCGAAATTCTCTGACAACTCTTGGTGGAAAGAAGGTTGAGGTTCATTTGAAGCAACACATTCTGCACGGCGAAATCGCCCGTCATCGTGGCCACCTGCACGTGCTTTGTTTCGGTCTGAGATTTGCTGCTGGCGGCCCCATCTTTGGCCTGCCGCCTTTTTATGTTTGAAGGTGTGATCCAGCCGTCATCCGAATCCGATGTTTCCTCTTTGGTCTGAGTCCCTTCAGATTCCTCGAGGCTCGATGGTGCGGGATCGGGAGGCTGTTCAGATGAAATCTGGCCTTGGTGCGCTGTATCTCCCAGGGTCATCGATTCAATCTCCTTTTCGATATTCCCCGCAAGACTTTCTACTTCATTTCCATCATTTGTTCCCGAAAGGTCGATGTCTGTTGGAGTGGACTGATCGTCTTCCTCTTTTGTCTTTGACGGTGGGGTACCATTCAAGCGTTTTTGGCCTGGGACGGCTCTTAGCCTCCAATCTCCTCCATTTCTTTCACATTCGATATCATATGCTAATGCGAGGATCTCGAAATCAGTCTGGCTCAAAACGGCGGCGTCTCCAGATTTGCGCGCAAAGTCTTTGACACGTTTGACACTCTCCGGCCTTGGCGATCGAACGGTGAGGAAGGGTTTGTAAAGAGTTTCGATCCTTGTTCTCGCCTCTTCGCCCCGGATTTCGGCCAGGACTGAAGACGTCGTCACCAAGACATGACCGTTCGCAAGGAGGGTGGAAATTCCGGGAGTGTTAAGAAGGAGCGGTGAGGAATCAAGTATTATGGTGTGCACTGGTTTGGTCTCTGTCTCTTGAGGGGTATGAGACATTTCGGCGGTTGTAGTGGACCAGTTGGAATTGTTAAGAAGATGTTTGTAATTTTCAAGACGTGATCATAGTCGTGTTTGACGCACTGACGAATATTAAATCGAGGAGCTTATCTTGCATATCGGTCTGGCTTTTTCTCCGTCCCCGCGTTTGCCACCGAGTGGCCCTCTCTCGATACTACAGGTCTGTGGGCTGTTCGACTACATCGGATTGACATTTATCTACCATATTTTCTCATTAATATTGTGGGACTTCAGAAAGTCTGGACATAAACCCAGAGTCTATCGGCCTCATAGAAATGCAAAGTCCTCAACCGCCCAGCTCAGCACGTTGAAATGAAAGATGTAGATTCATCGCTGCCGCAGGATCATTTGCGGATACCTCTTTCCCTGTTGTTGTCGGAAACACATTTGGTGAAGTGGAATGGGTTCCCACATGATTCCGCAGACGTGATGGCAGATGTTTGAAGTGAGGCAGGAAATGTCCTCCTCAGTATCTTGGCAATCGGCATTGTCATGACTTACAATGGAGCAGCGGTCCATATACGTCTTGTCTTCGATTTTCCGCCCATGACGGAATATATCTCTGAAATGAAGGACCGCCAATTTGATTTTATTTTTTGGGGGGGAGGAGAAGGTTGGCACCAATTGAAGTCTCACTGCCGTGACTGTCACGATGGCAAGCAAGATGATAGGTGTCGAGAGAGTTGTTTGTCCATCCACAGCCATCGGGATGGAGTTGTTGACCCCTCCATCGAGGCCGATGGTGTGAGCATATCGGACGTCTTGACCCAACGTTCTAAAAGCTGGTAAGTCAAAGACGTCAGACGGGCAGAGAAAAATGCCGGATTGAAACGGGAGTCCATTGGAACTTGGGATAGGCATAAGTCGCAAAATTACGGCCAGATTTGCATAGGCAATGGCAAATTGGAGAGATGGGAATTGTGTGCCGTTGCTCATCAAGCAGCTGGGGAGACGATGGGGGCGAGAAAGAGCAGCTTCGAAGGTCTCCGAGTTCAGATTGTTGGAAATCCATCCAAAGAATGGAAATAATATAGTCCAAACAGGGCTTCGAACTATTCCCACCGATTCTGGCCCCCTTTCACCTCATTGAGCACCGCATGACGGGATTCTGGCACAGAGAATGGGCTTTGAAAGGGCAAGAAAAGGGATACTTGCATTTTGCTCTCGCTCTCACCGTCCGCTTTGACAGGCTGGGAGTCCGCCACCTTGACATATATCGCTATATCTGAGGAGCGAAAGTGAGGCGGGAGGAGAATCCACGTCTTTACGCATGAGCCAAGCATCTGGAAATCTTGTCTCAGCGAGATGCTGGCGACTCTGACGACAACATCGTCCCTCTCATGACTCAGAGAGATGTAGCCTGACAGTACCAAGAAGCACGATCATGAGAGCAGGGGGAAGCACATTTTGCAACAGGAACAGAAGTCAGGCTTTCAGATACCGTAAAGCCTTTGAAAAGTCTTCCTTCGTCTCTCTTGCCCCAATGTCAGCCCTCCAAGCCTCACGCATCCCCCCACAGGGATCTCCGATCCGGCGAGATTCGTAGAGCCATCGTGAAGTAGTCGTAGATCTAGCTATAAGAACGACTATGTTGAAGCGTCGTTCTAGCTCGGCTTGATTAGATGTTCGAAACATCTACGTCCGTGAATCCTAGACTTTTCCCTACCTCCAGTGCGCAAGCAACGAAAGTCACAACAGCATCCTCCAATGAATCAGTGTTGCTTGAGCTATCAGCATTGAAAATATTGACAGAGAGGTATCGACAGCTGTAAAAGAGCTGTCGATTCTATCTCCAAAGTTTCGTCATAAGTTTGAAGCTGCTTGTTTTGTGAAAGGAGAATTTGATGGGACACTTCAAGACCAGCCTTGGCTCTAAGGCACGTGATTCCGTAAAATTGTGGCTTTCTGCCAAGGACTCTAGTTTATGCTAGACTACATTCGTCTACGGAGCACTCCCAGCAGATGGTTTTTTACATTTCTCTTTCCGCCACTATACAGGCACTCTCGCCTTGTCGTACTTTGAGTCTTACTGTCAGAGCTTAACCTGACAGGCATTTGGGGCGAACAATTTGGTCACGTCTTCGTTGGACGAACGCAGATTGATAAATTATGAACCGTTGCTGTGATAATTGAGAAGGAGGATTCTTTGGCTAGTTTGATATTCCGATAAAATTTTGTTTGGGATTTGAAGTTATGTCCTGTGGTGACCTATCTGGGGGAGGGAAGTGTGTCCTTGACTTGATAGATAAGGTGCATGAATGATTGCCATGGTTGCAATCGATTCAAGAAAGCCGTCTAGCCGTTCGGAGCAATGGTGAGGGACCTGATGAACCTCGACACAAGCCAAAGTCGAGGCTTATATGGCCCAGGATGGGGGACTTTGATCCAGAACTATGTGGGGCATTGTTCGATGAGCTGGTAGTGCCCCCGCCGCTTTACTCAGGCATCAGGTGACCTGGCTCAACTTCGGGTCAGCCTCACCATGATTTGTTCAGTCTGCTCGGGCCGCTGCTCGGGCCGCTGCTCAGGCCGCTGCTCAGAGTACCGTTTCTGGACCTCTGCTGCTATTCGATCCTCACACCGTACTTTATAGCTATCTCCCTTCGAGATCATGGAAACTGTACAAGGCTATCTACGGGAGTAAGACGGCCAATGCAATCTCTGGCACTCCATGCCCTTCGCACAAGGTGGATCGTGTCTCCTATGCTACCTTTACCCAAATGACCCATTCTCCTGATGATGAGGATAAAAAGTTTTTGCTGTTATTGAAAGAACCAATGGCTAGGGCTGCTGATGTAACAGTTCACATCTAGCCAAACAAACGTGAAGCAAGAAGTCTCGGAATCAACATTACCACATTTTAAAGCTCTTCTCATTCTAAACCTACTACAATAAGTTCTCTCAGACCATGACAATCCTCCAACGCAGCGGGATGTCATACGTGTTTCTGGCCTCTCAGGTGTGAAAGGTATATCAAGCTTGGAGCTGGTTCGGAGAGGTTGACTGCGCAACGCGTGGAGGGCTGAGGCCTGGGCCGGAGTGAGAGCGATGATATCGAAATCTTCGTTCGTCCCGCGATGGCTGAATATCACCACCTCTCAAATACACTTGTGAATGACCGTGTCACGCTGATACGATCCGGAGGTCTGCCGCTTTGTGTGCGTTTACAATTCCCGAAGAAGTTTGTATTATGCGATGATCCCGACTCCCGCAACGGGCGCCGCGAAGCTCACACACTTATGCGAGAATAGTAATTGGTCCGGTTGAGACCACATCATATTCGCGGCGTCATCGATACCGCAATGTGTCCTAGCATAGCGAGCTTGTCTTGATATCCTCTTGCATGATGAACGATCAACGATCACCCCGCGCACCTTGAATGTTACCACCATCACGTTGTGTGTTCTTTGCTTCAATACTTTTCAGAAGCTCATTTAGATTTGGGACATCCTATGGATATGCGGTTGGTATGCGCCCCTTTGTTAGGTCCTATAACTTAATTTCTACCTTAGAATCGGCCTAGAGAAGTTAGGACCAGCAGCGTACATGCAATCTTTGCGCTTGATGTTGTCATTTGAACCAGAACCTGCATTCTTTGAAAGTATCCCTCCAGGAATTTTCCGCCCTTTCGATTCTGAAAGCTATGGACTTGGACGCTTCGTGCCCAGGTGTCATGCTAGATCGACCTTGGTTCAGCCGCCTCGGACTGCTTGCTATTCCTCTGTCATCACGAGCAGCCTCACCTCAATGCTTTCCCGCGGCTTCGTGCTGGGTGGGATATGAGTGTGAGAGAAGGCCGCATGGGGCACGTCTAACTTCTGCGTCAGTGGTGTTGTCTTCGATCAAATACAGTGTGTCAAAACACCTACACTTCGCCGCAACGTCGGCTGAATCAAAGACCTTGAACATGATAACCTCATCCTTGGTCATTCGGCTCATGTAGTAGAACTTGAATCGGTCGGTGTACTTTGCCATGTAAGTTCTCCTGTTGTAGTCCTCGAGGACGAAGTCGACTTCGACGAGATCTTGTTCGGTTGCTACCCGTGCGTCACATAGTGCCAAAGGCATGTCCTCAACAACATCCACCATCGGTTTCCAGACGCTTTTCGGTGTGAGTATCAATCAACTGCAACGCGCGTGCGTGTGTGTGTGTGCAGAAGAGAACAGTCAGAGGTCTCGAGTGCTGGTCACTTACTTGATCAGTCGAATGCGATATTTCCTGGCGAGGACGTCAGCCTCCTCTCCTAAATATCTATGCATGCGATCGAAAACCCCCGCGGGACTCTGATCTGAGTTGTCACATCGCTCATCAGTACGGCTTGGTCCAGGAAAGAAGTGCAGCTTACCAACATGAACCACTCTTGCCGGTGCAATTTTGACCATTTGGGGGGAACTCTCACTATTCGGATCGTCGATGACCATGCGAGATTGTGAATTTCGAAGCTGGAGGCCGATCGAGTGTCAGGTGCATTCACTCACATCGGCCACATAAGGGGCCAAGAAGAACCAAGGCAGTGGCAAACATCGACATACACGCCAGTCGAAAAGCTCTATCCTCACGACATCTTCTCCAATCATCTCTCGAACCAATTCCTTGACGGCGGGGACATACGACTCGTCAATGTCTTCCTCATCGTCCCAAACGACTGCCGGCGGTTGCCAGGTACGAAAGGCAAACCCATGCTCCTCGAGATTGAATTCGTTCTGCCAGCCACGGATGTCCGTGATCACTTGCAAGGGTCCAAGTTCGTATGTGATATTGGTTTCAGGAAAACCTTCAGGAAGTTCAGCTAGAATACTGAAAGGCCTTTCTTTTATGTAGAGTTCCGGATCATCCTTGATGTAAGTTAGATGGACCATTTCATCCATGTTGTGCTTGAAACGTGGCTCCAAACAGCGGGCCTGGTATGTCTGATGAAGCTATACAAACTGGTAACATATGGCCAGCTAGGTCCTGTGGCCAGAAACGCTAAGCCTAGGTCTTGTTACAGCTACTTTTTCAGTGCGATGGGCCAGATCGCGCTACCCCAAATGTACGGATGATATGCCATGTATAGAGGTCTTTCCAGTACGGTAAACAAACGTGGCATTTTGGTCTGACCGAATGGTAAGCCGTCTCCTGCCGGTATCAACAGAGCGCCCAAACGGCTATGGCATCAAGTATGATGATGCATCTCTCGCAGTAGCAAATTGGTTCAATGTGTGTTAGTCGACTGCCACACTGCAGCAAGAGACGGGATGTGTAAGCATTGGTAAGAACTACCCTCGTTGACTGCGCCAATCAGAGCCAGACACGTCGGGCCAACGTTGCGCCCGACGACCCTGCTATCGATGTTACGTGGTCACTTGCAAAGGCACCGGACATAGATAAGTCGGCGTGACTCTCGTCAAAAAAGTTTCTCATCTCTCAGAGTTATTGTTGGAGCCTATCCAAGTCGACCAAAGCCCCAGCTCTGCAAGAATTCTGGGTCGTCAAAATGTGAGGCTGATCTCGACTCCGCGGCCTGTTTAAACATGCCCATTTGGCTTTAGCCAAAGCTAACTGCAATAGGCTCGAGAAAATTCAATCTGGTTCAGGCAAGAAGCATTGGGCCGAGCAGGTCCAGGAGGCACAAAAGATCGACCAGCGAGGTCGCCCATGGGAAGCCATCATGGCCGCAGCATCGACGGAGGAAAACAGGGCACGTCCGAGAAGGTCGCGGAATAGCCGAGACGAAAGCCCGAGAACTTGGTAACCGAGCAGACCTGTCGCGGGAGGCGTGTGCTCGCGGGGACTTTCCGATGGATACGTATTTGCTATATAAGTGGTTGTGGGAAAGCCAGTCGTAGGTGATGCACTCCAAGGGTAGAAGGCGCTGCGTTGCCAGGCCGAGATTGCCACTAGGTTTCAATACGAGGGGGCCAGTTCCTGTCAAGCCGTGTCCTAAGTCTTTCTTTAGCCTGATGGGACACCCATTGAACCATTTGGGCTTCTCAGGATGGAAGCCATTTGTACGACCGCGCATTGACCGTCCCGAAACGGCCTAAGCTGGTGCACAATTGCTGCGCATCTCGCGTCCAGGGTAGAGCTGATGGAATCCTCCACGAATGAACCATAACTCGTCCGACCCGCACTTAACGCAACCATGTGATCCCATAACGCTTCTCCTTCCAGTGTGAGCAGCCTTGGACGAAAATCTCCCACTGATTTAAGTTCGCTCATGATGTGGTCGGCCCGATCTTGATGTGTTTTCGCCTCGGTCTGCCGATTCAAAGCGGCCAACAGCACCGCTGACTTCCAGTTTGCGCGACCAATGTCTGCTGGGCACCAGTCCGTCGGCCTATCTAGTGCAATACTCAACCAAGAACTAAAATGGCAGTGAGTGACTGTGTTGGCATGGGGGAAGCGCTTGACTTACTATGCGTTGGTGAGATCACCTCTTCTTTCCTGAATGACAGACATTACGTAGTATGCATCTAGTGTGGGCCGCCCATAGCGTCCAAATAGAACCTCCCTGCAGGAAATCACTTTGTTAATCTGGTCGAGGGCCGGCTCCAATTGTCCAGCGCAAAGTAGTAAGCAAGCAAAACCCAGCCGGAAACTCTGAACCGCAGCACATGTCGGGCCCATGACTGACTCCATCGTGGCAGTTGCTTCCCGGAGTTCTTGCACCGCAGCCTCGTACATACCTTGTCCAGCAAGGGCTATGGCTTTATGGTACTCATTGATGAGGTAGACAATGTCTGTCCCGATTTTGTACTTGACGCTCATCGACAACTCGAAATAGGGACCCGCGGCGGCATAGCAGCCATAATCCAGGAGAGTTTCGCCGATGTCGCTCCAAGCGTTGGAATACTTGAAGCAGTCCATTGCAGTGATGGTTTCGTCCAGAGTCTCGTCGATGTGCTGCTGGCGGAGGTTGAGGGCTTTCATACTAACCTCGAAATTCGTCGCCCGGCCTGAGATGCCGTCGTACATTCGGAGCCCGCCGCCAATGGCATAGATGTCAGCGCGGCGGTCGAAGTGCCCCTGGATCATGTCGCAGATGGACTCTGCCAGCTGGTTCGCCACAAGACCGTCGCGCAGCAGGCATCTTTCCCAACAGTAATTCGCAATGTCACAAAGCATTTCGGCAAAGTCGATAGACACTTTTGGCTTAGTTGCGGACTGACGATAGACGTCTGCTAGACTCATCACCTGCGGTCTGCGCCGTTCCCAACTGGGCCAGAGCTCACTCGAGGGAATTTGAGCTTCGTGCTGTCTTGGAACCACACGGCGTAGCATGTCTGCCGTGATTTGGAAGATATGCTGTAAGCGATCCTGGTCTCCGTCGAGTCGGTGAAGGATGCTGCGTTGTAAGCTTCGGTGCATCACGAAGCAAGCATTTCCCCCAACAGTCTGGTAGTCCACGAGTTGGCGATCTGTGATCTGGTTGACAACTTGGCGAAATCTAGGGTTCGAAGTTAGCGTGCGAAAACCAAGCGGAGGGTTTCCATCTTACACAAAGTTATTTGGGTCTCGCAAAAATGCTAAATCTGAATCAAGGTCACGATGGTGTAAATCATCCACGGGCACTCCGTCCGGGCTCAGCATGGACAGAATGTGCAGCAAAGTCAAGGAATCGGATGACACCTGATTCAAAGCAAAGTCCCAGACGAGGCCGAGTCTTTTCTCATAAGTGGCCACAGTCGTCGGCGCCGGCAGGTCAAAGATAGCAGAAGAATTGGCGCGCTCCTTGAACATATCCAGGAAACCATGTAAACCAGTTAATTCACGTATAAAGCCGGCTACATGCGCGATGGCAATTGGAAGGCCGCCGAGCTCGTCGCAGATTAACCTTGCAATCTCCTTCTGTTCTGTTGTTGCTTGACCCGGCAGATGACTGAGTAGCAGTCGTGCTCCAACAATCCGGTCCATCGGCTTAACAGGGAGAGCGTAGGTGGCTTGTTTAGCAAGCTGCTTGTGCTGAGTAGTGATCAAAATCGTTCCGTAGATGCACCTGGGTAGGTAAGCCTCGACAGTGGCCCAGCTTTCGGCGTTGTCAAAGACCAGTAAAAACCGCTGTGCTGATCCTCCTCGTCAGCCGCCACCCCCAGAAGAATGATTTCCAAATGGGGCCACTCACTCGTCGATTCGAGAAACGTACGGACCAACTCAACTTCCTTGTTTTGGCCTGCTCCTGGGGCGACTTGGGGTAAATTGAGTTTATCAGGATGAGTGAGCGAGGCCATTCCTGCCGACAGCTCGGCCTGCGAATCTGCTCGGAACCAGAGGATGAAGTCGAAAGAGTCACTTCGCCTGCATTGATATGCAAATTGAACAGCAATCTGGGTCTTTCCAATGCCTCCAATTCCATGCAGGGCGATTGATGTCTGGCGCCCGCTGGTTTGTCCCTGAACCACAAATTGCTGCAACAGCCGGAGGACATCTGCCTGACCGCAAAATCGGGCATTCTGTGCGTGCGGTACTACATAGAGCTTGTTTGGTGTTCGGCTGAGAGGCTGCATCAGAGGCAGTGCGGCTTCTATCCGTCGGCTTCCCTGTACCAGAGCCGAGTCAACGGCATACTGCCTCTCGGACTCAAAGTCGCGCACATGATTCTCGATTCTCGCCCGAGCTTCCTCGAATTTCCTGTCAATCCTACTCCAAAAGATGCGACAGAGATTATCTATCTACGTCAGATCATGACATTCAGGTACGGAGCTCATTTCTCTTACATATAGGCATCCTCGAACAGTATTTCATCGTTGTGATGCAGAAGCCTACATATTCTTCGATCAGATGCCGCATGCAGGCTCTTAAATCAGGTTCCGTGGGGAAAAGGTTCAAGTATTTGTTTATTCTAGTCATGGTGCTCGTGAGATCCTGAATCATATTGACCACTGTTTCGAGAGTCTCATTGAACTTGCTCGAGACCTTAACATGGTTACAGGTCAGCATGGAAGTCCGTCGCATGCTGGTTGTAACTACATTCACATGGATTCGGCTCAGCGCGTACGACTCACCACGATGAGGGCCTGTAACGTCCCCCAAATGAAGCTGGCGATTGCTGGGCTCGCCTGGACTATACTGGTGATGGGAAGCATGAAGTCATTTAGCCTGTCTAGGCACGGTCGCAGTTTGCTGATACCTCGAGTGACGCCGTTGTTCGCATATCTGCTGCTTTCATCGGTCAGGGTGGCCAGGAGCCTTTGGTAATCCAGTCGCTGGACAAGGCTAGAGTACCGCTTCTTGCGCAACCTGTGCTGCTGTGTGTTCAAGAATCGGTTCCATTCTGCTTCAAGGTGGTCTGTCATGCTGTGTTGTGGGAGGTAACAAAGGAGGAAAGGAAAAGGCCACAATGACCCTCGCAGCGTTCGTTTGTAGTAAACGTAGTTAATCCATGATTTCTGTATGTCCGTCTAACAAAAATGAAGAGAGGGGAGGTTGCAAGGTAGGGCGCATGCCTCTGCCTCTCGTCATGTGACAAGCTGCGAGACAAGGCGACGTAGTGATGCAGCTTTGCCCGACAGCAACGGCCTGGCCATTCTTTTCGCCTTCAGCTAGGCTCTTTGGGGCGCTCAAAATCGATGATCATCGAGGGAATGTCTCGGGAGAGCGACAACCCACAAGCGACTCGCGACAATGCTAAACACCAATCGGGCCTAGTTGTGCGAGCATTGTCCAAACGATGGAAAGGTACCTGGCAGGAGGCAGAAGCAAGAGAATGCGCACTCACACTGCGAGGTCCAATCAGGCAAAAGAGCAGGGATTCATTCAGGACTCACAGGAAGCTCACAGGACGATAGAACGGCCCTGAAGAGGGTCGGCAGCGAGGCCACGAGGCGACAGGAGGACTACAGAGACGACAGACAGGCTACACAGGCGGCAGAGAGGGTCTAACACCAAAATCGAGTGCAAAAACGCGTGGAAAGGCGAGTGGAAAGGACTCCATCAAAAGGGGTCAACGACGTCGTTGAAAGAGCTTCAAAAAGCGCCAAATATGTGAGGGAGACAAGGTGGATGGAAAGGTACTTCAAACCCCTAGGAAAATGGGCGGTTTTCAGGCATCTTTCCATCATGCGGACAACGCTCGCACAACTAGGCCCGATTGGTGTTTAGCATTGTCGACGTGGTACGCGAGTCGCCGTGGGTTGTCGCTCTCCCATCTTCGAGCCGCCCCAAAAACTTAGGGACCCAAAAGGTAACGAAACCCCAAACATTTGCAGCCCAAAGCTTGGGGCATCTTGGGGCCCTGTCCACAGCCTCATTCTAGGCTCTTTCAGTCCGGGCTCTCTCGGGCGTCAACGATATCAGTGCCGCACGTTCGCCCGAAGTATAACCTGAGCGCCAAGCTGGGCGGGCGATATCTTGGGGTGGAACGAAGAGCAACGGAAGCGGGTGCTAGATTGTGCCAGTGAACATCCGCGGTGAATACGTGCCATTCCGATAGGACGTGGCACCAGCAGAGTACGCCTGGCGACGGTGGGGCTCTGTGTAACTCCGTAGGACGGAGGACAAGACTCGACTAGAACGTCATTACAAGTGACGGTTGTATTCTTCTGTCGCCAGCCGGACCAGCCCAGCCTGTCACCATAAATGCACAAGCATCTTCGTACCTGGGCCGCGCCAAGATTCACCCAAACTGCTCCAGGCTTCCGCTTTCTTTCGAGAATGTCCCCCTCCAGTTCAGCATTAAGATTGTTAGACTTTGCTGGTCCGGCCGATGCTCCTCAAGAACGCGACATGAAGCAAATTATAGCCCAGTTGAAGGCCTTGAGCCACGTGATCGGTGAGATCTGCCAGATTAGCGGCGCACCTGGAGTGTCTGTTGGAGTGCTGCACCATGGCACCGTCATCCATCAGATGGGCTTCGGGTACCGAGATGTCTCGAAACAGATCGTTCCAGACGAAAACACGACCTATGTCATCGGATCGTTGACCAAGGCATTCACAGCGGCGCTTCTAGGCAACTTGGTGGACGAGGGCAAGTTGCAATGGGACACGCCGGTCCACGACATCCTGCCTTCTTTTCGTCGGAGCTCTCCCTACCTTCCCGACGAAATCACCATTACAGATTTGTTGAGTCACCGGTCTGGAATCGCTCCATATGACAGCCTGTGGATTGGCTCCAATAACGACAACCTACTGTCGAGGGATCAATGCATTGCGGTCTTGGCCTACGCTCCTCAAGCGGCGTCTGTGCGAACCGAACTGCTCTACAACAATTTTGCGTATGATGTCTTGGGTCAGATGGTCGAGAAAACCTCGGATCAACGCTTCTCGTCCTATCTTCACCGGCAACTTCTGGAGCCTCTGTCGATGAGCCGGACCTTCTTCGGCTCGGTCCCGGCAAACGACGAGAACGTCGCCATCCCATATGCTACACTGACGGACGCCTCGGCATACCCACTGCCCGCCCCATTGGAAGGAGACAACGTGTCGATTGGTGCTGCTGGCGGCATTCGAAGCACGGTTTCTGATCTGCTCACGCTCTACAATGCTTTCAATCTCGCCGCACAAAATCAGATCGAACAGCGGGAGAACAGCGGACCCGCGGGCCCGCTCAAGCAGATGAAGCACCTCTGGCGGCCGCTAATGCCACTGTCGCTACAGTCGCTGCGCGAGTTCAGCTATGCTGCCGGCTGGATACGGGTACAGCTCCCTGCCGTCATGGGGCCCCCGGTCGAAATTCACTCGAAGGATCCAGTGGTTGGCAAGGGCCTGCCATCGCGACTGGCAGTCTTCCACCAGGGCTCAATACCTGGTTACCGAGCTTACACCGCGCTTCTCCCCGAAACAAACAGCGGCGTCGTGGTGCTCTCGAACTCACTCGGCCTAACAAATCATGCTCGATGGATCGGCGAAATGTTGGTTGAGACGCTTTTGGGAAACAAAGTCGATAGCTCCAGTTATGTCGCCTTGGCCAAAACTGACGCTAGGCGGCGAGTAGAGAAGCACGACGCCATCATCAGGCAGCTCGAACAGGAGAGCAGTGGACAAGCGCCCTGCAGGCCTCTTGGTAGCTATACAGGGAAGTATTGGAACGCCATCAACAATTTCTGCATCGAGATCTTCCAGAAAGAAGACAATTTGTACGTGTCATTTCAGGGCCGCAAAGCGGACACCTTCATGCTGTTGCCGTTCCAAAACGACAGCTTCTACTGGAAGCTTACCTATGACGATGCCATGAAGCTCGCCCGTGACGCGGACTCTCCCAAGGCGTACTACATTCTTCGCTTCAGTCCAGACTGTCACTCTGGATCCTGCCGAGACAGTGGGCCAGGCGAGGAGCTCTTGCGCCTTCGATGGAAGCATGATGATACAATGCAGGATGACGGAGAAATCTTCGCGAAAGCAGAAGTCCTTATCTCACAGCGTCTTTAAGCCTTATCAAGGGTCAACCCGGTGTTGCAGCGTCACGGCAGGGCTAAGGAATAACGTTCGCGGTAGTTGATAATGGGAGAATTATAGGCCTTGGGCTTCCCCATCCTTGTCCTATTTCCTGGTGAAACGACTCGGTGCAAGTGCGGTAGACCGCGGAATTGGAGCTCGATGCTGCCCACTCGGAACAGGCTTGTAGACCCGCCACATCATGCCTCATATGGTCGCGGTTGGTCGTGCCGTTGAGCACAGCGGCCCCGGGGCTCGACGCGGCGAGGAGAAAGTACATGGCGACCTCGCTCGATACCCCGGCGCTGGCGGCCAGCATAGCGACGGCACCACACTTCAAGACATCCTCATTCCTCGTCAAAACAGAGAAGGATTGATAAGAGACCCCTCGCTCGTGGCAAAATAATCGTTCATCCACCATGTAGTTGTTCTTGCGATAGAACCGATTCTGCACCACTGCTGGCTTGACCGTGGCCACTCGGTACAGGGCTTCCAGTACGTCCAAGCGGACGTTTGAAATCCCCAGTAGTCGGACGCGGCCCGGCACGAACCGCTCCATGACCTGCCAAGCTTGCGCCGTCTCCTCGACGCTATTGAACGGACAGTGCAGCAAAAGGCAGTCGATGTAGGAGCTGCACCTGCTTGCCTCGTTCGCACAATCCGCGTGCACCACGCACAAGCGCGACAGAGACCGCGCGACAGAGGCGTTGATTTCGGCAGCAAGGTCACGTCCGTCAGCCGTACATGTGAACCCTCCGGAGCCGTGGTGTTGAAGCGGCGGCGAGTATTTGGTCTGGATCTACGAGCGGCCGTTAGCAACGCTCTCGTTACCCCTGCTCTCAAGACCGGGGTTCTTGCGAAGGGGGCGTACGTAGATGTCCTCCCGGCGCACGAGACCTGACTGGACGGCGTCGCGCAACGCGGCCCCGGTGAGGTCCTCACGGTAGTGCTCGTCGTCGCTAGCCGTATCGAAGCAGCGGAATCCCTGTTTGACCGCCTCGAGCACCAATTGTTGTGTCTGTTCACCTTTCCATGCTGTTCCATAGATCATGGTAGGCTTTAGAACTGCTGCCCTGTCGGAGTCTTGAGAGTCCGCCATTCTAAAGCGTCTGCGTCGCTCGCAATGGTTCTTTTTTGTACGCTTCTGCTGAGATCCAATGGGCCCGTACCCAGCCGGAACCACTCATGGCATGATGATTTATGCGGTGGACGGCGCTCGGAATTTGATGATTTATCTTGATAGTGGCTGGGGGGGGGGGGGGCGGGGGGCGAGTGAGAATACGCTTTCGCCCCTGATGCACTGGCAATCAGCGTGTCGGACGCTCATAGGTCACTCAGCCGGCGATTTTAGCTACCCAATAATACGTTATAGATGGTCGATCGCGCCCGATCGGCATGGGAATAGGGCAATCCTTAGTGTCGAAGTACCGTGGGTCTATAGAGATTAGGACAAGCTGGTGTCGTTCCCAAATTTAACGGATCGATTTTCTCCCGTGGGCCTAGCGACGTCTAAATGGGATCAATGGTGGGCCATTACAATGCCAGGTACAGAGGAGGCGGAGACGCAAGTATAGCAACTGCCGCCGATCTTCCAATGGCTCGCTGGAAGTGCTTCCCGTAAGGTCGATGAGTCAATATCGAGGCTTCATGGTGCCCTACGCAGTCCAGGAGAAGCGTCATGCGATTCTCGTGATGCTTTCTCCCCCTGTATTGGCTGACCTTGCTATCTTAGGGTATCGTGTAGTCTCGCCTCAACAATGGCGCTTGCTGCGTCGCACATCGCTTGTTCGGCGGGCTGTATTGCGCCGCTGAATCTCTGAAACACGAAGATGACATTCTTGACCGTGGCCACTTTTGGCATTGTGGCCGGTGAAAATGATTCGGGTTCAACATCCAGCAAGAGATTTTGCGCCGGCTCTGGAGCGTGGTCAAGACGTAAACCCAACATCCTCGACACGTGCGAGCATCTGGTTCTGTGGCTTTACTTTTCTCATTTGCCAACTGGCGTTAAACGTCGTGGGCAACTTCTTCTCCAGAGGCACCGACATGTCCCATTCGTGCCCAAATATATCAGCATCCGACGCACACGATGTATCATCACCATTCCGAGGCTCGTCATATGTCCATGGTATTTAGTGTCAAGTACCATCATCTTCGTCTCCGTCATGTCCGCGTATACGATCTTTTAACAGCCATTCCTCGGCATTACTGTCGCATACTACTTTTTCCTCCAAAAGCTGTGCATCGAGATCGCGGATCTATACAAGTTGAAGGACGAGTCGAATTACTGGTACACGTTTGGCTTGAACTGGAGAGCTGCTGTGACTGGCAGTCATGCCTTTGAAAACCTTGATCCTTTTCGTTGCTACCGCCTGTCATACCGACCTTGGTACCCAGTGGGTTGTCGGCGTCCACCCCCGTCTGCCTGGCTTTCTTCACACGGCGAATCTCAGCATCACAGTGACTCGGGGGGAAGGGGGAGGGGGCTGGCTTAAAGCATGTCCTTACTATGTTCCCTCACAAGCTTCATGCTGGGTCAGTTTCGCAGTTTGAGTCGTTCCGAGTTCCCATCGGCTAATAAAATTCCCACAGCTTTCATGGTAACAATCTTTCGAGGCTACGCCCTCTCAGTGCAAAAACAAAAGCGCTTCATTGACTCGGTGACCGGTGAGGGAGCTAGAATGCTTTGTGAGGAATTCATCGTGAGATTCGATATCTTGCGCGCCACCGAGGTTCTAGAGGAAGTGGTTCAGGTATGCTTGAAGGGGAGAAAGGCCACAAAGTCATGAGGCTCGAGGCTACGCGATAACCCAAGGTCCACTTCAAAATCTGGCGCGACTTTTACCACGTGGCCAGCTCTGACATCTCAGCGCTAAACCTCTGTCCACATGGCAAAACCAACGTCCTAGCCACCGTCCAGCCTTTGACCGTGTCCATAGTTGATCGCTTTCGGGAGCGGTCGAAGAAAGTCTTCCAAGACGTTGGTCTCTTATCAAGCACCAAGCCAGATGCCGAGAAAAGCGGCCCGACTCCGTAAATTACAGTTTGTTCTCTTATCTCTGCTGGTCCAACCCTCGTTCATCGTGAGGGACGGCGTTGCCCATTAAAGAAGATTTGTTTTCAAGTTCTCTGCAACTTTCTCGCCTTGTCCTATTATTGCCTTGCGCTCGCCGGTCTCAAGCTTGCCTCTCAGCAACGGTGCCAACTCTGCCCTCCTTGTCGCATATTGGAACAATGATCAGATGTTTTTGTTAAGCTTTTCTCCAGTATGAGACCTGCAAATCTCAGATATCAAGCTCTACTGCCGAGAAATGGAAATCTGCGCCGATCCTCTGCCAGCGCTGTTCTCCACCCCAAAGTGCTAGGTACGTGGTATCTCGGGTCCAGACCAAAACGCCTTATCATCGGCTATCTCTTTATGCGTATGTCCTGTCGTCTCGCTGGGGCACTGATTATTCTGCACGGAGTACTCCTTTGGACGCCATTCAGTCTCTAGGAGGCAGGAGCTTGCCTTGCTTATTTCCAAGCTATATAGCCAGAGATGGCCTCATGCAGGATTTCCACCAGTCTCCTGTAGGAGAAACTTCGAGCAGAGTTCCATCGAGGTCCCCGGAGATCCAAAATGCCTGGCGAATACGAAACAAAAGAGGTTCAGCTCGCCGTCGATGCCGACGTCGACCACCAGACGGGGGAGCTGTCGGAAAAGTCCTTCTGGTTGACCACTCGACGATGGATTCGATCGATTGGGGCAGAAGAATTCGGCGTCGAACGCATCTCGGAAGAGATGCGCACCACCCAAAAGCCTCGCGATCTCTTCACTATCTTCTTCAGCGCCAACTGTAATACCGCTACGTTGGCTCTCGGATTCCTGGCACCCACGCTCTTCGCACTCGGGTGGTGGGACTCATTCTGCTGCATCTTGTTCTTCAACATTATCGGCGCTGTGTGGCCCGCTGCGGCTTCACGATTTGGTCCAAAACTGGGATTGCGCACCATGATTGTCCCCCGATACTGCTTTGGATGGTGGCCAGCCAAAGTCCTTGCGATTCTCAACGCTCTCAATCAGATCGGATGGGCCATGGTCAACTGCATTTCCGGCGCTTCGGTTCTGTACGACATGGGAGATGGCAAGCTGCCTCTGACAGTGTGTATCCTTCTCATTTCCCTCCTGGCCATCGTAATCGGTCTCTTTGGGTACCACATGGTTCACCACTTTGAACGCTACTTCTGGATGGTGATGCTCGTGTGCTTCATCATCGTTGCCGGCTTTGGTGGCGAACACTTCATCAACCTTCCCATGGGCAGTGGATCGGCCGAGGCTTCGAGTATCCTCTCTATGGGCACCGCCATCATCGGATTTCAAGTCGCCTGGCTCCCTGTCGCCTCCGACTATGCCGTTTACATGCGCGAAACCACCAGCGGGACGACCACTTTTTGCTGGACTTATGGTGGTTTGATCCTCAGCCAGATCTTCATTGAGCTTCTCGGTGCTGCCGTGGGCACTCTAAGTCTCAGCCCTAACGCTCTGTTCACCGACGCGTATGCGAATCGTGGAATCGGCGGATTGATTGGCTCTGTTTTCCAAGGGCATGGTTCAGGTGTGAGAGGGTTTGGCAAATTCATCGAGGCCATTCTGGGCTTCTCCACCGTCGCCGTTATCATCACCAACCTTTATTCGCTAGGGCTTAATGTCCAGATCATCTCGACCAAGCTCCTTGTGGTCCCTCGCCTGGTCTGGTCCCTCATCGGCAGCGCTGTGTTTCTGGTCTGCTCTATGGCTGGGCGCGAGCATCTCGAGGAAGTCATGGAGAATTTCCTGCTCATCTGTGCCTATTGGATTGTTCCCTTCAGCACTATTCTCCTTCTCGAGCATTTTATCTGGCGACGCGACTACAGTTATGATCTTACCGCCTACAACGATGCGTCGAAGCTCCCATACGGTATTGCCGCATTGATCACCTGGGTCATCGGCACCGTTTTGGCTCTCATCTCCATGAGTCAGACGTGGTGGGTCGGTCCCATTGCCAAAGCCGTTGGAGGCTCGCCCTACGGCACGGATGTTAGCTGGATCCTAGCTTTTGCCGTAACTGTCTTGCTCTACATTCCTTTGAGATATTGGGAGCGAAAGAAATGGGGTCTGTAGACGACTGCCGGCGCTATCAGTTTTGACAGTCTCTGTGGCGAGCATAAGAACATAGGTAGATAGCAGATCTTGACATGCCGTATGCATTAATCTAGATAGTATCTCTCCGGCAAACGCTAGTGTCTCATATCTAGCCCTTTTTCAGCATCTAACCGCTTGACTGCGACTCCATACTTATCATTGAGTTCTCTACCCAGTCACCACCGAGGGAACACCGTATGCTGAACTAGAAGGCGTCCCGTTCTTACCCTCCTTCCAGAGTCCAGCGGTAAACCGTCTTGGCCCATGACACCGATGACGGCCGCTCGAACTTGTGCGTGTGGTCCGTAGAATGCTAGAACCACTCCTTCATGGCTTCATGATTGTCCTGGCTGACGAGCCAAGACCTCATCACTCGGGATAGGAGGATAATCGACCTCGTCAAGATAAAAGCTCAGATCTCCCCGTTCGGCGTCGGCGACCGTCCATCCATTCCCGAGCCACTCCAAGGGGTCGTGGCCTGGCAGACTTTCGTACACATAGTCTTCCCACCTAGGATTTAGCAGCGAAGCCCTTGCATGCAAACTGCTACCGGGCCACAAGCCCGTGATCTTATCGTTCACCTTGTACCAGCTGGTGCAAGCGTCCACGTGGACGGTGCGGGGGAAGTACTTGTCCAGATAGCCCTGCCAGGAGGCCAGGGCCGTTTCCTTGGCCTCCATGGACCGGAGGTGCTCGCGGCTGATCTTGCTGACGGCCTTGACAATGTACCCGATGATCGACTCGAAGATGATGAGCAGCGAGCCCCCGCCCGTTGCAGAGTTGGGGCCGCCGACAATAAAGTAGTTGGGGAACCCAGGGACAGAGTGCGACATGTACGCAGAGGCGTGCTTGGACCATTTGTCGCGCATGTGGACACCATGGCGGCCGACAATCGGGAATGGTGGCATAAAGCTCGTGTCGAAGCCGGTGGCGCACGCGATCGCGTCGATTTCCCATTCCTTACCATCGGAGGTCACGACCGACTATGGAGAGTTTAGTCTCTTAGCAGAGGCTTGTTTGAGCTGTGAAGTTGGAGGGGAAAAGAAACTAACTCGCGGTACCTACGTTCTTTAGCACCTTTGTGATGGGAGTCTTGATGAAATGGACATTGTCTTGCGTCAGGGCTTCAAGATACCCAGGGCCGGGCGTCAATCTGCGGCAGCCGGGGACGAAACGAGGCTCCAGGGCCTCATACAGCCCGGGTTTAGGAGCCAGTTTGCTCTTCATATTGGCCTTGATGGCTTGGGTACCGGACAGCTCTTCTGCCGAGCCGGGGAAAAGACAGGGATAGTCCATATTGATTGCTCGCTCCATGGCTTTCCGGAAGTCCTTGTAAAACTTGGGGTCGGAAGAGAATTTTTCAAGCTCATCTGCCGTATAGGTGTAGTTTCCCGGTTCGTTGCCCGCGGCGAGGGCTTCGGCGGTAAATGTCGAGCCAAAAGGTTGGCTGATCCATGTTCCGCCTCGCACAAAGTTATACACGGAAGTGCACTTTGCTTGAAGTCGTGGAAGCATTTGAATTGCGGAGGAGCCACAACCCAGAAGAGCCACTCTTTGGTTGGAATAGTCCCTACTCGAATCAAATTAGCGTTGGAGGTCAACGACGACGTATTCACCCGTGGCCCACCAGGAAGCGTCCCAGTTTGCGGAATGTTGCAGTTTTCCTTCGAAATCGTGCAGGCCTGGAATGTCGGGCCACTTCCAGTTATTCAGAATCCCGGTGGCGTTAATGAGGACTTCAGAATCCAGCTTTTCCTTGATTTTGCCGCCGTCTGGAGCAACAGATTCAGTGTCGACACTCCATATACCAGCATCGCTGTTCCAGGTGGCACCCGTGACTTTGGTGTCGTAATGGACTTTCTGGTCGACCTTATACTTCTTAGCCACACATTTTACGTACTCTAGAATCTCGGCCCCGCCAGAGAAGTACTTGGTCCACCGAGTATTCGGCTCAAATGTGTACTGGTAGACATGGCTGGGGATATCGCAGGCGACACCAGGATATCGATTCTCGTACCACGTGCCTCCCACTGACGGGTTCTTCTCCAGGATTGTCACCCGAATATTGGGAATGTACTGCAGAAGACGAATGTACACACAGATGCCCGAGACGCCGGCCCCGATGATGGTGGCTCGAATCTCTCGGCCTTCATCAACCGGTCGGTCTTGCAAATGGAATTCAGTAGAGTGGTCAGGGCCTGCCATAATCATGTTGAAGACAGTCGATAGATGTACGAGATGAGGCTAGATCAGTGATTGAAAGAATCAAGATGGAGTTGGTCGGTGAGCCTGGCGGAGATGGGTTTGTGCTCTGGTCGAGAAAGGATTCTTTTATGGATCTCATGTACTTGCACCATGATGTCCACGTTGTCCATATCTGGCTGGAGAAGCCTCGTTAAACAGCCGGATTCGAAGGCAGATAAGGGGATCCGACCCATCATGATAACTTTGGTCTCGAGCGATGAATCTGATAGGCCGGACGCGTTTCTTCGCTTAATCCCCAAACGAGGCCATCGCGGATGGGCTTGTTTTGCTCGACGGGGTTGACCGTCAGATGGATTCCTGCCTCTGTCACTGGTATCTACTCGCTAGGTTACCTAGCAACCAGCGCCACCGCTGTGATCTCCGTCTTTGGTAACCGGCGACATGTGAATACTTTTCGAGATGGTTGCCATCGGCGAGGGTTTTCACAAGGGGCATCTGACGCGAGACTTGAGAGGGGCGAAGATGGAAGACTGGAGGAGAAAAGAAGAGAATGCGCACGATTCCACCAATCAGGTTGTACAGTATCCCAGTCACGTGAAAACCTCTATGCCACGTGGCCAGCGTCCCGCCGACCTCGCCACGGACTGTTCACCATCGGTGTCTTGCGCTGGTGATGGTAGATTTGAGAATAGCGGTCTTGTTCAGTACTTTTCTCGTCCAATCGCACGGTTCTTAGATGAAACACTCTCACAAGGGACCAATGGTCTACCACCATTGGAGGATTGCATGGGCATAGGAGACTGGTGCAGGTACCTATGATCGAAAAAGAGCTTGGCTTTGGACAAATCCGAGAAGCTCTTGTTGGTGGACCATAAGCCCAGTTGTGCATGGGGCAGCATATGACCGGCTTTAGGTAGAGTTATGGAGTCCATTGGACGGCGTGAAAGCTGCACCGCTCCCATACCAAGTAGAATCCTTCCCACTTAACCTCAAGGCTTGACCCCGGGACAACCCTGGACCATGAGCTTTAGCAGTTCGCCCCCTCGTTTTCATTCTGCTTTGCATCAAACTGTATTGAAGTTGAGTTCGTGTGTTCGTCTCTTGTGTTAGAATAGGTGGTGAACCTACTGGTAAAGGGTGTATCGCGCGTTGATGCGAAGCTTGCTCCAACTTAAGCCTGGGAGAAAGCCGGCATCTATTGCTGTTGCAAATGGCTTCAGGGTCAATATAAGATACGCCTCTTGTTTGATATCACCTTGGACTGCAACAATGGTCTCAATCGCTCTGTTCGCTTTTCGATGTTACCACAAGCAATCTCTCCAGGAAGCTGGTTCCGATTACTGGCATGCATTGAAGCTTAGTTCTTGTTGAGTAGCCGATGGAAATTGTCGCTTTTAGTTTGTGTTTCCCATCGACCCAAGAAGCCATAAAAAAGTCGTCGGGTTTGGCTGACTAACAATCCCGAAATAATCCCGACAAGTTGGTGGCTGTGGCTGAAACGCGACTTCGGCTTGTCACCATGACGGATCAACAGATCATTGATGATAATCCTATTAGGAAAGGCCTCGATGGCTTCTATACCACTTTCAAGTCGCTCTGTGAAGACAGGAGCCTCTCTTGCACATCAGACGGCTGTGTCAACTCGGCCAGGAGGGTAAGATGGGACCAACATCATTGACGTGCTCTTCTAATCGGCGTATGTGTAGATCTCCGGAATCTCGCCCTGCCTTTTCTTTTCTCTCTTCAAAGGCTTTCAGTCTCAGGCCAGCTCCTTTCGAAGAGGGTCATGGCTCCCTTCGAAGCAATCTTCTCGGTCTCATTTCTACTGTCGCCTCTAGCGACTTCGACTTCGATCGTGTTAAACCTCTCTTGAATGCGGCCCTCATCGACAAGCCGGATGATACTCTTATCTGGGATCAAGTCCATAACGCCGTCACCGATAGCATCCTCCCTCTAACAAACCCCATGACGTCACAACACGAGCAGCTTCGCCAACTCCTCTGAATATCGCCAAGATGTGGACAGGGTTCTGAAGCTGGAGCTTGGTACTCTCTACGTCGGGCTTCATCATTTCCACGAAACATTTTTGAGGGGCGTGGCAGGTCTTAAGACAGCGTCCGAGACCGTCCTCAGGAAGTGCATGGAAGGCAACAATCCATTCTATTGTAAGGGTTGGAGTGGATGGCCGGAGGACGCGCATCAGGACAATGTCCTAGGCTGGTTTGCGGAATTGAGTGAGCTGCTCTAGAACCTCGCGAAGGACTACAAGCCGACCACGACAATTCAACGAAGCCCATTGGCACAGCCCAAGGTGCCGATTCAAGGTTCCACAGCGGAGCGCAAGTTAGATATTGGATTCGTGAACAACTTTAAAAGGCCGGAAAGACTTTAAATGCCACTGGTCGCAGGTCTTGTCCCGGGAGAGCTGAAGAGCAACCCGTCTGCCGACATAGCATCAAAGGCGTGGCTCGATCTCGGGAAGTATGCGAGAGAAGTGCTCGCGGCTCAGGAGACTCGTCGCTTCGTCATGGGCTTTACCATCTGTGGGTCTCATGAGGATATGGGAGTTTGACCGACTTGGGGGAATCGCATCGGAACCGTTCGACATTAATAAAAAGGGGCTGCAGTTTGTGTCCACGATCCTCGGGTTCCTTTGGATGAATGAGGAGGTGCTGGGGTTCGATCCCACCATTATGACGGCAAATGGCCAGCGGTTCATTGGGGTCGAACGGAACGGTCGGACAGAGCGTCTCATCATTGATCAAGTAATGCCGCGTGGAGCTTGTGTCGCAGGCCGGGCAACAACTTGTTGGAAAGCTCATCCGGAGGGAGATGCACAAACGCCGCCCGTCATCAAAGACTCGTGGCAGTACCTGGAGCGCGAAGAAGAAGGCGAGTTACTTCGTGAGGCGACTGACAAAGGAGTGGTCAACATGGCCCGATACCATTATCGTGAGACTGTTTTGTGTGCGCGGCAAAGACGACGACATTCAAAGCAATGTTCGAAAGGGATTAGATGTCACCGAGGCGAGAAATTACCAGTCGGAGCGCTCGATGATTTCGGCGAGCACGGCCAGTGCTCGGCGGAAAGGCCGCACCAGCAGCACCGTTGGCTTGAAGCGGCCCTCCAGCTACACTGACGCCCCACTGCCGCCTAGCAAGCGCCCCTGTTCAGCGTCTCCGACCCAGGCCATTAACGATGCATTGCCAAATCGGATACATCAGCATGTCATTCTTCGCGACTATGGAAAGCCAATTTACAATGCCAGCTCCCGCGCGTCTCTACTTACCGCGCTCGAGGGTTGCATTGAAAGATATGAGTCCTTGTACAAGGCCGGTGTCCTCCACCGAGACATCTCACTCAACAATATTATGGTGAATGAGGATGACAACAACCCCTCTTGGTCTGCATTCTTGATTGACCTCGATTTTGGGATCAAAGAAACGCGAGAGAAGTCCTCGGGTGCCAAAGGCAAGACTGGTACGGGGGCCTTTATGGCAATCGGGGTCCTTCTAGGCGAGCAGCATTCTTTCATGCACGATCTCGAGTCATTCTTCTGGGTCTTGTTCTGGATATGCATCCACTGCAACGGGCTCGATAAGAGTAGAGTAGTTCCCTCTTTTGAAGCTACTGGACAGTTAGCTTTGCTCAAGAAAGGGGAAATATGTCATGTACGGGATTTCGTTGTGACCGCAGAGGAGAATTTTACGTCATACCACCAGCCGTTGATTCCTTGGGTTAACAGGTTGCGGAGGGTGGTGTTTCCCGACGGCAGGAGGTGGAAGAAAGGAGATACAGGATTGTATTCTCGGATGAAGCAAATCCTTCGCGAAGCCCGGAAGGACCCTATGGTATAGGTGGACAGATACGCTGATTCTTGCTGGCAGCGAAAGGCTTGCAGTGATAGCAAGGTGGGCTAACTGAGATGAGGCATATAGAGCCTACAGTCATATGGGCAAGAGAAACTAGACACGTACCCAGTCAACCAGTCTTGAAGCCTACATAGTTACTCAATACAACAACTGAGATCTTTCGCCATGGTCGACAAAGCTTCATGAGGCCTATCAATAGACGCTATCATTTGTAGGCCGTGCAAATAACCGTACATACAAGGACTTGCGGATGCATGCTTTCATATCCACGTCCCGAATCCTCAGCTACGTGATCCTTTAGCCTAGCGATTGATTGGAGCCAAAAATATCTCGCCATCGCAGCCAAGATTGCTAGATTAGGAGGCCCCTTTATGTCCAAGACTAGCGCACAAGGCCTCAGATTCTTAGCCCCCATTTGATATTTTTGACTGGCTATTTGGTCGGTCAGCATTTCCAGTACAGAATCCCAGCTAGACCGTCTTACAACATCGAAGAGCAGTGGGAAGCGGGCAGCGGATGATTTAAAAAGGGATAACTCCCCGAGGCCTCCCATGATGGTCGTCGTGGTAACCTGAACATCCCGCTCACCGACCTTCGGTTCGTCTCGTTATGCTTACGAGGCTGTTACAATCACGAGGAAGAGTTGGCGGAGAGACCATTGCTTGGGTGCGGCTGTGTTAGATCTCCATCGGGCTGAGATTCAATCACAGTCCCTTTCCCGTACACACGGTCCGCTACTACACCGTCAAAGAGCCGTCCAAAGACAACCGTCACACTCCTGGTCTGACCTTGTCTCTATTCCGTCATCTCAATTTGTTGAGATGCCATCAATACCCCCCACGACCATTGAAGAGATCCTGGCGACAGGAACCATCGATCCAGTCTTCGCCGACGCAGTGAAATCGTCCTCCCTCAAACCCGGCTCGAGCTATACGGCCCAGGAGCTCAAAGATCTCACTGTTGCCGCTCTACCCGCATATCACAGCCAGCTCTCGCACACACGCCCACGGAATATCACCGAATCGGCACATTTCATCAAACTCCGCGATGATTACCCTTGCCGTATCATTGTGTGTCATCTCACCTCCGACCTTTCGGGCACGACGCCTAGGCCGTTGATCCTCCTGTTCCATGGGGGCGGACATACGGTAGGGTATCCAGAAATGGAACTACCGCTGGCGCGAAAGCTGGTAATGGAGCATGCCGCCATAGTCATCTGCGCCTCCTACCGACTGGCACCTGAATTCCCGTTCCCGTTCTCGATCTGCGATGCGTGGGAGACACTGGAATTCGCCGCAAGTGAGTCGCGCAAATCCAACTCGGCGATCCTGCCCAAATGTACCGACGCTCGTCTCGGCTTCATTGTCGGCGGTGTCTCGGCCGGGGCCAACTTGTCCGCCTCCCTCGCCCATCTCGCTCGCGACCATAACCTCTACCCGCCACTGACCGGCCAGGTCCTCTGCGCCGGCACCTTCATCTCACCAGACCATGTGCCTGAGAAGTACCGGGAGCGGTATCAGTCGTGGACGCAGAACGCCAATGCGCCGATGATGGACAAAGAGCTGTATACGGTCTTCCACACTGCGTTCAGCCCCGACGCCACTAGTAAGTTGTGGGCCAGCTTCGACCAGCACCATCCATCAGATGAAGGAACAGGGTCGGTGCGGCACGGCCATCTTGGTGTAGCCCCTGCATATTTCCAGGTCTGCGGTGTGGACATGTTTCGGGATGACGGTTTGATTTACGAGCGTGTGCTCAGGGAGGAGTGCGATGTGCCGACGAGGTTGGATTTGTATCCTGGCTGGGGACATTGTTGGTGGAGTACATTCCCAGAGCTGGAGATGAGTAGGAAGAGGATGAACGACATCGTTGAAGGCGTCAGGTGGTTGTTGAATGTTGGACGAACAGCTGGAACATGATCAGTGCAAGTTGGCGAGCGCCGCGAATAATGACACAAATGCAGGCGAAATTTTCTCGGTTAGCATAGTTGGCAAGAGGCTGGAAAAGGCGTAAGAACTCGGTGACAGTGTAGGATATGGGTGCTTCTCGAAATTGTATCAAGATCCCCGCCATCCCCGTTCTATCAAACGGGCCTGTGACAGCATCACGCAGGGCAAAAGAAAGATAAAGGCGTTTGGGGCCGGGTTGACGTATGAAAGGAATTGGTCGAGTCGAATAAGCTCCTGTCATGCGGCGGCAGTTTCTTGAAATTGAGCTCGCGAATTCAATCCCGATAGCGATTTTAAAGGAAGACGGATGGTGGATTCAAGCGGAAACACGGCCGCAGGATGCAGCACTGGCAAGACATTGGGATCGTCCGTCTGACGCTTCGAAGATTCAAGTAAGAAGCTGTCATGAGAATGAAAATCTCTATTGCTTGCATGCGAAGAGATTCCAATTGTCCGCATGATCATGTTATGGAACTTTGGCTTTTCCCTCGCCCTTGTCGCTTTGCTTTTGGTCCTCAGGAAATATCATTTCATCATATATTGTCACCCGGTACGCCATCCATGCGGTGTCAAGAGAATATTCTATACATATCCTGCAACACAAGCGTCGTCAGCGGTGGGACTAGAGCAAAAAGAACATCCTTGTCGGAATTGGGTATGGCAAACGCACCTTTTCTCGCGCCCTGGAAGAAGAACCTGACCACCAATACCTGCAACCCGGCCATGCCAACCATCATACATACCTCAATCAAGCTGAAATTGAAGATTCGCTGTTCCGTGCTCCGTACTGTGCTGAAGTTACGGTTCTCTCGAGTGCGGAAATACTTCTGCATACGGCTGATAGTGGACAACTGGCTGCTGATTTTGAAAGTCATGTCTTCGAGCGCGGATGTCTGTTCGGGCGACGACCCGGCCTTTTGCGGGAGGAGAGCAGATTTGGATTCATCTTCCACCTGTTATCCGCAGGCGCATGCGCCTCCTCATTAGTTTTGTTCGGCTGGTATCACGGCATGACTCAAGAAACGAGTGGCTCGGTGAAAACGTACCGCAACTTCAAAATCCACCATCTTATCCGCAAACGTCGACATCTCGTTGTTGAAGCAAAACCGGTACTCGCCCGCATTCTGCGCTGTGAAGACAAAATCTCCCTGTCTCTCTTTCTGCCCCTCCATGATCTTCTTGTCATTTGGTCCAACTACCGAGTAATCGACATCGAAGGAACCGCCAGATTGGACCTGGAAAGCGTGTCAATCAGTACACCATCAATTGTTCTTGAAGCCAGACAGCAAACACATACAGCAAAGTAAAATGCAACTTTGGCATTCTCCCGTTCGACGAAGGTGAAGAAGCAGGCTTTCTCGTTGGCTCCCAGTTTGTACGTCAAGGCCGTGCTATACACGCCGGAAGTGGCAACAGCCAACAGGCCGAGCAGGACTGAAAGAGGCCGCATCTTGTTGCAAGCAGATCGTTGCGGGCAGCAGGAAGATCATCAGAATCAATGGGGACATCAGTACTTTTCGGTCGCGACTTTTACATCCTGGCGTCAAAAAAAGGGGCCCACTGGGGGACGCATTCCCTGACAATGGTCTTGGCATGTTTGTGGATTTTGAAAGCACGTGATACCGCGATTCAATTAGGACGCGCGGGGGAGAACTCTCACTTTGGTCCACTTGCTGTCCAGTTCCCCAACGTGGTTTTTTTTGTCTGCAATCAAAAGGAGTCTTTAATACGCTATTTACACTTATTCGCCGTAAAGTTCACTCTCGCACCGTGGCGATGAATCCGCCTGCCGCACCCCCATCGCGTCCTCGCCGGCGGGCGGCACCGAAAGCTCTCGATATGGTCCACAACACTTACGGCGTTGGCACCAAAAGACCGAGGAACACATCCGCTCAGCAGACAAATAAAACGCGGAAACGCAAGCGTGATCACACGCCATCTCACACCCCTTCACAAGACGATGACACTTCGCAGTACAAACCGACACCTACTCACAAGCGCATGCCTAGTCACTCTGGCTTGGTTGAGGAAGAAGATATCGATGAAATAGAACACCGGATTTTGGCCGAAGCTCGTGGAATCACGAGGAAGAACATCCCCTATGATACATTCCGCTCGACCTTTCTGAGCCGCTTCAAACACAAAGACAAACGACCTCAGCTCAACATCCAAGACATTAAGGATATTGGTACCGGTGAATGGGAACAGAATTTGTTCTTTCAGCGAATGCAAAAAGCACTCCCTAAAAAGGTTATAATTTGTTCGAAGTGTTTTTAGAGGTCTTCTGTTAATCTAGTTAATAGGTTCTTAAAGGCCTCAGTTTATCTAGCTCTTTCTCGAAGACGTTGCCCGGATCCAAACAGAGCAAGGAGCCGCTTTCGCAACCGGATTTCTTTTTCCATCTCGGAACGGGTACTGATTAGGCTGATGTGGAACTTGTTTTTGAACATACGCAAAGCCCCATACAAAAGGCCTCTGAAAAATTCCTGCAATGGTTGCGAAGTGCCTGGAACGTATTCTATCATCAGCCCTTCCGCCACTATCTCTACGGGATTCTTTTCCTCAAGTCGTACGCCTTGATTACCTACGTTGATCATGGCTCTGCCGGGTACTCTGAGCCGCTGGATTTTGTGAAGAAACCCGAACATACTCAATTCCTCGCGGATTTTCTGGCGGATTTCATCGCGGAACCTGAACACCGTGGACGAGATCCCCATGTTACGGCTCATCAACAAGACGGCTCGATATTCATTGAGTATGCGGGAATAACGTGGACTGAAGTGCCCGATAGCTTGCTATGCTACCGTCCCTGCGTTTTTGGGAGACATCTTAGGGTCACGCGAGTGCATCCTGCGGACTCCCCGAACGATAAGTGGGTTATGAAGGATGCCTGGGAAGAGAAGGTTGAACACCCATCGCCGCCGCCGGAAGAAGAGGTCATCAGCATCCTTGTCGAGGCAAACGTACGAGGCATTCCACAGCTCCATGAATCGACAAGCCGGGAACTTCTTCAGCAAGCCAAAGAGAAGAGAAAACTTTTTAATGAATGCACCGACATGCGCAGACGACGTGCCCGCCTTATCATCTCGTATTGCCAACCGTTGAAAGAGGCGATGCGCAACGCTCGACCGAAAGAGCTCATGCGAACAATCCGCGACGCTATGATTGTTTATTACGAGGCGTATAAACGTCCTGAGCATGGCTTTCTTCATGGTGGTAAGTTTACGAATGTGCTAAACGATAGACGGCACTAATGAATTATTAGATATTTCGATTGAGAATATCATGGTTCCGGTGAAAGAGACTCAACTTACTAGCGGCCTTACCCACAAGACACTGCGCGGTACTCTCATTGACTGGAATCTATGCTTCACCACCGACGGGAGAGCATCCAGCAGAAACATTCGAAGTGGCACTGTTGCATTCATGGCGCCGGATCTTCTTCTGGATGATCCAGTTGCTCGAAGAACCTTGGGACATGATATGGAGTCGTTCTTTGCAGTCATGCTTTGGGTCGCATCACTCGACTATGACGATGAAATCGCCTTTCAAAATAAGCCTCTAGTTGAGCTTATGATCGATACTAAGTCCCCTACCAAACTTATTGCAGGCACTAAATTGCTTTTGTTCACAAATCCAAATATTTTCGACAAGTCGATAATTGGTCACTTGGAAGAGCCATATCGCGAAGATGACGACTTTATCGATTGCATATGGGACCTTCGGGGCATCTTATACGGGCAGAATTACGACGAAAATGTATTGAGGCGTAGCAGAAAGGGGCTAACGAATCCCAAGAAGGAGGATGATGATGATGACCCAATGAAGGAGCGCTTGTTCAAAGACTGCATGGCAGTTTTCGATAAGTACCTCGGCGACGAAGGGAAGCAAAGTGGCAGCTACCGGTTGAACAAGATCGATGCCGGGGAAGACCTAGAAGAATCGGAAGAGAGTATTGATACGGATTTGATGGAAGATGAGTCCGACGATACAAACTAGAAGGATCCGATGATTAGCTTAGCAGCCCAAAGACCAGTCAGTGATGGGTGTAAAAAGGTATATTCAACACGAACGTACTGTATTTACTACCCCTCAGTTCGGGCCGGCTCTTTTTCAGAAACGACGTGGGTTCAGCCTACGACTACACACAGCCAAACAACACAATTACTACTAAGGGTATCTCAACTGAATAGATCTATGCCCACCACGTAGTAGCCTTTCTTCCAGATTGTCTTTGCAAAACCTATCTTGCCCCCCTGAGAGAGGCAGCTCTTTCCTTCTCCTGCATAACCTGCTGTTCCTTTGCTCTCTTGTCTTCCTTCATCCTCAGTGCCTCTTCCACGTTGTACTGGTCCTCATCTGAGATGCCAAAGGTGGTACAGGCCTTCTTGGAAGGTTGAACCAATCCTGCAGTATGTCATGGCACAACCCGGAATCCCCTCGAACAGTCTTGGCAGGCCCACTGTGGCTGTCGAATAGCCTCGTGTGCCTGCTCATAGCCTTGTGTGCCTACGTGGTAGCCTTGCGGCATGACTGTACCGCCCGGCTATAAGTATCTGGGATAGGTTTGCATTACTTTCATGCTCTTTGTCTCTCGTCTTGTACTTTATAGTGCATTGAATAGTAATATCATTGTCGAACCTCCACTCTCGTTCCCTCGTACGCCCCCACCCTGACACAGTATGGTGTAGTCTGTAGCTTCCTACTTGATTGGCCCGGGCTCCGGGACAACACTGCTTTCAAATCAGGGTGTCTGGTCAGGAAATTCTCGTACCAGTGCAGAAGGTCCACGGCAAGAGACTTGAGGTATCTGATGTTGATTACCCAAGCCTCGGATCTCATGGTGGTGATTGACTCCTCTTCTTGCACAGATAGGCGCTGTTGAGACTGTTGGGTGATAGACTCTGGAGTCTAGAGAAGGAATGTGTTGTTCTATCTAACAAGAGAGCAAGACTGAAAGAAAGGAAGGGTGCTGTTAAACTGTGAAACAATATGTGGCAACGATGTCAGCGTGGCAATTGTTCAGCTAGACAAGGATTTCGTCTACGAGCTGAACACGGAGACACCAAAAGATGGCGACAATCTTTGTCTATAGAAACATGCGAGGCAGGACCTCAATTTGATAGAGATCAGAGCACTCCTTCAACTCAAGTTGTACCACAAGTTTGACAGATCACTTCAAAAGGGCAAATACTGTTATGTCCCAAGACCGGGACTTAGACTATCTATAGAGAATGAATCAGTTGTTGTAATGGATAGTGCTTTGAACTAGCAGATGCCGTCGATATCTAGGCCCCATGTATCGATATTTGCTAGATATATCGCCGATATCGTTGTCGGCTTTCCTAATTGGGTATACCGTGGTCTACTTCATGGGCCCTGGACTGGATCCTGTTGTGCATCCAGATTGGGTTTGGCGCGTTCACGTGACTGCCTGCGACAGCCTCAAGTGCTGCGCTTGTAGATAGGTTTGGCTTAGCAACCAATTCAATCTCATTGACTCACGCCGTTGGTTCAAGAGATCCGACGAGGGATATCGTACGGCACAGGACACCGTGATCAACATCGTCTACATACTGTCCATGGACTGGATCCGATCAGGGGGTCTGGCAGACAAAGGCGGCATCCTACCCATTCCTGGGTGGGCCATGGATTGGATCCGATGGGGTCAGCGAACTAGAGCACGTGATTAGGTGTCGGATTATAGATTTTCCGGGCTACGGCGGCACTCTACCCATTCCTGAGTGGGCCGTGGATCGGATCCGATGGGTCAGCCAGTCAGAGCACAGGAATAGGTAATTGTCGGATTATAGATTTTCTGGGCTACGGCACTCCCTCCTGGATGGGCCGTGGACTGGATCCGATGGGGCCGGCCAATCAGAGCATAGGATTACGTAATACACGGATTATAGATTTTCTGGATTGCCGAGGATTAGCTAATCACGTGATGCCTCGAGCGCAGCGAGGCCTGAGGGTTTTGGGGCAAGCCCCCAAAAGCTACGCTTTTCGCTTTTCACCCCCCGCGGAATATCCTGTCCACAGCCCCTAGTATGCTGCAATATTATTGGTCAATTCAAGCCCCAACCACGTGATCCACAAAATATCCCTGATGAGGTTTTCCCAAAATTGACACCATATCGTGGTTGACCTATCAAGGACGATACGCTTCGGCGTCTCAGTCGAACCGATAGAATTGAGGGACCTCACTAGTGTTAGATCACAGGTGAGGCAAGAGGGTTGTCCGGCCTAGCTACATCGAGTTTCTAGGTGCCCTAGATGGGTAACGTAATGCTCCAGCCAGTGATTGTTGATGTCATACTAAGTGATACCGTTGGGGGGTCACTGATTCAAACTCTCCTTTAGTTGAACTATGATTGAAGCTTTCACTGGTTGTGGCGCCCCATCTATTAGTTCGTCAGAGATGGACAATAGGAGGGGGGCCCTTTGGTGTCTTTTTTTTTTTTTTTCGGCTGTGGGTATGAGAAACTGAAGTGAATGGGACTTTGGAGTAACTTCGCGAGGAACCAACATTTGTGAGGCGATTGCTAACAAATCTAGGTATCTTTCGAAAACAATTGAAAGATGGAAGACAACAACAAAACAACTTACTCTTGGGGCATTCCTACCTAAAGATTCCTCGTTACTATAGACGACGCCCATTGCAATCTCGCTCACGGCTCGCTTACGGAAATACTTTGAGCTTTGGTTGTGTGCAGAACAATGCAAACTACCCAAACGAGGGTTGAGTGTACGGAACAACGTTTTCCCGGAGATTATATGGTGTTGCGGATTAATGAGGGCAGTGTACGGGATAGTGGAGTGGCACCCTTTCCTGCAACTTGCGTTGGACTGGAGCTCTTTGTTTACTGTATATTGACGAACGTGGAATTTTTGAAAATGAATTGAGACTATTTGATCCAGACTCCCCTCATTACAAAAAAAAGCTCTTGTTGATCCGGGCCAGTTGTCATGAAAATTCTCGACCCATCAAGTCCCAACCTTTTGAACAAGTTCCCTTCTACACCAAGAAATATCCACCATGCGCATAGATCAAACTTCCAGTTTGGAAGTTATTCTTCATCACACTGATATAGCATTCTGCCAGATCTTCTGGAGCTCCAACTCTGTTGAGGAGGGTTTTGGATCTAAACACTTCCAAAATTTCATCCAGTCGATCCGCCCCAAAATGATCAAACATTTCCGTCTTGACTGCACCGGGACAGACACAATTCACCCGAATAGGTTTCATGTCAAGGGCCAGGGCATAAGTCAGACCTTTCCTCGCGGCTCCGACAGGCGCGAAAACTGACAATCCAGGTAGGGGTTTCGTGTCCATCACACCACCGGTCGTAGTGAAGGAAGACTCTGGGGTGGTAGCCAAGTACTTCAAGGCTACTTTGGCTAACATCACAGTACCAGTCGTCCTGATTTTCATAGGTTCAACGATACTCTCTCGGGTGGCTTCAGAGAGAGGCGTCGGTCGCCAGAAATCACCGGCCGTGTCCACGATATGGTCGAGTTTGTGCTTGCCACCTTCAGTCGCGAAATCGAAAAGAGCTACAATCTGCTCCTCGATATCGTCTGCACTCAAATCGACAGTCTTTCCTCGAATTCGATCTCCAGCATCCGGGTATGCCTGCTGAATTCTCTCAACAGCTTTGTCGACATTTTCTTGTTTGGAGCTGGCGACCACCACAATGGCTCCATATTCGACAGCTGCTTCTGCGGTGGCAAAACCAATACCAGAAGTGCCTCCGACGATGACGACTCGTTTGCCCTGGAGTTTGTTGATATATTTTGGGGCCATGTGGTATGTGTATGTACGTTGCTAGTTGATGACACCGGCTTTGCTGCAAAATATCCTCCTCTGTGATGGCCTCTGGTGTATAGTATAGTGTCTTATTGTGCTCGCCGCATCGTCCAGTCTTATGCACTTTTCGATGACATCGGAGAAGTATAGACTCGGAGACATTCCCAGGGAGCACAGGGGATGCCATTTCATATTAATCAGCCTCTCACCAGGCTATTCAACGATCTTCATTCTTAAGTCCGGGCTACGGACGAATGGTACATACACGTATTCAAAATTGTTCTCAGCCGCCTATGCTAGGGACTCTGCAAAGCCTCATGACTGTCGGCCACGGTACAATAATCTGGCCGAATAGAGTATCAAATACCAAAAATCGTATTCTTCTAGGATTTTAACGCAAAGTCGGAGACGGAGTGCAAGGGATTGGCCGGGTCTGGAGCTGTGTCATGTTGAATTTGCGTTTTAGTCATCGTCTTGTCGAAGAGATTGACAATCTTGTACAGGCGCGAACGAAGATTCGGAGCATAGCTCATAACTCCGTGCTACGACCAAAAGATGATCGTACGACAAAATGTGACATCTCGGACGTTAATACCAAAGTCGTCGGTCAAGCTGGGAACATCACCTAGGGATTTGAGTACGATATAAGTCCGGCATTACATTTATATCTCGACGACCGGAGAAGCTGAACCAGCTTCTGGAGTCTTTGGGCCTTCCTGGTCTTTGACGACGCCTGTCTTTGTACCCTTTAAGGGAGGGAAATCGAAAACTTCACTTCTACCGGCTCTGCCAGCGTCCCATTTCCCTATTCGGTCCCCCAGGGTGCCCTTATCCCAGACCAATGCTCCAATCCAGGGCTGAACATTCCAGCTGACTTGCAATGTAGCGTTGGCTCTCTCGCTGATGATCCCACTAGGATCCGTGATTTGGTATTTGGGTTTCTGGTTCTTCAACGAGATGACTCCCGGTTTGATGAGATTAGTGGACTGTGATCGCGCGTTGGAGTCCTTCCTGCCTTTGGATTCGGATTTCTTCTTTTCAGGAGAGTAGTGTTGCTTCAGATTCTGCCAGGAGTATGGCGAGGGTGTTGCAGGAATGATTGTATCCCAAATCACGGCCTCGGACATTCGTCCCTCGCCTTCCTTCCCACTGGGATAGTTTGCCGTCACATAGACGAATAGTTGCTTCGTGTTCCATGTGAAGAGGCTCGACAAATCTGCGTCAAGATCGAATCTGATCTGGGCATATTCTTCGCGTTTGGAGGAGTAATAATGAGGACGGCCTTTGACGACCTGAACATTCCGGACAAATATGGAAGCGTGAGGCGAGCCTGTCGGAGCAGGAAATGGTATGACGGATAGAAGGGCAATTATGGAACCGAGAGTGAAGGCGCAAGTGGTGAAGAACCCGAAGGTTGTTTGTATTCGATTTAAGACATTGTGCATGGTGGCTCGGTGATAAGGAGAAAAAGGAGGAGAGATGGCCAAAAGGAATTTCACACAGTCTAAAGGGAACTTGTATTCATGTCATAATGAGAGGTGAACAAACTGGGTAAAATAATATACTGTCTTCGCTGACCGCAGGTGAAAAGTGAACACGGATGCAAAGTTGGGGGAATCAGAATCGCCAAGTAGGCGAACCATGTCATTGCCAAGAAACAATGCTGCGAGTCATGTCTTTGCCAAGAAACAACACTGTCGAGTCATTGACGGCCTTTTTCAAGTTTGTGGCGTCTTTTTGGTCGAATTCGTCTTCTTCATGGACTTCAGCCTGGCAGCTCACATTCGCAGCATCAATCCTATTGCTTTGGAAGTGGTTTGGCTTTCTTCATACTGCCACAAACGGAGTCCTAGAATGGACCAATAGACCTGTCGTTAATCGCCCATGTCCTTCTTTCTGTGAATCACAAGGGTTTCATAATCAAGGTCACATCTTGACAACCCCCTCTTCCTACTCCGTTTAGTCAAAGAAAACGAAGAAGAGAAGACATCCACCATTACAAATCCTTACACATGATCCAATCCGTCTGAATACACCGGCCCATCTTGAATTCGTGATCCCCGACTCGTAAAAATCCCATTGCTTCGTACACTCGTTGAGCCTTAAAGTTGCCCTCCCAGACGCCCAACCACATGATTCGATATCCCTTTTCTCTGGCCAGTCTCTCAATCTCTCTGGTCAAGGCCTTGCCTACTCCTGAGCCGTGGAAGTCTCTATCGACGTACAAGCGCTGTAACTCGACGACATTGTCTAGGTCCTCAATGCAGGGTTCGGTCGTGCCCTCGGTCAATTGGGCGAATCCCATGACACGGCCGTCGGAGCTGGAACATGCCACGACCAGATGTTTTGAGCGGCTTCGGATGTCCTCTTCGATGGCGGAGATGCTATATGCCTCGTCCAGATAAGCATTGAGATCTGGCGTTGGGATGGAGAAGCCAAAGCTGGTAGAGAAGACGTGCGCGCCTAGGCTGGCGATGGCGGCTGCATCTTGAATGGTCGCCCGTCTGACGGTGAATGTTGGCAGCCGTGTTCTTTCTCGCTTAGGCGCTAACTGGACTGCTGCGGGTGAGGAGATGTGTGCATTGAAGGAGAACTCGCTTGAGGGATGAGGTACTGCTGGTTGAGCGAGCATATTCTTTGTGGACGAGAGCGTAGGAACAATCTGGACTACTTTATCACAATGCTTTCCGCAATGCTGACTTCTCCAAGATTGATATATTCGAATCTCATACAGAATGATAACGGTAATGATAGCTGGTATGGGGGAAAAAAAAATAAAAAAAATAAAAAAATCAGCTTTAACGACCTGCCATGAGCCGCGCGCCCTGTTGTTGAAGTGCTCAGAGTGGCACACGCAAAGTAACCCCCTGGGGGCACGCCCTGTCACAAACACAAGCTGATCACAGAAGGCCCTGATGGAATGCGCGCCACTTATGACGATCCAAACTTGCCTCCTCTTGAACATCAAAGGCGGATTCTCCATCTCAATGCCGAATATTTTGTGTCCGTGTTGCTTTTTGAGATTTTTCTTCCACGGTCATCCCCACGTCCGTCAAAAAGCATAGATAGGGACATTAAGGGCAGCCAGCACCGCAGATATCCGAGTTCATCCGCGGTTACATTTCCCACAAATGTTGGTATACAATCTCGTTCCTTCGGGTACCTACTGAAGAGCGACGACACGACATCACTGGAAAGAGAGAGTAATTTTCGGCAAGGTCGGATTCCATATCCAGGGACATCTTCTTGCAAAAACATTCAACTTGTCCTCTGAAGACAGATAAATACATTGACGCTGGTCAGCCTTGGTAAACTGTTCAACCATCGGACAACAAATCTTCCTTTACGGTGATTATACGTTCACGTAGGTTTTCCAACCATCAGACACCAAGTCTCTGTTCGTTGTGACCGTATGTACATTCCCTAGGTCTCGAACTCAGGCTAAGACTCCATTTCCGTTCTCTTGATCTACCAAGATAAGGTTCTCTCGCCGTGGTCAGCATGACTTTCACCATTGGGTTCATTTCTCTCCCGCCTCACCCATGTCTTCCTCCTCATCATTCCCCCATGCCATAGCACCACTTCTGGTCAGACACACCTCAATTACGCTGTTGAAGTGGACATGAGCATCTGACTTGTCGACCGCGCGCTCGTCGTCGTCAATAATCCAGAGACCCTCGAAATCTGCACTCCTCTTTGCTGCACAGAAAGCCAACTTCGCTGCAACCGTCATCACCATATCTTTCTTCTGATAACATCCGACGTTTGAAGCCCTCTTGTCATTATCGCTGCCAGGGTGATCGTCTAAGGTGCGGACCCAGTCAGGTCGGAGGACTTCGCGGCGAATGGTGATCTTCTCGAGGCTGCTGAGGAAGGCCGGATTGTTGCATATCATACTGCGAATTGGCTCGTACACATTCTGAACGGTCTCTTTGCATAGCTCTTCAGCAGTGCCGGACTTCACAAATGACAGATGGCGAATCAATCTCGTGGTTCTTCGTCGGAGGCTGTCAATACCAGTTGGGTAGAACAGATCGCCTGGTTCTGCTGCAATAAAAGTGTTTTCGCCATACAAAATCTTGGTGGCCTCCTTGTAAACCTGACTGCTGAGCAAAAGGATTGAGGTATCGATTCGCGGAGGTGCAGTCTTGCCTTTTTCGATTTTTTGCGAGGAGAAGACGATTCCGACCGGCTCTGGGACGAGGAGGTAACGATAAACGATCTGGCGGAATTCGAGACTCGAGTCGAGGAAATTGATGCTCGTCAGAGCTGGGTGCTCCTTGGTTTCGGACTCACCGAATTCGGGGTCAGAGACGACGTTCGATCGGGCGCGCAGAGCACGCCAAATGGTGTTGTTCACTCCCGGGAGGTCCATCATGAGCTTGTCATACGATTGATTCATCCAGCTATCGAAAAGGTCGTGTTCACGTAGAGGAACGCGGTCGAGATCGGGTTCGGTGTTGGTGGCAGAAGTTGCTGGTGCTCTGAGGGTTCTCTTCATTATCTGGTCACGTCGGGCTGAATCGATGTTCGAGCTCCTCGAACCTCTCGAACCCTGAAAGACCTGAGGAGTTTGGAGAGTCTTGCTCATGAAATCGCGGTCACCATGTCGAGGGCAAATGGGTCGAACAAAGGCAGAGGAAGAAGAAGGCGAGCAGATGCACGAACCAGGACGGGTATGCTTGAGCGTAACGATACAGGAAGCCATGACCACAATCAGTTAGACATGCCGGTGCAAAGAATCACAGTGTTGTTGTAGGGATTTAGTCGCGATGTGAGATGCAGAGATGACTTGGGCGCGCGGCGCAGCGCACTCAAGAGAAGTATAGCGAACATTCACATGGCGAGGCTGCGGCAAATAGGCATGACAGAAAACACCTTTGACTGTCCACAGCAAGGATATCACAACCACAGAATTTTGGCGGTCTAGCCGTACAGAATATCCGACCGAAATATTATTCGTGAAGATCTTGACTTTGAGGCCACCTTGGATCTTGACACACAATCATCACAACCTAGAAGTGTCTTTAGCAAGCTATATATAACAAAGAGCAAGGAGCTGGCAACATCTCTTCCTCACAATCAAAATTCACCGTGGGCGCATCGAACGGCCGGTATCTTAGGAACGGAATCATCCCCGAAGGTCTTACAGACTATGTCAACAACATAGTCATGAAGAAGACACCGATACTGACATGTGCGGACAGTTTGGTTCTTTGGTTTTTGCAGTTGTCCGTTATGACAAAGGTTCTCCAGCTCCTACCCATTTGGGATTTCGCTGCATCCTGTCCAGTCAAGGGTTACCTGAATGAAATAGTGGCACTGTCGATCTATCCGTTGATATCTCATCCCACCATACTGTCAGGCCAATAAGAGCGCAGGCAAAATAATCTCGTAATCTTGGTCACGTGCTGAGTGCCAAGCGAAAACAGCCGAAACCTGACCTCGACATCATGAGCTTCACTTCAATAAACTGCATCTGGCCCCAATCCATCTTTACAGCAGTCATGTCCGCCAGCATGTTCTCTCGCAGGGCCATGCAGGTTACTACCCGGCGATGTAAGCCACGATTCAGCTCCAACAACAGGGAGAATTGGACTGACATGAGTCTCATCTAGTGGTTGCCGCAAACCCCTCCGCCTTTAGCAAGACTGCTCTGTCAAGATTACCCGCTCCGGCAGTTATAGCAACAGGACAACATCTTCAGTACAGGTCTGAAAAATACTCTACGACCATTCCTTGTGTTCCGGAAGAGAAGGAAGAGAGGCGGGGATTATACCCTTCCTCTTTGCAATCCATCCTCTCCATCCTGGACTCCCATATTGGTAGAGGAAGTCATACTGACAGCCTTTCCCATCCAGACAAGCAGCCACTACAACCACTTCTCAAGAAGCGGGCTCCGAGATCCTTGCCGCCCAACGTCGCAACCGCCCTGTCTCGCCACACCTCTCCATCTACCAACCACAGATAACCTGGTACCTATCCATCCTACACCGTATTACGGGTGCATCACTCTCGGGAGCAATCTACGTCTTCGGCGCCGCATACCTGGTATCTCCATTATTCGGCTGGCACCTGGAATCCGCCTCCCTGGCCGCAAGTTTCGCAACGCTGCCGATGTTTTTGAAAATCGGACTCAAGTCTCTCATAGCGTTTCCTTTCACCTTCCACTGTTTCAACGGCCTGAGGCACTTGGTCTGGGATACCGGTTCTGCTTTCACCAATAAGCAGGTGATCCAGACAGGTTGGACGGTCGTGGGCCTGAGTGTAGCAAGCGCATTGGCTTTGACTTTTATGTGAGAGAAAAGTGGTCGAAACGGAGAACCGGAAGAGAAAGATTGAGAGTGTAAATAAGGTGTTATACCTCAGAAAGAGAATTTTATGACGTGTCGGAATGAACCTCGCGGAAATTGCTTGGTCATTGGGCTGAACAGCACCTATAGTGCCACTGTTTCGCTCTGAGCATCCCGGCTCGAGTCTCCCCATGATCAGAATTTTAAAAAACCCCCCACCCGCGCTCCTTCTCCCAGGGAAAAACTCCGGCGCTATGCGATGCAAAGACCGTCCCATGACTTCGAAATCTAAATTAGCAGGGCCTGGATACAACATTGGCTTCTTCACATTATGTTTCTCATTCATCCACATAAGTCACCCCGTCTCTCAATTCATGGATCACACTACTACTCCTCTGTCGCTCATCATCCACATATTTTGTGCCATCCCGCAATTCATGCACCACGCTAGGAGATCTCCTATTCATCGTGCTGCGACGAGGTGTGAATTCTCTTCCAGCATCTTTAGAAGCTGAAGGTGTCAATGAAATGGTCGATTCTCTTCTTTGATTGGTCTCGTTGATCGATGGTGCATTTTCTTCATGTTCCTCGTCGTCGGTGACTGTGTCTTCCTCACCCTCGTTGGCAAAATTGTTCCTCATGCTTCCTTCCCGTCGATCTCTGGGCAAAGGCTTGTTGTTAAATCTAAGAGCACCTTTAATGCGGCCAGGTACTTTCGTTCCAGCACCGGCAGAATCATCTTTGGACTTTTCCTTTGCCTGGCTTGATGTTGGACACTGTTTCTTGCCGTTTGTTTGCCACCAGCGGACAAGCACGTTCGCGCCTGCCATTTCATCTGGCCCATATTCGATAGGAGGTCCAGAAACAATGACATCAGACCAAAATTTAGGGCCATTAACGTCGGACTGGAACACCGCCCAGGAAGACGTGTCTGCACTCAGCAGCATAAATTTCCGCTTCGCAGTTTGGACTTTGAAATTTCGGAGAATGACAACATCGCCGCGCTTCGTGATGGGAAGTGCATCCTTGACAGGTCGGAATATTTGCGCAGATATGATTTTGCTTCTCCCCGAATCAAGTGAAGAATCAGCTAGTCGTAGTGTGGTGTGATAGTCTTTTGGTCCGGACTTGGAACGTTCCGGCTCTGATGATTGTTCAGTGCATACAGCCTGAATATCTACCAGTTGACCAAAATGCTCGTGCAGAGTGGCAAGAGAAGGGTAATACGCCAGAGATGTGGTGCGGCCACGCCGTCGAGACAAAAGCGGCTCAGTGACCTCCATGTCAGCCAAAGTGTGCACGACGCCGGACAGATGGATGCCATCTTCCCCTGCCTCTTGATCTGATGTGGTCGTCCGTCTTGATTTGGCATGCTGTTGTTCTGGCGAGGATGGGAGACTGCTGAGCTCTGTTCCTTCAGGATTGATGTTTTCTTTCCGAGACGGAGACGATGAGAGTGCTTGACCAGATTTGCGGGAGGTGAAGTACGGGCTTGAGATGTTGTTTAGAATGCTGGATTTTCTCGCTGAAAGTCGCTGCGAGGTTCGACGTGGTGGTGCTTCGTCAAGTTGTGGTGTGGTTTTGGTGATGACGGCCGAGGGAGTCTCAATTTCCTTCGCCACTTGGGCTTGCGATACATCCTCTGCGACACCCTCTGCAGTTTCTCCCTGCGTATGACCAGGAGAGGGGAGTCCAGCTGATGCTTGTTGCTTCATTTTATTTGGCTCGTTGTCAAGTTTATGTTCCGGAGAGTAATATTCACGCTGACTTTGATCGGGGGTTGGGAGTTGTGTTTGAACTTCCTGTTCATTGATGTGGTCTACCAATAGAGGTGGATGCGCAGGTATAGCCCGCTGTCCGTGAGGAAGAACACTACCCTCCTCATTGATAGCGTCGGACACAGGATCGAGGTCTTGACTTTTCTGTCTGCCGGTCTCATATACTGCAAATTTAGGCTCGGCTTGCACCCGTTCAGCCTCTTCAACTGCGTCGTCCGTTGGTTCAGACACGACATTTTGTTCTTCAGGGAGGCTTTCGCGTTCATCGACATTTTCATCTAAAGAGTGTACTTGTGAGTGATGGGTAGGGGACCGACGACTCGAAGAACGAGAACTCTTTGTTGTATGTCGGTTTTGTTGGAATGGCAATGGCGGAACAGGATAGGCGTCCGGCGACCGGCATTCAACAGCACTGAGAGTCACTTGCTCTTGCCAATTCGCACTCGGGTCATCATGGGGGGTAGCTCGAGGGCTGCTTGCAACCAGAGTTTCCGAACCAAAAGAACGGCCAACAGTTGCCACTGGAGACATCTGAAGGAATCGTTCTAGAACGTCAAGCGGGCTTCTCGGTTGTTCCAATGAGGTTGATGTTGTCGGCACATCATTGCCCTTCGCCGTATCCTCTGGGGCCCCATAGAGATCATCATCTTCGACTTCAACGATCTGAGCCGCTTTGTGAACCACGGTGTGGAGAGAAGGATCCTTCTGAGTCCTTGACCATTCCTGAGAGATCGTTGCCTCCCTGGAAGGGAACCATTGTTCGGGAAGAATGCTGTTGGACAGCTGACTACGAATCGACCTCTCAAAGCTTGAACTGACTGGCGCTGGTGATTGAGCTGGCTGAGCGATATCTGGCTCATCAGTATCTTGAAGGTTTTCATGCACAGCGATCACTTCTTGTCGCTGAGTCGACGTCTCCTCCGAGACCACACGAGGCTCATCAGAATTGACTGAACCTCCATCATCCAGTGTTGGCTCTTTTGCTACACCTTGAACAGCGATCTCAACTTGCTTCTCTCCCGAGGCGTCCAATTGGGAGATATTCTTTTCAAACTGTGGAAAGTATCCGACTTCAACGTCAGAGCGACAAATTAATGGTGAGACCAGAGGAAGCCCCGGAGACGTAAGCGGCAAGAGTCGAGGTGTTGTTGCAGCTTCCGAGTCTTCCTTGCTCAGATCATGAGTACCAATATCGGGAGAAATTTGCAGTCGATTGGTCCTAAGGGGTGTTTGAGGAGGTCCCATGATCACTGGCGGAAGCGCCGCACTTTCTTGTATCGTCTCAGAAATCGAATCGGGATGTGAAGCTTCGGTGGTTTGTTCTTTGGCCAGGTTCACAATAGGAGGTGCGGTGATAGCCTGTGCCCACGAATTTTTATCGAGGTCTTCCTCTTGTTCGCCGCCCGTAGCGTGGTGCCCTCGGATCGAAGAGAGATCTATCTCTTGACAGCTCCGAGCAGGGCTCTGCTGTGTGGATTCTCCATTCTCCACCACTGTCGAAATCTCTTCCAGTCCTTCCTCGTCTGAATCGACCAGACTCCATGCTCCACTATGTCTGGCAAACTTGGTACGTTTGCGACCTCGACCGACAACATAGCCATCATCCTGAGCGAGCAGATCCAGAGAAGCATCAATAAAAGTACCGCCAAAGGAATTTCCCGCCGATTTCACGGGTGTTAAATAGGGGACCAGGATGGTATTCGCCTTGGGGTGCACCACACCATTCAACGGTGGCAAAGCATCTTGTCTGCCGCCTCGAAGAGTAGTAAGCCCATTCAGAGCAGACGAATCAGGCTCATTTCTGGTGTAGTCTATCGTAAAGGTCACTTTGTCGTCTCGCAATAGTTGAAGAACAAGCCGGGCCCGATATTCCAGATCCCAATCAATCTTCTTTCCGGGCGTTGAAACAGCGTCGCCCGTCTCTTTCCATTCACATCCAGTCAGGGCCAGCTTGACCAAATCTCCAATACCGATGTGTGACTTTGCGACTTCTCTTGCGCATCCGCCTCGAAAGACAACTTTGACTTGGCCTTTGAATTTTCGGAGGCGAATGTCGGTGTCTGCCAATAGCAGCGCAAGGGTGTCTGTAGAGCTTGAATAGGGCCAGACTAGAGCGATGTTGGCTAGAATGTAGGAGGAAGAAGATGCCGTCGGACATGGAGATAGCTGGGCAATTGGGATACGGTCAGAAGGCTCGAAAGATGGCCTATTCAACGGTTGCTGCGCCACCGTGGTCATTATGGCGACCAGAGGTGGTATGGGACATCGACAGCCATATCTCGAGCTCGGCACTGTAAGTTAGAAGCCGCCAGCAATTGCTGGGTGGATGAATTGTTGGATATGGATTGTGTCGATGTTTGAAGATTGTGGCGCAGACCAACAGGAACCATTCAATTGCGCCGCAGACGAACGCGGTCAAACTGCGGGGAGGCGATAACAAGGGCGATTACCGAAACGCGTTTCATTCAACATCGATCTATCTCTATCTTTCATTTCTCTCTTGTTTCATTTGTCTCTCCTTGCTTCGACCCTGACTGGATTGAGACGCGCTACAAGCGTAAACGAGACGACCTGTGTATTCCACATTCGCCTGTCATCTGTTCCTGGACACAGAAACATGTTTTTGTTGGTCTTGAATGCTTTGCTGCCTCAAATCTGCGGATTTCCATGGATCACATTCTCATGAGTGGCACCTAAAGTACCAGCAAATGGAGCAATCCCCCCAGCCGCGCTTCTGGAATATGAAACTAACAATCTGTTATTGAGAGGAGATGCTTTTCACTGAATATCCATTCATTCACGCTGCCTGCGCTTTCTCTCCTGTTCTCTCTTGTAATACCTCTTCGTTTCTTTTCACCTCTTACCATTGCCCTACCCTGCAGAGATAATACCCTACACTAGACTATCGTTCACCGATCGCGATTGACTCGCGCTTTTCTTTGTCTTTTTTGCACAGCTTGTCGCTGCCCAGTTCAGCTTCAGGAAGGACCAACGACCAAACTTCTTCTCACACCGCGTCTTCACGATCCGGGTGCAATGCTTCACGTGCCGCTGTTATTGCTGCTAGTCAGCACATTCGTTCAAACCACATTGGCAGTGTATCAACTGGTACAGGACTATTCAAGAGACGCCTTCTGGCAAGGCTTTGATTTCTTCACAGATCCTGATCCAACCGATGGCCTGGTGCAATATCAATCTCTGGAAGACGCAAATGCAACGAGTTTGGCAGGTTTCATCGAAGGAGGAAACGCATCTTTCGCGATCTACATGGGCGTGGACACGGAAAAGGTTGCTCCTGAGGGACGAGCGAGTGTTCGAGTCTCATCCACACAAACATTTCAACATGCTTTGGTCGTTGCAGATATCGTGCATATGCCCGGAGGCGTCTGCGGTACCTGGCCGGCGTTCTGGATGCTGGGAGCAGACTGGCCGAACAATGGAGAAATCGACATCGTCGAAGGGGTGAATGACCAAGCTGCCAACAGTATGACTTTGCACACCGGACAAGGAGCAGTGGTTACCAATGGCACCGATTTCTCAGGACAATTGATTACTGCGGACTGTGATGTCAACGCCGTCAACCAACCGACAAACGCCGGGTGTTCCATTGGCGACGTCTCGAATTTGACCTTTGGAACCGAGTTCAACGCAGCTGGGGGTGGAGTATTTGCGACCGAATGGACGTCCGATTTCATCAAAATATGGTTCTTCCCTCGTGGTTCCTTTCCCGACGACATTGTCACCAGTACCCCAGCCCCGAGCGAAACTTGGGGCACTCCAAACTCTCTATTTCAAGGCCCGTTCAACATAGACGATCACTTCAAGGATCTGCAGTTAGTTTTTGATACCACCTTCTGCGGGCAGGTTAGTGCCTTCCTGCGCTGCTTGCTCGTTCTTTTATACTAATTCTTTGACCAGTGGGCAGGTCAGGTTTGGAATACCTCAGCTTGTGCGTCTCTAGCACCAACTTGCGAGGACTATGTGGCCAATAACCCAGCAGACTTTGCCAATGCTTACTGGGCGATCAACACTTTGCAAGTCTTTCAAGATGATGGTCAGAACGGAGGCAATACAACGGTGAATCGTGCGCCACCACAGAGCGAACTTGCCGGAACAGGGGTGCAGCCCCCTCAGAAACTTCGATCGAGATCCGGAAAAAGCGTCCGTCCGATATATCTGTGATGGAAAGGACATTCCTCATCCTTTTAGCGAGGCGTTAAGGTTCATTGTATCAAGGTCTGGTACCTTCAAAGGAACATCGGTGGGAATGAAACAGTGAAAAGGCAGGAGCTTATCGCTATGATGTCAACCGATAGGAGTACTAGATACAACACGTACAGCAATCCTAATCAACCACTGGACGAGCAAAGATAGCCGTCTCTAGTTACCTGATAATCCCGTCCCTATTCAAACCTGGCTGGTATTCTTGTATCCCTCTCTTCTTCTCTCTCACATCTTCTCGAAACAGACATTAGCCTACCCAACTCCTGGGCTCTTTGAGTGAGTCTAGTTAACGATGACAGAGAGGGAAATAGTGATCAATCTGCCGATTCCCGATGCGAACATCAATCGTGAGAAGAAAGTTGATAACTCAGAAATTGCCTCGAACGGATAAGGTGCGACGTCCATGGTTAAGCGGCCAGAGCTCATAGTCGTCCACAGCCGCCGACCAATTGAATTCATTGGCCTTAACTTTGAGATACATGTTCCACCAGATGACACCATCAATTCCACCCTTTCTTCTACTGGTGCATCGATTTCTACCTGCGGCCAAAGATCGGACGTAACCTCTTCCTCTCATGTTCCCCCTGTCTGTCGCCTTCTCTTGGTCAGCCTTACTAGAGGGGCCGCGTCTGTTATTAATCCCTTGGGCATCAGAAGACGCAGACACCATGAGTTGGTGTCGTTGATATACTACGGTCCTTTCCCGGCCCTCGTTGTGCCTGATCAAAATTTTGAATATGGTGGACCACAGCTTCGTCATTGTGCGGTTTGAGTTTGATCAATAACCCGTCGCCTCCGACTCCCACCCATGGTTCGAGTGCAATGTTATAATGGAGCACATTGATATCATTGCACAGGGTACGAGCGTCGAGTGAAGGATTGTTCAGGTTACAAATGTAAGCACAAAGTCACCTTTGAGTGAAGGTCTATATGCTTTTCTCCCACCACCCAGCCTTGACTATCTTTTGACCCATCTTGGTGGTTATCTTTGATGCGGGACTAAGGGCATCTGTTTATTCTTCTTTCGGTCTCTTGTTCCCTCATGGCTCCTACAAACTGCCACGCAGTTTTCAAGGACCGGCCTCCCGATCGAGAATGAGAACGTGCTTCGACCGTGAGACCAGATGAGGAAGCGCGTCCACCATCACAGCACGTTGGACATGCCCTGTCCGAACCGAAGTCCGAGGCAGACTCTGAGCCGGAACCGGAAACGTTCGACAAAATCGAGATCACCGAGGACGATTGTATAAGTGAATTGGGATATTCATTCCCCAAACGGAAAAAAAATGGACTATTCTCACGGTAATCTTCCTTGTTCAGCTCTCCATGAATTTCAACACCAGTCTTTACTCCAACGGCCTTGGTGGAATCTCCGATGAATACAATGTCAGCCTTCAAGCAGCTCGATGCGGCGCCATGATCTTTCTCGTTCTTTACGCTTTCGGCTGTGAACTATGGGCGCCATGGTCAGAAGAATTAGGGCGATGGCCTATCTTGCAATTTTCGTTGACCCTGGTCAACATCTGGCAGCTTCCTGTCGCCCTAGCGCCGAATTTTGCATCGATCATGGTGGAAAGGGCCCTCGGAGGTCTTAGTTCTGCAGGAGGCTCGGTGACTTGGGAATGATCGGTGGGTTGGTGCTCTAAAGACGATGAATCTATTCGCTAAACTTTGCTGCCAGCCGATATGTGGGATGCGGACAATCAACAATACGCCGTGGCTTATGTGGTCTTTTCGTCTGTATTCGGCTCCGCCTTAGGCCCTATCGTTGGAGGTTTCGTCGAGCAATACCTCGCCTGGAGATGGAGTATCTGGATTCAGCTTATCTTCGGCGGATTCGTCCAAGCTTGTCACTTTTTCCTGGTCCCGGAAACTCGTTCAACCATCATCATGGACAGAGTTGCAAAGAAGCGACGCAAGGCCACCGTTGACAGTTTCTTACTGAGCCGATCGTGTTCACGCTCTCCCTCCTCAGCGGTTTCTCTGACGCCCTGATCTTCATGTTCATACAATCTTTCAGGTTGGTGTATGAACAATGGCACTTTGCCACATTTGCAGTAGGACTGGCATTTCTTCCCCTTGGAATCGGCTGTCTTCTCGCATGGATTTCTTTCATCCCTGCAATCAGGAGAAATATCCATGAGAGGCAATCGAAACCTGGTGATGAAAAGGCACAATACGAGTCCCGACTGTGGTGGCTACTCTAGACCGCCCCGGCGGTTCCCATTGGGCTGTTCGGCTTTTTCCTGGACTATTCAAGGCCCTCCCATCCACTGGATCGGTTCCATGGTCTTTGCGACTCTTGTGGGTATCGCCAATTATGCGATTTACATGGTAATCGTGGACTACATGATATGTGCATATGGCCCATATTCGGCCTCTGCTACAGGTGGTAATGGTTGGTCCCGAAACTTCCTTGCTGGTGTTCTCACCATCCCTGCTACACCGTTCTTTGAGAGTGAGGGATATCCACATCTTGCATATGACTGTTTGCTAACATCGATCTAGACATTGGTGGTCGCTATCATCTCAACTACGCAGTAACCATTCTCGCTTGCATCGCCACCATCCTTGTCGTCGCTGTCTACGTCATTTATGGGTATGGGGCTGTTCTCCGGAAACGATCACCGTTTGCCCCAATCACTGGCAGATGCTCGTGCCGACAATGAAGGCCGTCGTCTCTCGTACCTACCGTCAGCGTCTGGGACTTCGGAGTCTCGAAGACTCTCACGAGTCAGTACGGATGCATCTCGTCAACTTAATTCTCGAAGACAAAGCCAAGCCGCATTCCGCAAGCAAAGCATGCCTAGGCTGGGATCCGGAATGGTTAGGTAATTTTGCCCACCGTAGTCGATATTCATGATTTTGGCGCGAAGGAACATGTCTCGTGAACAATTGAGGACTCCCTTTTCTTTCCTTTACCCAAAAAAGGTCCGATCGGGAATTCTTATGGTATTCATGGTCAGGTTGTCGCCTTCTTGGAGAATGGGTGAGTTGTGCCGACTCAAGTATGAAGGAAGCCAAAATATGGCAAAACGAAGTTGTTGGCGCCTTAGCATCGTAGCGGTTAAATGAACAAGAGGATGTCCACGGCTGCATTGCTAGAACTCGACAAGCTCCCATTTCCTCATGATGCACTAGGACATGGAATGACCTTTGGGCCTTGTGCTTGAATTGGTATTGATAACGCATGATTACAGGGCCACCTCTATTGTTTCAAGAAGATATCAACTGTAGGTTTGCCAGGAGTAAGACAGAGCTTGACCCCGAGAAATAAAATCTGAGGACGTGGCAAAGCAGTTAGTCGCGTGCTGTTGAAAGAGGCCTAGGTGTTTTGGTTTGCAAACTCCGTGGTTGGTCAACGCATGTGATCGGATACCGGCAGTACTATAATGAATGGCTCAACGGAAAAAAGGAGCATATAAGGCAAAAGCACTGACCTCTCATCGTAATTGGCTGCACAGATGGGTTCAGGTCGGCTGGATCTCTCGGTTAGATCGTCGTGCTGACAACACGAGGGCCAAGAGTTCAATCCTCATGCTGACCATTAATTGAGTGTATTTCTCTTTTGGAGACTTTTGGATCTGTTTGTTTTGCGGGAACTCGGATTTCCTAGGAGGGGGAGGGCTCGTAAATCACATATCGTGGTTTGTGGGAGAGCAAAGAAGCTTCTTTATGCGTGGATCCACTTCTTCACCTAGTTCCTTTGCAAAGACTATCTCGGTCGAGGAGCAGAGAGGAAAGAACTTGCAATGCTAGCAAACGAGGGAAATTGAGATTATAGCGTCGTTCAGAACTAAGGACCAGCAGCCGATAGCTTCCACGTCAGATGCACGATGATATCTTGGTGGTCCTCCGTTATTTCGACGTGGATGTTGCTAATCCAACACATCTAGTTATTTCAATCCCATCCTAGGCGAGTCAGCCACGGAATTTTAGAAGATTGAAGTACAGAATGCTGTACTTACAGGGACTCCCGAAGGCTCGAAGCTGTGAACGAGCTTGCTTTCATAGATCAACAGCGGATTGCCCACTCTGGTCTCGTCCAGCTTTGCTTCACCCTCTCGCTTTAGATATTGTTTCGCTGTCCTCTCGGCAAAACGGCTGTCCACACCATTGACCGTTGGAGCTGTCCTGGTGGCATGCAGCTTCTGTTCCACCGTGCTTCGGACATATTCCAGATAAGGGGGATTTCCTGGCTTGATGACATTGTCCGCTGCGAGGACTGACCCCGGGGCAATCAAGTCCAGCTCTTCACACCACTTGAGGTCTGTCGTATAAGCAGGCTTATAATGATCCAAAAACATCAAATCGATATGTCGGAGGGTTCCGTTCGAGTGTAACCTTTTGATGGAGACGTCACTGGAGCCGACAATCACCTTGACGATATCGCTCAGGCCAGCAAGGTCAACCAGTGAGGCAATAACAGCCGCGAATTCCGGATTTCGTTCAAGACTGAAGTATCTTGCGCCGCCGGCCCGGCGAACCGCATCCCCGAAGAGAATGCTGGAGTAGCCGACGTAGCCACCGAGTTCAACCATGGTCTGAGGTTTGACCTCGGCGATTAAATCTGTCACGATCCTTCCTTTGTCTTCTCCTACATTCATGAGGTATTTCTTGGTTCGAGCATACTCATCAATGGCAGCCAGCACTTTGGCCGGTGAGTTTCTTATCTCGTCGATATCCGGCCTGTTGTAGATGAAGTGCAAGAGCTCGATCTCGCGGCCGTCGTCGAACTAAAATTCAATCAGTATCCTCCTTCAGCGAAAATGAAAATAGAGATACAAATGTCTCTTTTTCTTGGTCCTGGTACTTCTTTTGAGGGTCGAATTCGGCCATTTTGATTCAGGTCAATGCTACTAGGCGGAAGTAGAGCTGAGGGAAACAATGAACAGACAATATCTACAGGTCATTCGCCACCCAAATGACGGTTCCCGGGATTACACTAACTTGTCGATTCTTGGGGCTAACCAACAAGGATATACGAAAGTCCAGATCGATTTGTTTCCTAGGTGGGGACTTTTTAGTTTATCAAACCCGGATAATCACTGTGGCTAGCGCCCGGAAATCAAGCTCCCTCATCGATGCGCGGCCAATCAGAACCTGAAAAGAGGGAGCACAGAGCTGCAAGGACCGAGTAGGACGGATGAGCGCAGACTTTGAATGCACCTGTCAATGATCGAAAGAAGAAATCTTCGGCGGACTTGCCGCTGTTTTGATGCCCGATCGCGTTTCTTCCACTTAATCCGAATGTGGTCTAGCGAATTCCTTTCTCTTGACCATGATGCCTATGCGCACTGCCTTTTTCACCGACCTGTTTGTTAAATTTAATGAGTCACACTGCTAGATGCTCATGGATTATCTGTTAAACTTCCCATACTCCTCGCCACCGGTTAGCCAGGACTGCTCTTCAACCATTATGATCTTCTGTTTGTGGGGGGAAAAAGGGGGGGTGAATGTGAGAATCTGAAGCCTTGGGGCGCGCTGATCTCTTTCATCCGACGACGAAGACAGAGATACTATCACGCCGAAAGCGAGAACTTAACACAATCAGCAAGAGTCTGCCTTGACTGTGTGTGAGGCGAAGAAGTCTCCCAGCGTCTTGTAATGGAATCGCCTTAACGAACTTTTCGCGGTGATTGAAAATCGGGGCGGCCTGCCAGCTGAGGTAGCGCCGATGGTGGAAACCACGAGAAACGCAGTTTTCCCTCTTGTTTTGCTTGGCCCACTCTGTAATAGTCTCAGAGCAGCGTGTAAAATCATCTATTGTCTACCAAGAAGCGACGGAATGAATGAGAGACTGTACAAGAGTGTTTGTCATGCGAATCGCCTCATTCGGCAAGCGCAACTTTTGACGCGCTCGAGTTTGAAATGGCAACATCAACGCCCGGATTATACTTGCGTTGCACCTCCCGATCCATTCGGAGAAGGCATGAGGGGCGTGACTTGAATATTGGGAAAAGAGAGAGAAAATCTCTTCAGGAAAAGTGAAGAGCGTCGAGAACCACGGCCATGATTATACCTCCGAGGGTGCCGGCGATGGGGATGGTGAGAATCCATGACGTGAGGAGAAGGCCGACTCGCTGGAAGTTGACTGCCTTCCAGGTGCCGTTGCAGAGGCCGACGCCGATGGTGGCACCGGTGATGCACATCGAGGTCGAGACGGGCAGAGAGTATTGGGAGAAGATAAGCACAGTGATGGCAGCGGCCAACTCCATCGAGCAGCCTCCAAGAGGAGCAGCGTTAGTCATCGTCCGGAGGCACACCCGAAGGGGAAGAGAGACCTACCTCGGCTGGGGGAATGGTACGTTATCTTGTTGCCCATGACCTTCATGATGTTAAAGCCATAAGTGACGAGGCCAATGGAGAGGGTTATTTGCGAGAACGGCGAGCTGCCAGACGGGGACAGGAGCCTTCGACTGGGCGGCATCGCCGGTTTTCCAGCGGAATAAACGACGGCCCAGGGCCCCACCGAGTTTCCAATATCGTTGGCTCCATGGGCGAAAGATGCGGTGCAAGCGGTGATGATCTGGACAAACGAGTACGTGTGCTCGACTTCGTTGGCGTACCTCGTGGCATGTCCATACACACGCGCCATGCGTTGACCCTTGGGGATGCCAGCGATGCCAGTCTGTGCGGCATGGATGTCGTAGTGGGCACCATAGAGCATCCCCACGACGATCATAGCAGGGAGGCGTTTAAAGAGGAAGATCTTGAGGTTGTGAAACTCGTAGATCTTGCCAGCGCCCATGGGGTTATCGTGGAGGGTGCGCATCGCCCAGCCGAGCGGACCGCGGCCCTTTCGGAGCTTGGTATGAAATCTCTCCTGGACAACGGCATAGTTCGGGACGACGGCTCGGTCGGCATGGGCCGGGGCTGGACGTTGCCATAGCTGAGGACCGTGGAAGATCATCCACCACCGGACGGTGCTGTCCCTGTTGATGATCTTGGCGTGGAGGAAGGGGACGAAGAAGATGGCCGAGAGGACGCAGAGGCCACCGCCAGTGCCCAGGGTGACGGCGACGATCCACCAGGAGGGCTTGTCATCCAAACCAAGGTTGGGGGATCCTTTATAGACGATGGACAAAGTGCAAACAGTACCGGCTATGAGGAAGAAAGCTGGTGAGCTGTAAACGGCCCAAGGGACAGGGTTTTGACGAATGTGCACGACCAGCTTGATGAGCATGAAGATGATCGCACCAAAGCCGGCCGAAATGGCGGGAGCCATGCCCAGGCCAGCAAAGATGGCACCCAGACCCTTGCCATCGTTCCAGCCCCATTGGACTTGGGATGCGCCGGCGACGGCGACACCCACGCCGGCGACGGCCGAGATCAGCGAGTAGGACGACGGGACGTGGGCGGAGTGCCGTGTGCACCACATGACCCAGGAGGAGGCCCCGGCGAGGGCGCAGGTGAATGCGAGCATCTGGACCCCAGCATCGTCATGGAAGCTCTCGAGGGGGATGATGCCGTTCTTGATTGTGTCTGCTGTTCGGGCGCTGACAGTGATGGCCCCAACCGTCTCAAAAACGGCAGCAAGGACCATAGCCCATCGATACGAGATGGACCTCGACGAGACACTGGTTGCCCACGAGTTGGCCACATCGTCTATTATCCAATCAGTATCTATCCTTCGGATACAACAGAAAACAAGACTGGACAGCCTTCTTACTTGCACCATGTTGACCGAGAGCGAGCTGGTGTCAGTCGATGGTGGAATTCGGTATTCGGATTGAGAGACAGATAGAGACCGCACTGGACCCGGCCATGAGATACCTATATACTTACTTACAAGAGGCCGGATTCGCAAGTATATCCGTGCTGGGCTATATGTATGGAAAGTTCAGACTTGTGGAATTTGAAAAGTGTCATGGTGAGGTATGCAGCGAGCCACCGGGCTTAACACGTGGGCTTGCCCAAGTCCATTCCTCAAGAAGTCGGTTCCACTTCGTTGATGCCAGCTAGCAAGCCAGATTGTCGAGTAAAGCCCGACGTTTAAAACTGAGGTAACGTCTACGCAACGAACTGCAGAAGGAGCCAAGCATCTATCAGACAAAGAGGAGAAGGCATTTGACGAGACAGGACAATCGTACAGGTTGTGGATACTGGGCCCACGAATGGCTTGAAGTATTAGAAGACTGGATGAGGAGCTGCCCCTAAATTCTACGATGGAGCCGCACATCAGACGTGAGCAGAATTCAAGAACGAGATTGGGCCGATTCTCGTAGCAGCACATTCAAAGGAATCAGAAGCTGTCCCAGCCATCCTTCTTCGAAATTGTTCTCTAATAATAGGTCGTCGACCGAAGGCGCATCCAGAAGGCTTTGTAGAGGACTCGCAGGAACGCTCCCCTCCAGCCATTGCCCACATTATTGGTCGCATTCGGATTAAAAGCGGTCTCGTCGGTGGTCTTTCATTCGTGTTGTGCGGATTTGTGTCTGTACAGCTTTCCTCTACTTCACTCGATGACTCCTGCATCCCGGTTTGAGGCGATCCGAGGGGTGAAGATCCGTCTGGTGTTGCGAGAGATGGGAGAGACGAGAAACCTCCGTCGTGATTGAAAACCTTCAACTGGCACTGGATGAAGGGCATAAGTGATCGTTATTACCTCTTCGACTTCTGCGATATAGTCATCATCTATCTGGCTTAACCGCTTTTCCTCAGGTAGATCTCAGTAAATTCATTTCAGTTTCGGTGACCTTCATCCGATAACCAACCATTTCAGGGAGCTGAAAATACCACAAGGAACAAAAGCTTACTTCATGGAGAGGGAGTGCCAGCAGTAACTCGGCGGTGACCACACTCACCTGGTATTAGCAACTCCAGGAGGAAGCAGCAACAAGACTTCCTAGCCCATCGTTTCAATCAGCCGGCTTCATCGTTTCCTGTTTTGATCTATATTGTCAATTCTTTTCCGACGCTGGTCCCGTGAAATCCGTGGACGCTGTTGCTCATCTAAGAAAATGAGGGCGTCAGGGCTATCCATGATGATCGACGCGCAGTGATAGGCTTTCCGCTGGTCGCAACGGCGTACACTTGGTGAGAGTGTGCACATTGGATACGATGTACTATTACATTTGTCCAGCTCTCTCGCAAACTCGTGCTTAATTGCCTTCCCAAGAAGGCAAAAAGAGAGAGCAAGTTAGAAAGTGGTTGCGGATAGATTATGATGCAATACTTGCTGGGAGATAAACTTCAGGGAGCACTGCCTTCGAAATTTTGTCCCAGTTGTTTACCGGCACCTGAGTCGCGGCGAAAACAGTGGCGTTTCCCAGCTGTAACTCAAGCCAAGCGAGGTCTTTCGAGTCACTAGGTATGGCTCCATTTCGCCCCCATTGTTTCGCTGAAGAACGGGCCGCCGATTGTCTAGAAAAAGACTCTTTAGCTTGGATGGCAGCTTGTCGTGTCGGACGAATGCAGGGCCGTTGATGTTCCTTCCCCTGTCATCGTCCTTGTACCTCCGTTTCTGGTGGATGACTGCTGTTCCTGTCTCTGATCTTGTGTCTGAATATGTGGTGGGATTTTGTTTGACTTTATTATGCTTTGGATCTCTTGATGATCTATTCCTCTGCTTTTGGCTGAGCTGCCTTGATTTTCCTCTCGCAGTGTGGCGGTGGGCCTGATCGGTGCCCGCTTCTACTTCAGGAAACATTCACCAGAATCGTTCCCATCGTCCTGTCGTCCGAATTTCACCTGAACGGGAATGGAGAGTTGAATCCCTCAAGACCACAGACTGAGTGCCATCGTGGCAGGTAAGCAGCCATCTGTATCGCTGGCGTCCTTGGATGGTTTCGATGTAAGTTTGTCTCCTGTAAGTGGCTGTTGGGGCACTCACGTGAGGAAAGAAATATAGGAACACACGGATCACAATCTTTCCCACCTGACCGACCCAGATACCCGTCACATGCAATTTTCCGTGCACCAAGATACTCGGCCTTAGCTGCTTTCGCAAGTATTTTCGGAGGTTCCCGTGGCCCAACAACGGAGAGGGCAGGGATGCATATTTTGACGCCCTGCAATAACATGCCGAAGATCGTAACACATTCCAGCGGTTGTGGAACAATTACCCCCGGTACTGAGCTGAGATTGGTAAAGCAATCATGATCTGTCTGAAAGCAACTTGAAATGGCAGGCCAATAACCCCGAGAGGGAACTTGATGTCTTTTTTTTTAACCGCAAAACCCGAGCTTGTATCACAAAGACCCACAGAACATCATTGGATAAGGTTGCTCAAGGACAGCATCTACAGATACTCTATGGTTGCCTTGGGGGATGAATGTCTAAAATTCCGACGAGGAGAGGTTGTGACATGTGGAGGAAGAGGCCGCTCGGTTCTACGAATGGCACCAACTTATCAATAGAAACAATATTCCTCTGGGTGTGGTGAAGAAACAAGCGGGTGAACGGTGCCGTAGCGACGGGTGGATCACGTATTGGAACGTGTCCGACCTGCTTGTGATCTCAGACGCCCCGCCGACAATCCTCGATCATATGCGCGACAGGACGCGATTGACGAGCTGACGACAAGCTCAATTCACATGTGCGATTAAGACGTTCGTGGTCAAGCATCATCCTCATCAAAAACGCTTCGAGATCGAACCCGAGTCCAACAGGCGGCCAAGGCTGATCCTAGTCTTCATCATGGCAGATCGAGTGTAGTGAGTGCGAGAACTCGGGCAGGAAAATAAGGCATGATAAAGTCCAGGGGTTACAGCCTTGCTAGCCAGTCTAGAGTTTCTGATACAGTACCAACAGACTTCTGTAAAGTTAGGAATGAGCCAGACTACTCAAAGGAAGAAATGTGCCCTCCTGATATCATGGACTATCATAACCTCGGGATTGACGATGATGATGATGATGTTTATGTATCTGTACAGAGCCGACCCCTCACAACCGAAGAGAAAGACAACCACACCACTTACTACCTTTCTCTCCCTTTTCTGATCTCTCCATTCCATCTGCCTCACCACACGATCCTGCCGATATAATTGTTTTGGCCCTCGCATAACGTCATGATTCATGAAGGAAACTATTGCTAGATGTTTAATGCTTGAGCATCCGTGGTCTTTTTTTCTTTTCTTCAGTAGCAGCCGTGCCAATTTGTCCCTGCGCCAGCCTATGAGTCGAACATCAAACATAGTCCAAAAGGCCATGCAGCTCCGACTCTAGGTAAAAACATGGATATCTGTAGCAGATACTATGCGTCAGATGCTTGCAAGATACAAGGGGCGACTTTGTTTCGCCGCCCCGCCTAATCCCACATACGAAGAGTCTGTCGCGCCGTTTCCAACAGTTTTACCGAATGAACATCCCCTCGGCTCTACCCCAGAAGTTTCTTGTCTTACTGACGTGGTCAAGACCAAGCATCTCGTCTCCGTCTTGAATAAGGTCGACAATGACGTCTTCGTCTTCAAGGTATCTTGGCTTCGCGTAAAGAGCCCTTGAGACCAAGGCGAACTTGATTTGTTGCAAAAGTTTGCCCTTGATGCCTGTTCGCTTGCTGATTCGCTCCTTGGTATCTTTCAGAGGTTCACCAGGTTTGAGCATAAACTTGAAGGGAGTTCCATGCTGCTTGCTGGGTTCTTTGTCGAAGTGATAGCAATAGATAAACCTGTCGTCATCAGACGCTTCCAGTTCCTCGTCAGGTATCCTTTCGGCGTAAAGTGTCGTGAATTCATTGACACCGACGACATTAAAGTCTTCAATCAATTCTTTGTGGATCTTTCCCCCGTGAACTTCGAGGACCCGTATATTACGGGCAGTTTGCTCGTCCATGTTGAGCTTTTTAGCGATACCATTGATTAAATCTCCAATAATGCCGTTCTTCGAAACAAGTATTTCCAATTGTTCCTGGTGTCGTCAGTCCCTGTCACATGGAGACGCTAATAATATCTCACCTCTTTGCTGATGCCGTCACTGAGCCAAACCACTTTCATGATCTTCTTGGTTTCATAATCGGCGAGGCTGGTTTCGAGAATCTCGTAGTAGAGTGCATCGCCACGATGATTGGCATATCCACCATAGGAGGAAAATTGGGACTGCAAGATTTGTTGGAGGTTTTGGTTCAGTCCGCGTTTGATCCATGCTTTGATTTTATTGTTCGTCAGGCTGATCGTTGCGAAGCGAATATGGGTGGGATCGACCTTGAGGTGTTCGCCCGCCTTTGACGAAAATTGATCGTATGTCATCTTTTTGCTGAGACTGAGTACAAAGGCTTCTCCTTCCGTACCTGGCTTGGGATAAAAGCTGACAGGTATTCTGTTGAGAAGATAATCGTAATATTGGCGTGCGTCCGTGTACGTGACGGTGCTCGAATCAAGATCGGGGAGATTTTGTTGGAAGCAAATGATATCGCCGTCTTGAATCTCGGATTGCTGGAAGGTTTGTTTTGGCTTCATAGCTTCGATCATGGAGAACTTGATCTCCTCAAATAATAGTATCGATGTGGTGGGATCCCACTGCATGATCTTGTTAATCTGAGGTGCAATTTCGGAGACCTTGTCCAGTTTTCTAACATAGACATGACCGATCCCAGTCAGGGTCTGCGCCTTGACATCGAAATATTTCAGGAACACCAAAATCGGCACATTCCCCCCAACCGCTTGGGCGGGATCCGGGAAGTGGACTTTGCCATCATCTGACTTGGATCCATTTTCGGCCCACAAGTAGAATGGACGGCCCCTGGATCCATACTTGTTCATGGCCTCTTCCATGGAAATGTCAACATCCCTGATTGGTTGGTCCGGTCTGTTTGTTTTATTCTGTCTGCCAACCATGACCCAAAATCGGACCTGGTCGGGATCGAGTCCAAGCTCCTCAGCGATGGTGGCGGCAAATTCCGAGACTTTGGTTGTGCGCAGGAGTCGATGAACTTGTGCCGCAGCTGGATCGGTCTGTTCGAGATCATAACTCGTCAAATCGAAGCCGTGATGGGCCTGGAAAGTCTTTTCCGTTATCAGACCAACATTCATGTAGAGATGTGCTTCTTCTCGTTCCCTTTTCTTTCTCGCAAGCTCGGCTTGTTCCTCGGCAATTTTCGTCTCGATGTGTGGTGGAATGTCGGATTCGGTCACATTGAGCAAGACCTGGTCGAGCCTGCTTTTCCGGATATACACCAGCATGTATGCATTCATGGATCGCTTGGTCGAGTAACCTCTCAGGTAGGGCTGTCTTTGGCCCAGACCCCCGTTGGCGACGTTGGCATATTCCCCGCCAAAGTTCTCTTCTAGAACCTCCTTCATGGTCGATCGGGTGACGCGGTCATCGTCAAATTTGTAAAAGCCACCATCCTTGGTGGGCTTCAGGAATGCGTAATAATGGCCAGCGTTGAAATCGCCACTGTGAACGAGGACGCCATACAACTGATAAATCCAAGGCTCCGTGGAAGCCGCTTTGGCGTCGTCGGACAAATAGAGGGATGCGTCAAACTCTTCGGGGAATTCATGTCTGTCGTTGACCTTCATCATCGCGTCTCGATTGATGTCGTACTCGAATCTCTTCAATTGCAGGTGTAGGACGGGTGGGAAACTCTCAAAAATGACACCCTTCTTGGCGTCTTGGAGCTTGTAAGGCTCGCCAGCGTCATATTTGTTCTCGCCTTCGAGAGTTTCCACTTGTATGTAGTCCATAAAACTCTCGTGCAGATTCTTGTTGCCTCGGACATTGAGTTGGATATCCCAAAACTCCTCTATTCGGGAAGACTCGAAGTCAACGTTGATGCACGAAATGTAAGTCTTGGTCTTGCCGACGAACAGTTCCGGAAGAGTTCTTTCCGCGGGCGTGCCTTTCATCTTTTTCTCGAGCACCTCCATTAATATTCGAGAGAATTCCTGAACATCTTGTTGTTCGAAGATTTGCCGCGTGTCCCAGCCAAACGAGGCCGTCAGCTCGTTGGTGGATACCGCAAACTTGTCCTTCTGGAGTTTGTAGAAGAGTCTCTGCAACGTCCAAGCGCTGTTACTTCGGTTGGCCTCGTGCTCGGTCGGAATTTGGTACACGGCTTTGCGGAATGCATCAGTGAAATACAGGGACTGTAAGAGGGAATTCAAGTAGCAAGTTGCTCCCTGGTTTTTGAGACCAACCATGCCGGTTTCCTTCTTGGAATCGTAACCTTCAAAGTTGTGCCATAAGACACCGGTGGGATCCTTCATGACACGCACGTAAGCGGTCAATTTCGCTTCGTCATTCTCTACCAGATTCCTCGTTCCTTCCTCCCAGGGTTGATTGAAGGCTTTTCTGAGTTCCACGAATCTGGTGAAGCCCCAGTCGCCCTCTTTTGCATTGAATCGGTGGGTGGCGGTGTGAGTCCGGTATAAGGTGGGGTCGTTCGGATTCCATAGGACAAGGGCAAATTGGACACAGGCGTACCAGTCCGGTGGAGGCTCGTTTTCGAATCCATGCTCGAGGTAGAACGAGGCGCAGTCTACCTGGTTCCCATAGGGAAAGAACAGCACCCTCCACGGATGACCACCGCATTCGAATATCGGGCCATGCTCTCTCCTCGTCAGTGTCCGCCATTTCTCTATGTGCCATGTGTGATATGTCTCCGCGTCAGTCTCGGTATCAGGTAGATCGACAAGGACGTGTTTCTTCATGGTTTCGACTGTGAATCGGTCAGTGCGGAATTGAGGAAGGATAGTGAGGTCGGTCCATACAGTCATCAGCCCTCGGCAGGGCATCCGCCGGTTCTTCGGAGGCATCGTCAGGGGAGATATTGACGACCTCACTTTCTTGCTGGTTGTACTGATCATACCCGTCAATCAGCATGTCCGGGCCTGCCAACTGCAAACGGGCCCATAAAGAATCAACGTCAGCATCCATGATGGCCACAGAACTCGAGACGGTGAGAATGTGAAAGGAAAAGGTAGTCTAACGTACGTTGTCCATGCCGGGCGTCTCGAGCCGCACGTTATCGGGGAACGAGTGTATTGTTGTTCCTTCAGCTTTCCGCAGATGATGTGTACGCGAGTAGCCGCAGGTGGGAGGGCCACACCAGGCTCTTCAGCAAAGGTAGGCGACCAGGTTGGAAGGGAAAGGCAGGTTTGGATACAGGGGAGGGGCAGGATTGATGGGATATTTTTGGCAGGCAATCCAGCCTTTGCGAAAAAGATAGGAACTGGGGGATAGCAGCGGGTGTGGAATAGCAACAACAATGCAGACTTCCACAATTTGGGGCGTTGTGCAAGTCAAGATCAGATCCGTGGGAGGCCACTGGGCTCTGGCCGTCACGGGCCAGAGGATTGGAATGACGAATGAAAATGAGAGGCAGCTTGGAGAGCCACTACGATGTCACTCGCTTTTTTGCTGCACTCACTTTTCCCTTACATTTGTGACTCGCATGATCGCAAATTGAAGCCTCTGTGTGCGCAAATCCTTCCATGAGCTTACTCCGATGACAATGATGAATATGTCACCGATTGCCTTGCCGAAAACTTACTGTGACGAAAGTGTGTCCTCGGTTGGCATGAAATGCTGCAGGCCGCCTGCACCTCGAGGCTGTACGCCTCAAGCCTGAACAGATGCTTCACACTGCCCCCTCGCAGATGGGCTTCTTTTCAAGGGGCCCCAAACCCTCCTCCGTGGCGGCCCGCCTCCGCCTTGGACGAGTAAGTATATGCATTGAGTGTGGAGGTCTAGAGCCATGGGTTAAGTTGATCTCGCAGCTGGGTTGACCGCCCCATTCGTCCCATCAGTCTACGACAGCTGTTTTTCTTCGGTCGTACTTTGACGGAGAGTCGATTGCTCAGTTCGGCCAACTATGTTCGCATGGAGCTGCCCACGAGGTTTGGCCTTGACTCCCCTCTGTCGTGCTTTACTAACTCGACTCCAGACTGGCCCACCGACTGCGTGAGATGCAACGACTTCCTTATGTCGTTGTCACCAACCCACACCTCTCTCTTGTCTACGAATTGTACTACAAGTCCTTCGAGAATTTTCGTCGAGTTCCGGTGATCAGGACTGTGGAAGAGAACGACCATTTTTGCAAGATTATTGGAGAGAATCTGAGAGAGCATTTGGCCGTAATCCCGAACCTGGTCATGGGAGTGCTCGAGTGCCAGGATCTCGTGTCGGCGGACACCATGGACAATTTCGTGCAGGCCATGCTCCGAGCTCGAATCTCCCGCCGTGTCATTGCTGAACAACATCTTGCACTGACAGAAACATTCAACTCACCGTGGCACGTGCCTCAACCTAGTTCGGAGAACGAGTTCGTCGGCGAAGTTTTGCTTCGATGCAACGCGAAGGAGATCATTGAACGCTGTGGACGATTCACTCAAGAGATCTGCAAGTCATCTGCTGGCGCTGGCCCTATTGTACCCGACATCCGAATCCAAGGCCACGTCAATGCTACATTCCCATACGTATTGAGTCATCTCGAATATATTATTGGGGAACTGTTACGAAATTCCGTGCAAGCCGTCATGGACAAATACCGAGACTCCCGAAAACCACCTCCGCCAATCGATGTTCTCATTTGCGAGGCACCTCAACACGTCGTTGTCCGCATCTCCGACCAAGGCGGAGGTATCCCGCGCGACATCATGCCTTTTCTGTGGTCTTTTAACAAAGGACCAAGAAGTGCCTCGCGACTCCAGAATTTCAAGGATGTCCCAACCCTTGCAGCCACAATGCAAGAAGTTCGACAGGCTAGAGATGAAGTTCAGGGGGGACGGGTGAGAGATTCTTCCCTGAGCACGCTTGCATCGAGGCCCCCCGGGCTTAAATTGGGAATGGGTCTGCCGATGAGTCGAGTTTACGCGGAGTATTGGGCCGGCGGGCTGGAATTGCATAGCCTGGAAGGTTACGGGGTCGACGCCTTTTGGCAGATTTCGAAGCTGGGCAACCAAAACGAACAGCTTACCTCACGAGCAAGCATCGACGCCGTATAGGGCGTTCCTGACCGTGGAATTTGTCCCGTGGACGATCGACGCTTCCTAGCGAACCTTTCTAGGTCCATGAGCGCAGATAAGCTCCACGAAAGGAAGCTCACATGGATTGCTGCTGTCACCTATCCGCCCACACCAACTGGGGACCTTTTTAAATTTAGGTCTGCTCGTGCGTTTCAGCACAGAGCGGAATAATCATTGACCGCCGTTATGGTCTTTGATGCGTGAAGGCCGCTGATAAACCACAGATACTTACATGACGGGAAGTGACATCTTGCAAGTCTGAAGACGAATGGGGTCAGCAAAATGATCATGAAATTCCTAGTGGAATGGTAGAAAATGGCCACCATATAGTTTCAGATTTGCCTTTGGACGTCATGCTCAGCCAGCAAGGCGTGTATCTCCTGCGGCTGAGCGGTCGGCTTACCAGAGTTGATATTCTCTTCATCAGAATTCGGACCAAAACGAAGGCGGTAACACCCACCTTTGCCATCCAGAAAAAAATAGATTATGTACAAATGTTCCGACAGTCAGGTCATCACCGCATCATGGTAGCCGTGGGCCCTCGTGATGATGGTTTTAGATGCGGAAACCCGTTGTGAGGTTTACTCTCGACACACTCATCGGAATCACCAGCTTCATGGTGACGAAGGGAGTAGTAGCTGACGACGATTTGAATTGGTGGTCTGCAATTTGAGAAGAGGGAAAAGAAAAAGCTGAATTCTTCAACGGAGGTGGAATCTTGTCCCTTGCGCTAAGGCCTGACTGGGATTAGCTGGTTTGAGGGCTCGGACTAAGCCCTTTTTGCAACCCCGGGCTTGCTGCGCGCAACATTGATTGGCGATTGGTGGCCAGATCCAGTACCAAACCATCTGCAACCACTTGCACACCAAACTGCGCTCCCACTGTCTTTCTCAATTCCTTGACTCGAACTCGACCTTCATCTTCACTCCTCGATATTGACCATTTGTAACAAGACTTTGATCCTCCCCGGAGCTTTTCCTGCATTTGTATTTCCACACCCCTTGCTCTCATTTGGCCGTTCGCCGATAGTGTTCAATTCGATCGCTAGTTCATCTCCTCCAATTTGTCTAACCACCACTCTGTTTCCAATCCGCGGTCACTCGCTTTGCGCCCCGAGATCACTCCGGAGTTGACGCTGGCTCTCACGCGAGCTTTTTCTCTCTTTTCCTCCTGCCGCCGTTGTTGTCCTGCTCATGGAAAACGCAAATTTGTGGACTAGACGCTCTAAGTGGGTTCCCGCCGCCGTTTTGATTCCTTTTGATTATTGCCCAGCATAATGCTGATAGTTCTTCTAGCACCGGCAAGCTTTCGTTGTCCATTAGAGACCAAGAAGGAAAGGATGGCTCTAAGATAGACTCCCCCCGATCCTACAACGGCCGACGCTTTGGCGATTCCTCCTCGCATGGGAAGATAAACCCCTTCAACGCTCTCTCCCCATCCGCTGCGAAGTCCCCTTCAGCCGGCGCATCTTCTGCTTTCGGGCTAGGCAGTGGTGCCTTTGCATCATTCGGCTCTGTGGGCTCTGCGAAGAAGACCAACACCCCCGGGACTGCGTCGGCTTTTGATTTTACTTCTCAGGAGAAGAAAGAGAAGGAAGCAGAAACACCTGGGGAATCCTCGGAGGTAGAACAGACTGCAGAACCCTCCTCTCCGCCGAAGCCCTCAAATAACCCCTTTGAACACCCACTCCGAAATACGTGGAATTTGTTTTACCGACCTCCCGCCAACAAATTTTCAGATTATGAAAAGTCTACGCTCAAACTAGCTTCCATTAGCTCGGTAGAAAACTTTTGGACGATATACTCTCATCTAAAGCGCCCTTCTCTATTACCCACGGTCTCGGACTATCACATTTTCAAGGACGGTATTCGTCCGGTCTGGGAAGACGAGGCGAATAAGAAGGGCGGGAAATGGATTGTGAGGCTCAAAAAAGGCGTTGCTGACCGTTACTGGGAGGATCTCTTGTTAGCAATCATTGGTGACCAATTCATGGAGGCTGGAGAGGAAGTCTGTGGTGCAGTGCTCAGCGTGAGAAGTGGCGAAGATGTTTTGAGCGTCTGGACAAAGATTGATGGCGGCAGAAACATCAAAATCCGGTATGTCATCATTCCAGACGTCGCCCTGTTGAAAAGTCACTCACACAAGTGCAGGGAAACCATCAAGCGATTACTAGCTTTCCCCTCAGACACCAACATTGTATGGAAAAGCCACGATGATAGTATTGCCCAACGTTCCGCCCTCGATGAGGCTCGCCAACAAAAAGCAAATGCCACTTCGGGTTATCCGGGAGTGGAGAGACGGCGTCAAACATTGCATGATGATTCTGAAAAGAGCAAAGGACGAATTGCATCATAATAGGGGATCCGAAAATCCCCTCTGTAGGATTATTGCATGTATTCTCTAGATAGGACCTGGCTCCAATGAGGAGAATCCAAGTCTGAAACGCTGAAATTACTGATCAAATTCTTCAAATCTTTCCAGGAATATTACCCTTGTTGATGTTGTGTAGAAGTTGCCGAAACCATCGTCCTCTCCGTTTCCATGGTATTGGGGGGCCATTTGCTTTGGCCATTGTCGATAACCTTCATCAGCAACCTTGACGGGGAACGTGCAAAAGATAGCTGCGGAGTTGAGGACGACGCCCACAAACTTTGCTACCTCCCACGCATCCCTGTGCCGATAGTAATATCCTCATGTTGGCAACAAAATCCTCGATTGGCTGCTCATCAAACGTTGTTCTTCAGGTGAAACGCTGCTTGTGCTCAATACAAAGTCGCGACTCAGCAACTGTAAAGAAGAAAACAGTTTCTCGCGCGAGCATGACAATCTGACACTCGGGATACTGCAACATGCCCTAATATTCAATCTCTTCAATGTATTGGTACCCGGTTCTAGAGGAACCTGTACCCACATTCGGGCCATGGGCAGCTAAGGCATCGATTTCTTTCGCCCCCCCCACACACACACAACTCAGGAATCAAGATGGCGGGGGTCATATTCAGTCATCACATCATCGTGGTGGAGGAACCTCTCCAAGGAGATGTGTTCCAAGTCCCAACATTCCTCGTCCTCATAGCACTGCTGGGCTGGTGGGATTGAGCTGTAGTGTAGCGACACGCAGCCTCGACGGACCTGGATTTGAATTTGTGGGGATTTCCTAAGGGCACTTTATCTCTACAAGTTTAATTGCAACCCCCAGTTTTATTCCATACACAAACGCTGCACAAGCACCGCATGAATGAATGCCCTTCAATAGAAACCGCAACCTAGTAGGAAATGCAGCTTCCAGCGGCAAATGCCCCGAACCTGGTTCGATGAAGTGGTCCGGGGAGGCTTACAATCCTTTAATTCGTTTTTTACATCTAGTCCCGGTCCTGCTGGCCCAGACAAGAATCCGACACCTCGCACCCACTCCGATGCCTCTGCCTCGCATTCTCATAGGGCTCAGATGCCCCAATACGGATCTAAACGATACCTTACCAGGAACGTGAGAAGATTTGTGGAAGATAATGACAATGAGCCCTGGGATCCAATCGAAGTGAGTAGCAGCCTGTGAATTGCTTGCATAGTTTCCACCACCAGCAAAGCTACCGATAAACTAACCGTTTCCCACGAGCAGATTGAAAGTGACGAAGACCCGCCAGCGAATTCAAGAGACCAAATAACAAGATCCACCTTCGGTATACAAGAGGCTCCTCGGCGGTACGTGGCCATCCACGGAAAAGAGACGTTCGCGGAAGGCATAACTGAATATTTCACTTCCAGAATGCGCCACGCGCCTATACACGACCGAAGCCAGACGTCAGAATCAAGAGACGAGGCCAGACTTCTCGGTGGGTTAACGTATGTCTCCACATCATACTGAGAGAATCAATCTGCTCAAGTTTATAATAGCAGACGTGATCCTGGCGCCGTCTCCATAGAGGACCCAATGAAAAGAATAGTCCCAGTACGTCGTCTCATTTCCATGCTGCTCGTTTCTGACATGGTTACAGTTCACGTCTCGCTACAAGCCACACGACACACTGAGCTCTGCACGTCCAGGAACACGATCAGAACATATTCTACATCGGACTCAACCATTACGAACCCCTGCCCATCCGCATACTAATTCTCAGTCTACTGGGAATGATTTTCGTACGAATGATCACATCATCCCTAACAAAAGACGGAGGCTCGAGGAAGATCACCGGAATGGGAGCACCGCTGCATGGGCAATTGATCTCGATGACGGCCAAGTTATGGACGATTCGCCCGATGAACTTCAGCTCAGTCCAATACCAGCCCCTGAAGAGAACAGTTTGAAAGATCGAACTCGCTCCAAACCTGACCATGAAGAGCATAGCTTGCTTCCGAGAGCGAGCACCCGGAACAGCATGATCTTCAGACCAGAGAGATCCATTTCCGACCGTCCTTCTCCAGAGGATGAAGGCGACTTTACGAAGGTCTCAGCAAAACAGAGAAAGGCTGAAAGGGACAAAATGTTTAGAAATTCTTCTCCGGCACCATCAAATCACCTCTCAGCCGGCAGAATTTCCTCTCCTTACTTCAGTCGAGCCGGGACTCCGTCGGAAACGCAACGTCAAAAACAAAGGCAGAGTCGCATGGAAGCCCTCACACAGGAGAGCCCTGATGCCCTTCATGTCGATGATACCTCAACGTCTCAGCCACAACCTGTCGAATCTGGAAAGTCTCTGGTTGAAGTGTCAACGAGAGATCTGAGACACGTGCACACTGGGAACGATCACAGCACAGGAATCACCAAACCGGAAAAATGGGCCCACAAGAAAACATCTAAGTCTCGGAGTACTTTCAAACTGGAAGATATTAGATACCCCGGCCCGACTTGCCACTCAATGTATGTCTTGGAGGTGGATAGTGAGAGGAAAGAAATTTCGATCAATACCGAATCGCAGATGTTAGGAAATGAACCTGTCATGGAATCTCGACCAATAACAAAGATCCAACACGTTCAGTTTGGTACTGACGACAGTCCCCTGGTAAGACTTCAATTTTCTCGACGCGAAAATGCACGGGAACACTTTGAGGATACAATGAACCTGAGGTTCGGCTCGCACAAGGACGCGTACAACTTCGTGACCCTCTTACGAAATTTGGTGGTCACTCTAAAGGTCACCGACAAAAAACCGTAAGCGCTGACACGATTCAGGCCGGGAAAAGTGACTGACTGTAACCAGAAGCTGGATGGAGGCGGCATTTGCAAACTTCAAAACCGGTGCTCATAACGCCAATGCCGAGCCGAGCCGTCCTGATGATCTCCGAGCTGAACGACGTGCTTCCCCTTCCACGCCGTTGGAGTCAGCAAAAGCGTATACTGGCGAGAAACGCATTCGTCAGGTTGATAAGCTCGATGGACCATCTCTCACGCTCCAGGCACCTACCACAATATCAGGTGCAGATCGGTCTAGCCTTCAGGAAATGGATGCACCCCTCCAGCACATCAACAACAACGAACCGGCGCCACAATCCAAGCCCCGTGAGAAGCCACTGGATCAGTCTCTTCAGCTCCGGCGGGCAACTCGATCACAGGACAATAAAGAAGCACGTATGAATGGAGGGCTGCAGAGTCATGATCAACCAAAAATAAAGATATCAGAAACGGGGATATTGGGGAAGCCATGGACAAGAGATCTGGTGTATCCGAAACCTGGCAAGAGATCTGCAACGGTCCCATTTGAAGATCTCAGACGACTCGACGATGATGAATTTCTCAACGACAACCTCATATCCTTTTTCATGCAATACCTGGAAACGCATATGGAGAAGAACAAGTCAGACTTGTACAGGAGAATGTACTTCTTCAATACCTACTTCTACGAAGCGCTCACCAAAAACTGCAAAGGCAAGAAAGGCATTAATTACGATGCTGTGAATCGATGGACAAAGAATATCAACATCTTCAACCGAGATTTTGTGATTGTTCCCGTTAACGAGAACTTTCACTGGTACCTTGCCATCATTTGCAATCTGTCATATTTTTTACCAAAGCCTGACGAAGAAGATGAAGATCAAGTTGATCCAAATATTCAGGCTACTGAAGATGTCGAATCCACTGATCAGCGAATGGAAGAAATCGAAAAGCAAGCTGAAGCATCGACTGAAGATACTCAGAGGTCACTGGCTGAGCTGTCAATTGGTGACAACGAGAAGAACGACACCTCTACGTCCACGGCTCAGCCTAAGAAGGGGCCGCGTCGACGCAAAGCTGTTCGTAGATCACTCCCAAAGTACGAAACAAACAAACCAGTCATTATCACCCTCGACTCTTTAGGCTCATCTCGTTCTGCTACATGCTCGCTCCTCAAACAATATGTGGCCTCAGAAGCCAAAGACAAGCAAAATTTGGACATTAATCTGGCTGATCTGAGGGGTATGACGGCAAAAGGAATTCCAACCCAGAGTAATTTCAGCGATTGTGGCCTCTATCTCTGCCTGTACTTGGAGCAATTTGTGACAGACCCGTACAAGTTTGTTGCCAGGATCCTTCAACGAGAAGAAAGTGCCCAGCAATGGCCTCAAAGAATTAGGAGTGGACATTTGAGAGCAAGATTGCGCGACTTGATATTGGAACTACATCGGCGACAAGAGAAGGAGTTATCTAATATGGATCTACCGGAGGCCGGGAGCATCTTGATCGAACAGACAAGAGCTTCCCCCGAATCGCCCCCTCGACGCAAATCAGCTACCAAGCAAGACATCGAGGAAGCGAGACTCAGATTTGAACGTGTTGCCAGAGAATACAATCGGAACTTCGAAGATCCTCCGGCAAAGGTGGCAGGACTGACTGACTCGACGCGAAAACCCTCTGCTATAGACAGAAATATATCAGTCGATTCTCCTATGGATAAACCTGTTTTAGGCGTTGACCGAGACAAAAAAGAGGACGACCCCATCATCATCTCGGAAGGAGAGGCGCGAAGCCCGTCTCTTTCGAAAAAGCTATCTCCATACCAGCCTCCTCCCAGAGCAACTAAAATTGATTCAAAATCTGCTGCCCACGTCAGAGCATCTCTGCCCACCAGCCACCAGGTCGCCGCGTCGAGATCTAAATTTCCTCCGCATTCCTCACCAGGCGAACTAGCAGCCCAAATGCGCCGCGGGAACGACGAATACGAATCCAATAAGAGACGTCGAATAGATCAGCGCGGCAGCCACTCTGACAGGAGGAGGTCCAGATCCCCGAGTGCATCTACCGATTTTCTATCTGGATTGCGCAGCTACTCGAGAATCTCGCCTAACTTGCCACCACCGAGGTTCAACGACGATTCAGACTGTGGAAATGTGGATGGAGACACGAGTATCAAGAGAGTAAGAGACAGCCCCGGGCCACAAGTTGTTGCGGAATGCCAGGCCACAGGTGACGAAGCAATGCATGGGCTGCGCAAGCGAAAGAGACGAATGGGAATTTCGCCAGAGAAGCGACCGGATGACTTTTGGGCTGAATTCGATTTCAATGCCGAGATCCCTGAGACACAGGAGTCGACGAATATGGAGCGAAATGATGGACTTGACGCTTTCCTTGCTCAGGCGGCCGATAGAGACTTTGAAGTCTATGAAGATTCAGATGCGGACCCGGTCCCAGAAGTAGTAGCACGAAACTCCACACGTGGGCATAACAAGGATGATGATGAGATGCTCCTTCACTGAAAGAAACTTTCTGCATCCATCCTCTTACGACAGAATAGAGCTCTTGAAAGTCTCGGGATAGCTGTGTAGTTCAAATAATGAGCAATGAAATGACCTGATCTTGGATTTGATTCGGATTCTAATCCTGATATACACTCACGATCCGCTTTTCCTGTCCCCTCTCTGGATTCTTTGGGACGCCTGTGTTCTCTGGACAGCTTCCCCGCTAACCCACCATATCTGTGTTATCTGTTACCTGCTTGTCATATTCTCTGTTCAATGCAGGAAGCCTGCCTGTCTACACGCCCTTTATTGCTGTAAATGTGTCTGAGCAGGCTCAGACCAAGTGCTATCAATCTTTTAAAAGCCATGAAGCAACATGTACGTGTTCGTACAAATACAGTATCACTTTTAAGGCTGTTGATCCTTTTCATACATAGCGAACCCTGCGGACGCTCTCGAAAGCTCAGAAGGAAACTTGATATCGCATATCGCACCCCCCCCTTTTTCACCAACAACTAGGGAAATACAGCTCATAGTGACTATTTACCGGCCCCTTCTCTCAGCCAGTTGATAGTAGGAGAACAATAACAAATTCTTTCATTTTGGGTAGAAGGAAGAAGTCCGATGTGATTTTCTTAGCCGCCAATGAAAGCATAGAGCTGGGCAACAGAGTTGAAGTTAAATCCTGTCGTCAAATATTTTGGTGTATCAAAATCCGTTCTGACAAATCTATCCAGTGCATAGATAGGTAGGCTGTCAAGTCAGATCGATGATTTCGGCCGGCCCGTGTGGTGTCTGTACGTATTCGGCGTTGGACGATGGGATGGCCGACTTTGGCTTTTTCGAAGAACCTTCAGCGCCAGAATTTACGGACCGTTTCACCCCTCTCTGGTCCGTGCCGGGTTGAGAATTGGTGTCTTGTTCTTGCAAAGGTGGCCGAGAAAGTGTCGCCGAAGCAGACTGCTGAGACGAATCTGAATTCGATTTCTGCCGGTGTGTCCTCCCATACGCGATCTCCGCAACATTCAAAGAGAGAATCGACCGAGCCATATCTCCGAGATAGAGCTCCAAGGGGCCAGCGGACCTGAGATCCGTCGTCTTTCGCTGCGCATCATCATGCCTACATCTCCAGGCCTTGCACTCCTCTCCTATCAAGTCCCTTTTCGTGATCTGCCAGACGTTCGGGTTGGAGTTTCGCAAGGTTGTGACGGTGTACGTTGTTCCATGGATATCTGTGAAATGCTGGTGCAAATGGTGGCGCCGCTGCTTGCCCACGGGAAATCGACCAACTTGCTGTCTCGGATCCTGCAGAAACCGGTTCACAGCCGCACAATCACTACAGAAAGTACCTCTGCAGCCGCGTGGAGGTTGAGCCCAGTTTACTCGGCCGCTTGGTTCCTTCCCCACGCAGGTTTGGACGTAGCGCTCTAAGATCTGAGCGACGAGTTCGATGCTTTGGGGAAGCGGCTGCTTGCTGGCCTGGTCGAGCTTGTGGCAATCGACCTTTTGCTCTAGGATCGACTTGACAAAAGGTACCAGAGTGTATTCACATACAACATTGTTTGCCGCTCTCACCTGCGTTTCGAGACACCCTTGGATTTCCGCATCGGTCAAGACGTTCAAATTGATTGTGTGGTTGAGTAATCCGGCAATGTCAGCTCCATTCAGCAGGCTGTCCTGATACTGCTTGTCTTCGTCCTCTTTTGTGAGGGGCGGTTTAATCCAATAGTTTTCTCTATTGTTAGTGCCGACGGGCAGGGCAATTGGCTTTGACTCTAGCCGAAAGTTCCGCCAGATATTTGCGAAGATCGGTGTACTAAGTGCCACTCGATCGTTCAATGACAAAGTTTTATGTGCCGTTCCTTCCTCTGGGATTTCATCCGGGGAACCCACCCACTCCATGAGCCGATTCGCGAACCCAACTTGGCAAGCCGTACTGCAGCTCTTAACCCGTGGCACAATCCTGGCTCAATGTTATCAAGATATTCATGGACAAGAGACGCTAGTCTGGCAAGCTTTCACCGGCACGTACCGTTGAACAATATCCTCGGACTCCCATGCATCAATAATATCAGCAAGACTCGAACAATCCACCTTGCGCATTTTCCCCGAGTTCATTACCTGATCTATAGCTTGAACAAGTTCCTCGGCCATCCACTGTTTGAATCGGGGAGAGTCAGCGAGATATCCTTGTTCAACCATTGTCAGCGCTTCGTGTTTGGCGGCCAGAGTGGTGGCAGAGTCCAATGCCGTCTTGATCCTAGATGCAAGTCAGCTCACACACCGAATATACCAAGTCTGGAAACTTCGTGTCTCTCACCTCGCCTTGGCAAGATCAAAATGGCCCTCAAGCGCCATTATGCGTCCCAGTTGCTCAAAAATTTCTGCTCCCCACGGACCGCTGATCCTCTCCGCGATCTTGTCATAAAGATCAAGTTTGTCACGTTCGAGTGCGATCGTGGCAGCTTCGTTCATGAGAGCTCTTCCGGATGTCTGATTACGGCCACCGATTGGAGGCAAGCTCCGACGCGATCCCTTGAAATTCGCGATGGCTTGACAGAGATATAATGAATCTGCTTTCGCGGACGAACACGAGTCTGCTTTCCTGCGCAGTTCTTTCATCCAAGACCACACTTTGTCATCTCTCCGATCGCAGTTGTACAAGAACTGGATGTTTTCAGCAGGAGGGACGATTATTAGCACCTGTAAGACAGAGAGGTAAGACGAGAGCCCAATGAAACGGGAGAAGACTTTCACTTACCGCATCACGATACCAAAATGTGGCGGTACAGCCTTCATTCCCAGTGAATCCAGAGTGTTCCTCCGAGTCAGGATCCTTCTGATTGTAGCCTTCCAGATCCAGAATTGTGTCTTCATCAACGTCCACTCCAGAGTATAGTGTGGGATCATCGACTCGGGAACCGTCCAAGGAGACAACGTGATTGATGGAAATCTTGCGTTCAAATTCTTCTGGTTCATAGGATAGACCCGAACTATACCCATTATAGTCGCCTTCGTCGTCCTTGATGACTGTCTTTTCCATGGTGGCAAGGTATAATTTAAAGTCTAGTTCAGCAGCTACTTCTTGCAAACATTGAGTTTGACCGAGATCTGAGCCTTTCAGGTGTCGAACCCCCAGATTCGCCTGTGTATATTGATGTTCGAATTTGTGGATCAAGTATTTCGGAGATGTCGGGTCGGCTTGAATCAAGGCAGTGTATTGGTTTAGGGCCGTCACCAATCGTTGCTTATAGACGCCGAGTGATGGTGGTGCCGGCTGGCCTGGTGTCCCACCTCGTCGGATCAGGTTGTAGGTCAACACCAGCCGATAACCCTTGGTGACAGGCTTGACTTGGTGAAGTACATCCGAATACCACGCTGCGAATGACATGCCGAAGGCCGAAGTCGGCGAAGTTTTGAATTCCACCGTGTCATCGCCGTGGGATAGCACAAGATCTCCTCCTTCATGCATAGATGACAGGCAAATAACCAGCGTGCCGAACATCCCCGGGACTTTTTCAGTATCTTTGTGCGGAAGGAAGAATGAGTCTTCTTCGTACAGGAGCAATTTGTACAATTCAGCGGCTACATTCTCCGTTCCGCAGCTGAGAAGCAGACCCTCGTAGACGTGGTGAAGTACTTTTTCCATCATCTCGTCCCATTCCGGGTTGGAGATGGTAAACTGAGATGGATCCAGCTGCCAGGATTTTCTCACGGCTGTGTTGACAACAGTCTCGGCTCCTTTGCCGAACGGGCTCTGTTTTGATTCGGATTTTAGGACGTCCGCATCATACTTCGATAGTGGTAGGCCGATGATACCGTGATCATTCAGTATCAAGCCCGGATTTGGGGGCCTCTGAATGCAGCTTCCGCAAGCGAATGAGCTAGGGCCTAGTATTTCAGATAAAACTGTGGCGACTTCATCCTTGATGTCATCGGCCAACGGCAGACACGTTGCCGCTTTTGCCATGATAGTTGAATAGCAGATATCTCGAAGGGAAAAGGACAAAAGAACAAGGCTATAGGAACGAGGCCCGTTCCCAAATGCTCAGGCCTAGCGGATCCACGTGTCAAGTCTTTCTCGTGTGCAGAGTTGAGGAGTACCAGTGGGGAGTAAGCGCTGTGGCAGTAATTAGAAAGTTCTGAAGCTCCCACACGCGTCAGTCTCTAGCGCGTTTTTCGACACGTGACAAGGCTGCCCTATTTTAGCCACGAGGCTAGAAGCAGACTAGCCCCCCTTTTCTATTTCTGCGGAGCAAAAGCAAACAAGACGAAGGATGTGGGCCCAGCCCGTCACGGGCTGGGTGTGCTTTGTATACTGTTTACCTCCGGGTCTGAATGTTTACATAGTTGTGATGCATATGGTGCACTCTCCCAAAAAAGCCATGACTCGCCGCAAAGAGTAGTACGACACCAAGCAATGAATGCGTGAAGGATGAAAGAGTGAGGATTTGATCCTTGCAGAATCGATACCTACCACAAGAGAAAGAGCCGCCGCTTGGTTGAGTAATTGGCAAGTTTGCACAATGTCGAAAGGGCTATAATCTCCCTACCGCATCTCCCCTGACTTTGTTGCAGGAGGTGAGATCTAGACGTTTGGTAAAGTCCCCGATTAAGATTGGGCTGGCGCCGTATCTCGGCTGAATGGGCCGAACTGTGATATTAGTCCGCTTCTCAAATTCACCCCAGGCTGACCGGGCGTTCTCGATAATATGCTCCAATCCAAAACCTGAAGGATTGAATGCAATGACTGCACATTTGAGCAGATGGACATGCTCAGGCAGCCTCACTGACGACTTGTGCTCTTAGGTCAGCCCGGAAAACTCAACCCTGAGGAAAAGACGATGTGTAAAGTTGGAAAGGCATGTAGTGCACAAGAGTGTTGACTAGAGCGAGGAACGGCCGCGTAGATTGATTTGATTGAATCCATGTTGCATTTGATAAAGATTTGATAAAGACAAACCCACTCCGGAACAGCCACATCTCCCTCTGTCTGTCTGACTCTCACAAACGTAACTGGAGGAAAAACTTGATCCATACATCCCAGGAGAGAGAGTGCGTGCTCTGACGTGGAAGCTCTTTAGTGTTGGTCTGAAATTTCCGTATTTAGGGGATACACGGATCGTTCGATCATGGAAAGACATATATACCCCAATATGGAAAGAGACTCGACAAATCAATCAAGGGAACTATGATCCACTTCCATGAAGTTCTTTGCACTCTGGTCCGTTGTCCTTGCAGGTCTGGATCATGAGAAGAGCAGAAACAAGCCCGGTGAGGAGCTGAAAGTCAAATTGTGACTTCGAGGCGTCCTGCTGAGGGTTTCAGATTTGTCATTCCCCTGTTCCGATGTCTCTTGTCTTTGCCAATAATTCCTGGGCTCTTGCAAACTCCGAGTTGTCGTAAGCCTCTTTCTACTGAACCTATAATCCATGGGCCGACCTGGCTTGTGCAACGCTTAACTTGATCGTCGGGCGGGGGCAGACAAGGTGTCGAAGTCGAATCATTGGAAGGAGATGATATCATTATGCTTACAGGAAGCTTCGTGCCGCCATTGATGCAGGGCAGGGCCCAATGGGAACCAACGTGTGGTCCAACCTCATCCTAGTGCTGAACGGAAGCAAAATCGATTCCCTACTACCGCACCCATACTCTGCACATTCCTGGAGGGAAGCTGAGGCGCTGCACAGCAAGGTGTGAAAAGTCGTGCAGAGAGCTTTATAGTCATGGAGCTTCGAAAATACATTCAGAAGTGGAGATTTGAGAGAGGTCTTCTATATGACTCAGTGATCGTTTGAAGAGGGAGAAATTGACTCTACCTTGGCAAGGCTTTGCATAGCTGCCTGTACCAAGCTTGCGTCACCCATCAAAGGGTGGGGGTTGGGGGTTGTGGACGACGGCATCCACCTTGTCGCAGTGTTGTCATTGGGCCTGGACGTCGGTGCAGCCTTCTGGAGGAATGATCTTCATTCTAGAGCGCCTTGTTGGAATCCTGAGAGCGACGGTCGTCTTTTCACGGGACGGTCGATGCCGATCAGCAGCGAACACATCAAAAGGAAGGAGAGGAGAGGAGAGCGAGGCAAGAGCTCTGGATCCCATCCACATGATTTGTCGCTTCGATGTCTCAGGTGTGGATTCATGGGTAAGCTATCGTTATGCTCCTTTTGATGTTGTGGCAGAGTCAGGTTGTTCATTCTCCAATGATGCTAGTACTAATTCGAAATTTTGATCTGTCGGGCACAGGCAAAGAGAATGAGGTTGACCCACAGAGAGAAGAGGGTTGCGAATAGATCAGCGAAATGAAATGGGCTTCGGCGTTCCAGAGGGAGTGTTCCATTCTAACTGCGGTAGATGAAGGCATCATGTTGGTCTGGCATGTTGAATCGAGAATGGCATCCAACACCACTTCCAGATTGGATGATCTCCAGACTCAAACCATATCCTCCAACTTATCACACAGGTATAATAATCCTCATAGGGTAAAAGTGGACCTCGCGTATTCTTGCTGGTCATTATGGAATTAGTTAGTCCTGAGCAGCTGCTCGTGAGGAGCCCGCTCCACTATTCGAAGAAACATGATCAAGCCCTCAATCCTCTATTGTTTCGTTCCTTGCGACGTCACACGGTGATACCTTCTCTCAATGGCAACAAGACAATCTCAGTGTATCACGCATCAGCGATATGGATCGAGCGTTGTCCCCATATGTATGATATATGAAATGTGGATTTGCCATTGCAGGCCTCATACATGCACCTCCCGCTCTCTTGAGATTCCCATATCAGTTGCCCATGGGTAGTCTTCTAGACCGAACGCTCCAGGTGAAAAAAATATGTGTGCTGATGAGGTGGTGGTGGCTAAAATTGGGGCCAGCTTTTCTCGGGGGACCAGCATGACGTGCTTTGTATGTGAAAGAGTGCGATGCAAGCGATCGACAAGGTTGTTTCCCAATGCACGACTATACCCAAGATCAAAGCAACAGGCTCGCTTATCCTGAATATTATGGGTGATGACTAGGAGTATCTTGCGTATGTTTGTGTCTGGGGTATCAAATATTGGAGGCATCGAGTACCTTTTCTGATACGCAATAATTTTGCCAAATTTTTACGTGTAAGAATTCGTATCTACGCAGAAATTTTTTTCAGCAAGGCGAAAGGAGCCTGATTTGTAAGTTGTAACCGTGGCCATTACATATTGGAGGAGGAAAGAAATTTGATGGAATTTATTGAGCAGCCAATGCACGACGAGCTCCTTACGGAATTTGTCATGCTGAGGACTATTGCAAAATACAAATGCGTCGCTAAAGCCTCAATCCCAAGTTGCCACCATTAGCAGTAAGGAGAAGAACCGTATGATACGATTGGTTGGGGGACTCTAATACGGATTGTATTAGTAACCCATACAACTCCAAATGATCGGCTTGTCGCCAGCAGCGGAGGATGGATGTAAGGCAGGTTGCATGTCATAGTACAGTCAAGTGGCTGACATCACTGCAAACTCAACCTCCTCTGGCCGACCACTCCGTAAGTAATTATTGGGGTTTCTCTGAGTTGCATGAACGCTGGTTCAAGGGCGACGGAAGGGTGTTCATAGGGATGATGCTGAAGACGTGCTGCTGTGGGTAGTCTGCTTGGAAAGGCCCGTTTGTGCGTGGGCGTCAACGCCGGACGGGGAACTTCGTCGTCGGGCTGAACGCGCTACGGCATCCATTTGTTTTTTGGTGTGCAGATGCATCATTCGAGAATAGGAGGTCATTTCCGCAACCGGGTCAGCCTCATAGTCGAGACCGTCGTGAGATCTTGCAAGACCTTTCACGGTGGTAGGCATCTTGGCTGATGAGAAGTCAAGCAGCCTGATAAAAGGTCTTGGGAAGTGTTTCTCCTGAGACGAGGAGAAGAAATTTCACTGGAATGAAGTATACCTAGATATGAGATACACTGTCAAGAGAGACGCATGCAGAGGAAAGGGGTTATGTTCGAGGGCAAAGTATACATATAGGTGTATACATCTCATGCTGATACCTGCAGCACGCCAGGCTGAGCGGCATAACGAATAGGAAATGACCGCCCTCACCAGACAAGTGGGGGCAAAGCATTCCCAAAAGTTTCTGAGGTAGGTGGCGTCTGAGAAAAGCCATTCAAACTGTCCGGGGGGAATGCAGTGGTATGCATGCCGCCTTGAGTGTAGCCACCTTCACCAACCTGAATGGCCAATCTGGCGAATTAGACTTGGAAAATATGACGATCATTTGGAGAAAGTTGGCATCCGATCCCAAGCAAAATGACGATTTCCATGGAGGACATGAAGATCGAGCAAATGAGAGTGCGGGAAGTCCTCACCAAGGCTTGAAGATGGCCCTGCCGATCAGTTGGACGGGGATAAGTCGTTCAGGGTCTCGAGGTCAAAGCATGCAAGATGATCGCATCTTGCATTCGACAGTTGTTTAGCCCCAGGACTAAGGACGGGCTCTTCTAGACTCAACGGGCTTTTCTCGCGACTTAGTCGAAGGAAAATTGACACTTGGGACCCCACGATATGCATCCTGGGGCTTAGCAGAATACTGACCTGATCATCGCCGGAGGATTTTCGCGACTGAGGTCGCGACCAAGGGACAAGAGATAAAATGGTCCGGCTAGACACTGTTGATCAAGTTATTGTGAAACGATGCGGGTGAGACACCTACGGCACTCTTTGAAGATGCTGATTTTGAATTTAGAACCCTCATAAAAAGGCAAAAGCTTCAAATTTCGTCGGTAGCTCATTGGCAGATGGTAAGCTGCCCAAGAGGCGTTGGGGACGAAAACCAATGATAAAGCTCGCTGCTGTTTGACGTAGATAATGACGTCGCACAAGCGTCCATATTAACTATATTTGACTTAGATTAGTTGTAGCCTTGCGTCTACCAAGCCCGCCACTCTCGGCATTCATTCGCTAGCGGTATGGGCGGGTTCTCACCGAGATATATATATTCCCCATATAGGATCCTGGATGCTTAGATGTCCATAATGACACAAGGAGGATGTTGGGGCTGACAGTGGATCTCGAACTTTGAGCTGCTTCTCATAGATATCTATGGAGATGACAACGAAATCAGCCAATCAGGACCAAGAGAAGTATTCCTGCAGCCGGCACTGGAAGCGGGAGGTATGCTCAAAGACTAATTAACGTGTAGGTAACATCTAAAATAAAATGCTATTGGAATTCTTACTCGAAAGGCTTGTGTCTGTTTACCCCCGACCAGTTTTGCGCGTGCCGTCATGGTAAAATACTGCAGATGTTCTCTGAAAATATTTTTTCTTTTTCATTTTTTTTGTTAGTGGAGGGAGCTCGGAGAGTTTGGCTCCCTCGCATCGAAGGATGACTCGATTCGACTCGATGATTGAGGACATCTGGACAGTTGCTGTTAACGTTTGCAACACTCAATTCGTTGCTGAAATGCTCAGCCACCATGGGGCATAGATCGCCGAAACGTGCTCGAAGCCAGTCTGGGACCTGTAAGCTGAAACTCAAAGCAGTGTACCTCATTTCAGGGTCCTGCGTCAATAAAGCGCAGCTCTCGCCTTTGATGTTGTGCACCAATTTGCGTCATTGCTTGAGATGAATTATTGGTGTAAAATGGATAATCGTCATTGTGACAACATCCTCGTCCACAACATTCACAGTGCTGCTGAATGTCTCCGTCTTCTGATGCATGGCACCGAAATGATTGTTTGTCAGATCGATCCGACTGCGAATTCATTCCCTTTGCGCGCTCGTTTCATGCAGTCAAAATTTTATATGGGCCCAGTCATCCCGAATATGGAATTGCAAATTTATTTTCAACCTCCATTTCTGGCGGCATGCAGGTGGTCAATTTCGTTTAACCCGTACGTCTGGATCTCCTTGACGTCTCCCCGGTGGATCGTTCCTTCCTCCGAACTGCTCATTTGGTTGGAAAGGCCAGCTCCCCGGAGGAGGTGGAGGCGGTAGATTAGGCGGTGCTGGAGGAATCGGTAAATTCTGGTATCCCTGAGGGGGGGGAGGAGGTGGCGGCGGCCATGGTCCAGTCCAATTTGGCGGACAGGGCGGTGGAACAGGGATTCTGCCGGGATCAAATGGCGACGGAGGAAATGGTAAACCAATGCTTGTCGACAGGAGCGGTGGTGGTGGCGGCCCGGGAGGGGTGTTGACGAAATGTTTCGGTGGGCTGATTCTTGGAGGTAGCCCTGACCGCGGAAGGCTCTTTTCGAGAGTGTAAGAGCGAGTTCTCGATGGTGATCGACTTCGACTTCGACTCGCACCCCATCGGCTACTGATTCTTCCATATCTACTCCGGGAAGCTGATCTGCTGTAGGATCGAGACGACCTGGAACTGGCGCTCGAGGACTCACTCTGACGCCTGCGTTTGTGATGTACCCGGGCGTGGCTGCGGCTGCGACTGCGGCTTGAACTCCTTGAACGAGTTCGTCTGGCCGAATCATGCTTGTCATCTCTCTCACGTTTCTTCATCTTCTCGCAGAACGATCTCGACCATCCGTAATAAGTGTCTCCAACTAAGTCTCCCGCCTCGTCATGACATGATGTTTGACCCATCTCGTCGATTTCCACAGGCGGTTCCTCTTCTTCGGGCTGTGGGATCGCATTCTCAATTCGCTCAACGTCCTTCAGGAAATCCTTCAGTGCATTGACGAGACTCTCGTCGGCTGGGCCGGCTGAAAATTGCAGAGCGCGTATTTCGTCGGGTCGCATCGGTTGTGAGCTGTTGGGGACAATATGATGCATGAGATTCCCCGCAGGTAAATCATAGAATGGCAGCGTCGGGTCTCCATGCGTCGCGGGTATCACGTAAGGAAGCTCGTTTAAATTGTTTTCAGATTTTGACGGTCCTTGCACCGAGAGCTCAGTCTTTGGCGTGATACCGTGTAATGAGTCGAGTATACGGGCGAGATCGTCTCGATCAAAGTATTTTTCCTCTTCCCATATCTTCACGAGTTGGTCAAGCCTCCTTGAGACTCTGAGTTTCGCTTCCGACGCGGTAAGCTGAAAAAGGTCGACTAAAAATGGTCGAAGAGATTGTGTCGAGTTGTTCTGGAGGTCCACGTCGGAGTTGTGACATTTGGCATGATGAAGAAGATCATTCAGAAGGTAGAGGATATGAAGTCGCCGGCGCGAGATGCTGGTTCTTACTGTGCCATCTGGCTGCGTTGCGAGATGTTTCGAGAGGGTGGTCAAATATTTTCCCAAGGCGCCGGTTCTCGCAGCAGAGATCATGACATTTTCCAAAAGCCACCGTTTGCATGTCTAAAACTCTTCAGTCAATCTAGCTCATGGGGTCTGTTTCATTCTGGCAGTCTCCAGACCTGTATGTTGTCACTCGAGCACCGTTCGAGCGCAGCTTCGAGGGCGCTGTGGAATTGGGGGATGTCATCACGAGAGACTTTGGTAACATCGGGTCGTAGGAGGGAAGCGGCAAATGCGGCTTTGGCAATTGAAATATGATGAGTAGCCATCGCGGTCACGTCGGAGATGGGATTCTGATGTAGGTGGTTGACGTCCACAAAGTGCTCTGCAGAGTTACGTGACCTTCAAGGTTGGTTTGGTGATTGACTGTGATCTTATCTTATCAGTCGCTTGTGTACATGTGGTTATGCGCATTTCAGCTTACAGTCGGGATAAAGTCAAATGCCGCTGTTGGCCGCGGGGCAAGGCGCAACCCTCTTTCGGCATGCATTCCGCGTATTTATCGAGCGGCCCGCCTCTTTTGCAATCTCCCGCCGTGGTATGACAAACCGTGGACAAAATAACCATGGTGGTATGCCACTCTCAGCCAGTGTTCACCCGTGAATTGGCGATCTCAGGCCACTGCATATAATTTTCTTATTCCTCCCCGCTGCCTGACAATACTGACCAAGCACGCAATCGACTGAGTCCTCCAGATCTTCTCGAGTTCTGATTCGAGTGACTCAGTCGCAACACTGCCTTTCGCGAACCGTTTCCCAACCGGGTTTCCCTTCCCCACCACCGAAGCACGTTGCACCAATCTTTTGGCCTGGAATTTCGATTACGAGATCGAGGACCTTGCGACTCTCGAGTATATAGGTTTCCTGATTTCCAACCCATCTTTCACCGATCGTTCTTCACTTCTACCGCCTACAGTCTTTCTTTACCTCCTCGAAGTCTGGCCTATATCTATAACCATGAGCCTCACAACCACTCTCACCAATTCCCTCACCCAGACAGCTGTTCGTCACTTCTCTGCCCAGGCACCCAAGCCAGCCACCAGGTTACAATCAGCCGTGGCAGGAACACTGATTACCTCGGCCGTCGTCCTACCTTTTGTGCCTCCTGCGATAGAATCAAAACGAGAAAGAGATTCAGGACACCCAAATGCCTCGAAAAAACACTACGCACCGCTGTGCTGCCACGCTTGATAGGAACGAAGACACGAAGATAGAGTAAACCAGCAATTTTCTTCTTGGGCGTTAGGGGGTCTCTGATGTGCATTGGAATGGTGGGTTGGAAACCTAGCATAATACCCACCTGAGAGGAATCGGAGCAAGAGATGTTTGGCCCAGCCTTCGACATTGAAGAGCTACGAGCCATGAATATACCCAACAGTCGAGTCTCTCCACCAACGATATAACACTTCCCGCAGAAGCCAAATGGCTCGTACAATTCCGTCGTTGACTCCAGCCTTTGAGCTTCCCTTGTTCAACTCAACCGGTCTCCTTTTTTACTTTTGAATGGTTCGGCTGCTTCATATTTGCTCTTCTCACGTACTCTTTGCTCTTGATCGACAGGTGCGTGGCCCACGGGTGCCACATCTTCGCTTATTTCACTGCTTGGGCTTCCCACATGATCGAAATCTTTCGAAGAATTTGTTTGTGATTTGGCTTTGGCTTTCGACTTCGTCGCTGAAGGTTCGTTGTATTCAGCAGCTTCCAGGCGCCGGAAACGAGACTGCTTTCGTTGCTCGGCCTCGTAGCGAGCAGCTCGGTCGGCATTTATGGATTTCTTTGCGAAGTAGTATGCGCCTCCACCAGCAACGCACAGAACGGCCCAGCCGTACCTGAAAAATTATTTCGTTAGCAAGTAGTCACACATACACCACGAATTCCCGTGTAGTTGACTCAGTTGTGGCTGACTGATATACCGTCTCGAGCTCCAATTGCAGGAAGAGATTGCACGGGGTGGGGTGAAGGGTAGGCATACCAAGTTGATTTAATCTGCGCATGTCGTCAGCAACAAAAAGGTCACGGAGAGATAGGACCAACGTACAGTATTCATTTTTATCAAAACTAGAAAGAAGTTGGTGTATGGGACAAAGTCCTGAAAAGAGCATGCGTCTTTTGGCCGTCCGCTAAAATCGGGATTCGGGGATCAATTCAGAGGCGTCTTTTCAGGTCATTCCGATGGTATCCGCCCGAGGCTGAAACAGGCAACGGGTGGAGGACCTTGCGTCTGGCTCAGCCATTGTGCCTTGGCCTCGACTCACCACACTTCTTTCCTTCGCGGATATATTCCCATCAATTAACATATCCTATTCAACCTCCCTAACCCTCGTTGTGCTCACTTCTTGGACTCCTCCTCTTGATGACGGCCCCCACGGCCATTCGCCATGTCGCTCAAGCGAAAAGCTCTCGAAGACGCCAGTGCACGATCATCCAAGCGATCAACTCCTGTTCCATCTACCCCCATCAGCCTTGATAGTGATGATGACTACGAGGGCTCTGACGCACGATCGCAAGATGCCAGTGACAGCGAGAAAGAACATATTCGCAAAGCCCGGGCGCGGCTGGATTTCAGTTCGTTTCAAGGCTCCAAGCAAAAATCCAAGCCCTCCATATTTGGCGAGAAAGATTTTTCATGGCTGTCATTGAAGCCTGATCACGAAAATCGACCTTTATGGATAGATCCGAATGTGTCAATGGGATCGAAGAAAGGCCCCAAAATCACCCTTGAGAGCTTCTCTCCCTTGGCTGCTCAAGCCACGGATCTGCTTACTACTATCGCAGAACCACAGTCGAGACCGTCATATCTCCATGAGTATAGATTTACGGAGCATAGTTTGTATGCGGCGCTATCGGTAGGTCTACGTGGTGAAGACATAATACGTGCTCTAGAAAAGTTGTCCAAAACCCCCGTTCCTCAAACCGTGATCGATTTCATCAACAGACACACCAAAACATACGGAAAGGTGCGATTGGTCTTGCGAAACAACAAATTTTACGTCGAATCCGACGAACGGCCCATCATCGACATGCTCTTGAGGGATCCAGTGATCGGACCTTGCAAAGCCGCCGGCACTGATGTACAAGTCGGAAGAATCCAAACCAAGGCCACGGTCATTCAGGGAACCAGCAATGCCAAGGGAATGAAACAAGCAGACCAAGGGCATGTTGAAATGCCTCGAGACGATCCGACAAGAGAGAATGAGGCCATGATCGCGGCGCTCAGAGATGAGGAAGACGAAGAAGACACCTTCAAGGAAGCACCCAACTTCGAGATAGCACCGAACAAACGGGACACGGTGGCCAAACAGTGCCTTGATATTGGATATCCCGCCATATCTGAATATGACTTTGCCGATGATCACGAAAATGCCACCCTGCCAATCGACTTGAGACCATCTACACAAATTCGACCCTACCAGGAGAAGGCACTTAGCAAGATGTTTGGCAACGGTCGAGGTAAGAGTGGTATTATAGTCTTGCCTTGTGGGGCCGGCAAAACTCTAGTGGGAATCACTGCCGGTTGTCATATCAAGAAAAGCATCGTGGTCCTGTGCACGAGCGCCATGTCCAGTTATCAGTGGGCCAATGAGTTTAAGAAATGGTCTGATATCAAGGAAGAAGACATTGCTGTATTCTCAGCCTCGGAAAAAAGAAGATTCAATGGAGGTGCCGGTGTGCTGGTCACTACCTACTCCATGATTACGGCCGGTGGCAAGCGAGCCTATGACACACAGCAGATGATGGACTGGGTGTATGGCAAAGAGTGGGGTTTAATGATCTTGGATGAGGTTCATGTGGTGCCGGCCAAGATGTTCAGAAAAGTGGGTGAGAACATTCGTGCCCACTGCAAGCTGGGTCTTACGGCCACATTGCTCCGTGAAGACGACAAAATCACCGATCTCAATTTCATTATTGGACCTAAACTCTACGAAGCCAACTGGATGGAACTCGCCGATCAAGGCCATATTGCCAAAGTTCAATGTGCCGAAGTATGGTGTCCAATGTCAATGGAATTTTATCAGGAATATCAAAAAGAAACGAGCCGGAAACAGGCACTTTACTACATCATGAACCCCGTCAAATACCAAGTCTGTCAATACCTCATCGATTATCACGAAAAGAGAGGCGACAAGATCATTGTCTTCAGTGACAATTTGTTTGCACTGCAACACTATGCCGTGTCGATGAAAAGACCATTTATTTATGGTGACACCAGCAATCAAGAACGTATCAACATTCTCGAAAACTTCCAACACAACGAATTAATCAACACCATCTTCCTATCGAAGATTGGCGACACGTCGCTCGACTTACCGGAAGCAACCTGCTTGATTCAGATCTCTTCGCACTATGGCTCTCGGCGTCAAGAAGCACAACGATTAGGGCGCATTCTAAGAGCCAAGCGGCGTAACGACGAGGGGTTTAATGCATTCTTCTATTCGCTGGTCTCGAAGGATACAACCGAAATGGCGTACAGTGCAAAACGACAAGCCTTCCTCGTTGATCAAGGGTATGCCTTCAAAACCATTACACATCTTGCCGGCATGACAGAAATGCCTGGCCTGGCATATACCACGGCTCGCGAGCGCAACGAGCTGCTTGCCCACGTTATGTTGCAACAGGAGACGGCGGCCGATGTTGAGAAGATTGACGATAACATGTGGAGTCATCTCAGTGGAGGCAGTCGTTCTGCAGCAGCGGCAAAGGCCAGAGCTAAGAAATTGCAGGTTCGCAGACAGGCCGTGCTGATGGCTGATGCGAGTGGTGGCGGAACCATGGCACCTATGTATAGGGAACAAGAACGTAAGAGCAAGAAAAGTCAAATGCCCGAGAGTGAATGGTTTAGAAGGGAAGCCAGGCGAAGAGAGCTGGCAGCAAAGAAGAGGAAGAAGGAGAGAATGGAGGCTGAGAAAGCCGCTGGAGGTGCATAGACTCATATGCCGGCCCCACTGCTGCATACAGGAAAAGCTTGCGCTCAAGGCAGCATCCGACACAGCACTCATGATTGGCCCAGGCATCAGAGTATTTCCAGCCCACGCCTTGTTCTTGTGAGTACTTGAACAGGGACTCTTCTTGGGGATAACAGAAGTTAGGTTTAAGCGTGGCTCAAAGATCAGACTCCTACTGCGAGACCGAGTGAACACCGTAGTTCTTTGCCCCAGGTTGCAGCATGAAGAGTTTTGGTTTGATTTGCGCTTTCACCAGAGCAGCAAGGAAGTTATCTAGTGGCAAGGAACTCACTCGATACAAGAAGGCATAGTCGGCTGTGACACTTTTGGATTTCAGTACTTTGGCCATTTCGTCCCACTCGTTGAGGAAATCCCGCGCGATCTGCTCTGCATTAGGATGGAATGTCAGGGGACTAAAGGGAGTCCGTCTGTCCAGGCCAAAGATCTTCTTTCATCGTTCTGGAACTGGGACGAGAACGAGAAGCATGTAGTATCCTGAGAGGTCGTTTGCACCGGTTACGATGGCAGTTAAACCTTTTTGTCTGAGGGATAGACTGGGAGACAGTGATCGATGCCTCGAGACTGAACTTGTTTGTGGGATGAGACATCTTGTCAGGTTTCCTAAACAGGATGGATGGAGTTATGGGAAGGGCGTGGAGGCATGACACGAAGATCTGTCAACGCTTGAGGTTATCATGCAAGGTACATCGAGCACGAAGATCCTCCGAGGAGAATCTTTCGTGGTTCACGGTACCTTCATTCGCTGGCTCATTGTGGCAGCGTCTAACAACCTAATCGCCAGGCTGAAGGCCCCTATCTCCGGGCAGGACCACGCTTAAGATGGATGTGAAACGATAGGAAACTGAGTCCCCAAAATTGCATGCGAAGCCAGATGGAGTCAAGTGAACATGGACTTTACAGCCTCGAAACTGCAAAGGCCCAAGGAACGTGTCAAGCTTCAGTTCTGGTTTGCCCGGATATACTGCCACTTAACACCGATAACCACCGGTTGAGCTGGATATCCAAGCGCGAAGTTAAATTGTTCTATGCAAGGTACAGAAGAAAACATATAAGAGCAAGTTGAGCTTCACTTTCTCTCCCTGCAGCACGTCTAGGCGAACGTTTAAGAACTTTATTCATTCCCAACACGATTAAGTCCAGCAAAATGTCCACCCCGGCTGCGCCTCTCCCCAAGTCCGTCCTAGGACGACATCGTCTGCTGTCTCTGACGGCGGGCGTCCACGTCAGCCCGTTGTGTCTGGGGGGAATGAACTTTGGCAACGCATGGACGAAAGTGATGGGCGAATGCAGCAAAGAAACGGCATTTGAGATCCTGGATTACTTCTACGAGATGGGCGGGAACTTCATAGATACGTAAGTCATGTCTCCCTTTGCTAATAGAAATTGCCAGCTCTTTTGCGGTGGCTTTTCTCCTTTGACATGACCGCCGTGATTAACATTTCAATCTCAGCGCCAACAATTACCAAGCCGAAGAATCCGAAATTTGGATTGGCGAATGGATGGCGCAGAACCCATACCGACGGGATGAAATGGTCGTTGCCACGAAATACACATCTGGATACAAAGTCTTGTCCGAGCCGAAACTACAACAATCCAATTTTGGAGCCATGAGCACCAAGTCCCTCACAATGAGTGTCGAAGCCTCCCTGAAGAAACTCCAGACCACCTATATTGACATTTTGTACGTCCATTACTGGGACTTCACCACAGGAGTGGAGGAAGTCATGCAGAGCCTGAACCATCTTGTCGCGCAGGGTAAGGTCCTGTACCTAGGCGTCAGCGACACTCCGGCGTGGATGGTCGTCAAAGCAAACGCATATGCCCGGCGCCACGGCCTACGACCCTTTAGCGTATACCAGGGCCGCTGGTCAGCAGCGGAGCGTGACTTCGAGCGCGACATCATCCCCATGTGCCGCGACGAGGGCATGGGGCTGGCACCCTGGGGCGTCCTGGGCGGAGGGTACTTCAAGCCTTCAACAGCCATACAGGCCGAAGCAGGCGGCCGCAATATGCCTACCGTACGCACGGGCAAGGAGGCCGAAGTCAGCGCCGCGCTCGAGAAGATTGCTAACACCCGCTCTCCGCCTGTCCCACTGACCTCGATCGCCCTCGCGTACGTGATGCACAAGACCCCCTATGTCACACCCATCATCGGCGGCCGCAAGCTTTCGCATCTGAAATCCAATATTGAAGCACTCATGATCCGCTTGTCACAGGAAGAGATTGACCAAATTGAGTCGGCGTACCCATTCGACGTGGGATTTCCTATGAACTTCCTCGCCGCGAATCCTAAGGGTGCGAGAGGGCCGGAGGACATCACGATCACGAGGCGTATGGGGCATTTTGATTTCGTCAAGGGTCCCGAGCCAATTCTACCGCCGTTGGGCATTGAGAAGATGAGTGAGGAAGCAAAGGCCAAGGCGCTGGGGTATAGATTGTCTTGAACCTGGCCTTCTTCTTTTTGCGAGAAATGGGGAGTAGGGAGCGTTGTAACCAGTACAAGGTCAAAGCTCGGCTCACGATAGATAGAGGGGCGGAAAAAAAAAGAAACCTCACAAAATGCCTATCCGCAATTCATTGTTGTCCGCTGCATCACTAGTTCCTTTTCTGAGGGAGACGGGGATTTGGGATTTGGTTTTTGGACCTGCTTAGTATTCATAGCAGACCAAGACAGGCATTATCTGTTCTTGGTTGGGACGTGTTTTTGCCGTCTACTTTGCTCATCCGCTCAATGGCATCTGTGAGTGTACGCGGAAATCGGACAAGTATTTCGCTTAATGCTCAGGATGATGACGGTGGAAGAACATGTGCTTGCGCGACCTCTGATCGATGAGTGTCCCTGCAAGTACTAGGCTATTGTGGGCTCAGAACATCTGCAGACATTTGACTACCCAGACAGACATGGTCAGAGCAGCTGTTGTCCCTGTAAACACAATGAGCGGCCCGAAGATACCAGAATATTCCTTCCACATTGCGCCGTTTTGTAATAACGCTTCGCTGACAGGCCCGCAGACAACGTTGCCAATTCCTCTCCCCACGCCCAAGAGACCGAAAATGCTTCCCATGTCTGCTCTTCCAGTACAGCCACCAGGAGCCACACGGCGGAGTTCCTGTGCCGTACCTACATAAATGGCTGTGAATCCGCCCGCGAAGAAACCGTAAAAAAGGGCGAAAGCTATTAGAAGCCCAGTTGAAGCGGACGAAAGACCCCAGAGAAGGAAGATAGCTAGTGTCGACCCGAGAGATGAGATGAAGATGATGGTATAGACGGAGATTCTATCCGACATCAATGATAGAAACATTACTCTAGGCACTGATGCGGTGTTGAGCAGGGAGACGGATAGCGAACCAATGCTGGACTGGTACAGGCGGGCGTATGCTATGACGATGTTAGAAGCCGGTAAATTTTGATGCACAAAGACTCAAATACCCCAGACCTTGAATGGTGTTTCCCAACTGGATTGCCCAGAACGCCCTTGTTTGGACAAAGCCAAATCCTAACAGGATGGTCCGTGCCGACACATGATGAGATCTCGATAACGGGAGACGTGGTTTGACAAAGTATAGGAACGGACTGATCAAGAGCAGCTGTCAATGGCATCAGAATCTGCTGCCTCCCCAAAGGTAGCAAGATAGCAACACACCAGCGCAATTGCCCATCCTCTCAACAAGGTTTCCGCGCCATATTGACCAAGTCCCCAATGCAGGATGAGAGGGCCAGCTAGGCCTCCAGCTCCACTACCTCCCCACATGACCCCGAATGCGAGACCTTTCCGGCGGACGAACCATTCATCGATAAAGTTGAAAATCGGATAGTACAGAAGGCATCCTCCTGTGGCATAACGTATTCCTTGAGTCAGGATAAGATGCCAGACCCGGTGGCGAAGCTGGAGAGAACAATGGCTACAACAATAGTCGGAAGACCCAGAAAGGGGGCTGTTCGGCCAAACCTGGGCCATCGTTGGAAGGTGGTAAATACTATTGGAGCCCCAAGGTACATGGTTCCCTAAATAGCTTGGAGTCAGTCCGACAAGATATCAACCATTGATAGAAATCGGATACTGAGCAGGTAGTGCCCACGGCAGAAACACCGTTTGTTTGACGAGATATTGGCAAATGGGTCGAATAGTAGTCTTGAAGCACAGTAAAGGAAAATGGGAAGCCTGGTTGATGGAGAGTTAGCAGATCAGTGGTACTCCCAACCATCCCCCTGCTCCCCCCAGAGAAGCATTTCGATGATGAAACAACCGGCGAGGAAAAGCCACGCTTTCATCCCACCATCGACTGGAGGTAATAATGACGTAGACCGCATCTCAGTCTCAGTCTCATCCTCTTGTTTCCTGACCCGGGCATTCATTTCTCAAGGTCTTCTATTTAGAATGCTTCTGCCGGGTTTGACAGGATTAGGAACCGGGATCCGAGCTGCCCGCACTCTGCGTTTGACCCACCGGCTGAATTTGAGAAACTATCCTTATGCTGTGAAGTTGTGAGCATCTTGAGGCCTGGGAAGCTCGGCTAAGTGAAATACGGTCCATTCGACTTTGTTCATTAGACGGACCGTGGGTTATCGAAAAATGAAGGAAATAAAAGGAGGTGTATTTCGTTGGAGTAAAGAAACAATGGCGCTGTTAATTTCTCCGTAGCAATCACTGGCTCGTGATCCTGGGCCAGGACTCATTGACACGATCAGCAGCTTGAGTTCGTCCAGGCCCCATCTACCATTTGCTTTCCCCCGTCCGCTCCCCCTTCGCTCCTCCCAGCGGTAGAGTTGCTGAAGGGAGAGAAAGTGGACATTTCAGCCCCGGAGTCAAAAGACAGGAGGAGGAAAACCACATTTATCATAGTTGGTTGATCCATTCACATGGCTGATTCCAACCAACTTCCTGGACCAAAGTGTTCCTCATCAAACATTTCTACGTCTTTGGTGATCAGAGCGACGGTTGCCGGCTTGGGGCTTGCTAATTAGTCTTTAAACGTCGAGCTACCAAACACGAATTTCGCTCCTTTTGATCTACTTGGCTTTAGCTTGCTAGGCGAGTCTTTGAGAATTGGCACTCCTAACCGGGAACTTCTTCGCTTCTGCCTCGAGCATTCCATGAAGCGATCTGCCACGCTGCGGATGACATAGTTCCGCTCGGTAGAAAAGCAGACTTGACCATGATGGTTGTATGCTAAACTTCGTCATTAGGGATACCAAGCTTTACCAATAATCATATCCGAAAATTTGGTCCCACTTTACCCCCGAAAACACACTTCACCGCGGCATCTTCCAAATTGGCATCTCCAAGCCGTTCGACGTATTTACCAGCAAGGGAGCCAATTATTCGACTGACCGCTCTGGACCCCCTGAACTCCACTTTGAGTATCGTAGGATATGATATCAATGCCTCCCTGACTGCAGGAGCATCCTTTCGAGCAGTTTGCACGATGGGGGTGGCACTTATGCGTGCTTCTGCATCGAACAAGGCTTGCACAATCACATGGAGCTGATACTCGATGAGAGCTCGCGGAAAAGTGAAGCTGCGACTGTCACGTTCGGCTGCGCCCAGAATTCTGCAGCATTCGTCTCATCCACCACGGCTGAGACTCATGCGTCTCTTCTTTCCAAGATTATATCGGCAGCCTTGAGAAGGAATCTCGCGCCGTGCAGTTCCAGGGATCCACTTCCACGTCCGAATGGCTTCGAGCGCCGAATTGCAAGCTTTCGGAGCCATGGCAACATTGGCTGAGACGGCATGAGGGAACTATCTTATCGTTGGGCTTTGCACAACAAACGGGGATTGTCTTCAGTTCTGACAACACGACGCTTTCCGCCGTTAATTCACAAAGGGATCAATCTTCCATTCGGCGTGGTCACGGTCGCCGGCATTTTTGTTTCAGGTGGGAGAAAACTGACTGTCGAGAGGTCGTTGCTGACAATCAGCTAGAGTCATCTTTGATGCTCCAGACGCACCGCTCATTTATATCGAATGGTCAAGGGCCGTCCAATTCCAGCTCTGGTGTTTGGGTGTGGATTCCCCCGACAACTCTTCCCTTGACATAATAATCTGTACGACACGACCCGAACGCTCCTCAGGAATGGTTTGGGTTAAACCCCGGTTCGGCAAGCAACCTTCTTTCGATCTCTCATCTCATAACATCCCGTCTTGTTTGCGGATTTAGGTTACCGAATATCAGAAATTCTGAAGGCCTGAGACGTCAAGGCCAGTTTCAAGCACTGTGATGCTGGCCCAAACCGATAATATTATATCCGTCAGCGTTGAAACCACCTGCATATTGAGATAAGTCGATAGCAGCCACCGACAATGATCCCGATTTGTTGATGGTGCTCCTTAGATGGGGGCCATTTTCTCTCTACGGGGAGAGGAGGCTTGATGTACAGTAAATCCCTCAAAAAGATTAGCGGCTTGGGCTAAAATATTACAAGATCCGTGTCACGACTCGCGCATCGACTTAGCTGATTTATCTCCAAATCACTGGACAATTTTCACCCAAATGCAGCACATGGGTGTACAGGCGATGCGGTAACCGGTGAGCGCTTGACGCCCTGTATTGTGGTAAGCCGGGCGCCTACCGTGATCAAGTCGTTTGCCCGTAGCAGAGCTTGGCAGCAAATCTGAGACAATTCTCGCAACGACACACGGGCTCGGAAAACAATCCTGGGCTAATTGGATTAGAACCTGCATGTTCTCAGACCGGTCTCTTGGATTGTGAATAAACATGCAAGCGGCGGCCGGACGGGAGGCTTGTAGCCTTACTAAATGGATTGGTATTTAGAGCCAGCAACATGCATCTCGCAATCCCATCCAGAGCACGTCTTGCGGGAAAATTTTCCTGTCGATCATATCCTTTGCCTTGCCTCTTGTCCCTTGACTGGGTCTACTTTGAAAATGGGTTTTGGCTTTGGCGTGGGCGACTTCGTCGCGGTGTACGAGCTTGCCCGCAGAATTTGCAAGCATTTGATCGCTGCTCCCAGCCAATTCAGGGATATATCTGATGAGTGTGTATTCTGCAAGCCCTTAGTCGATCGGTTGTTGACAAGTTTCTGTCAGGGTCAAAAGCCTCGCTTGCGTTCTGAAAGACATCGAAGCCTACTTGGAGTGGCAACTGAGTGATGAACAAAAAAAGGAGCTGCGTGAAATACTGATCGGCTGCCGTAATGTCCTTTCTAGGGCAGAAACGAGGCTGCAGTATTTCGCAGATTTAGATTCGACAACACATGAAAGTGAATATTTGATGAGGAAAGCACGGAAGAAGCTGCGGAGGACATGGAAGAGATCTCGATGGGATCCTGCTGAGATGCAAGATTATCGGGATAGAATCGTCTCCAACCTGACTATGTTAAAAGTATTCCAGGACAAAATCGCTTGGTAAGCTTCTCCTCTCCTCAATGTCAGAGGCTGATATAATGAAGTGGGCAACAGCACAAATCTCACGGGAAAGCAATTCTCGATTGGGTCGGCTCGACAGACTACGTCTTGCAGCATGCCAACTATTCCGGGAAGCGGACCGCTGGGACTGGTGAATGGTTGTTTGAATGCAACGAATTCCAGTCATGGTTATCAGGAAAAGGGAGAGGACTACTTTGCTACGGAATCCCCGGCGCGGGGAAGTCAATTCTCTCGTCTCTGGTTGTTGACTATCTTAATCAAAAATATCCGGAGGAGCCGAGCGTTGGGATCGCCTATCTGTACTGCGACTACATGAGACAGCATGAGCAAAACTATGGCAATCTGGTGGCAGGCCTCCTGAGACAGCTGTCACAGGTACCCCCGGTCATTCCTATCCACGTGAAACGTCTTTATGATCGACATGAAATGCGACAATCGCACCCTTCTGTGGATGAACTCTCCAACGCACTAGAAGTGGTCGTGGCACAGTTTGACCGAGTTTTTGTGATCATCGACGCTTTGGATGAATGCCACGAAATTGCTCGTGCGAGTTTGGTGGCTAGACTTTCTAGCCTTCAAACTAGGTGCGGAGTATGCTTTCTAGTTACCTCTCGATGCTCCGACGCTCTGGCAGGATTGGAAAGATACGAGCGACTGGAAATTCGCGCCAAAACGGCAGATATATGCGCCTATTTGCAGGAGTCTGTGACATTGCTTCCGGACTTTGTTACAGGCGATACGAATCTGCTGGAAGACGTAAAGACGCAAGTCTCAAATGCAGCAGACGGCATGTACGTTACCACTTCATTGCTGTGTGAGTGGCTCTAATTGCTGGCTAGGTTCTTACTCGCAAGTTTCCATCTCAAATCCTTAATCAAGGCACGGTCGCCGAAAGCGGTAGAAAGTATATTGAAGGGGCTTCCAAAGGGATCGAATGCACATAACATGGAATATGACAAGGTCATGGAAAAGATCAAAGGACAAGCATCAGAACGACGCGCTAGGGACGTGCTAGCCTTGATCACCTTCGCGAAGAGGCCATTATCTGTCTTTGAGCTTCAACACGCCCTTGCCGTGGAGGTTGGCACATCGAAACTTGACCCCAGAAATTCAAGGGATACCAAAGACATTATTTCCGCTTGTGCCGGTTTGGTGTCTGCGGAGGGAGGGGTTGTGCGTCTCTTCCATTACACGACACAGGAGTATTTACAGCAACGAAATTGGTTTCCGGACGCAGAAAAATCCCTAGGCAAAATCTGTGTAGCCTATCTATCTTTTGGGGTCTTCGAAAATGGCCGCTGCCGCACCGACGAAGATTTTGAGAAGAGGTTGAATGCGTATCCTTTCTATGATTATGCGGCAAGAAATTGGGGATTGCATGTTCGGACAGCTTCAATTGAAGACGACGAAATGCTGCTTAGCCTCCTTCAAAACGAAAATAAAGTCCTTGCCTGCAGTCAGGCCATGCTAGTTCGGAAAGGATACACGTGGCGAGGATATAGCCAACGAGTCCCTGGCAATGTTACCGGGTTGCATCTGGCAGCATATTTCGGGCTTAGTATTGCAATGAGGGCACTATTAGCACAAGGAGCGTCCTTGACATCCACAGACGCCCACGGCCGAACACCGCTCTCATGGGCAGCTGAGAATGGGAACGAGGCCGTCGTCAAGCTGTTGGCTGATTCAGGAGGAGTCGATCTTGATTGTGCAGATCACCTTGGCCGTACTGCGATTTCGTGGGCAGCCATGAATGGCCACGAAACTGTCGTCGACATTCTGCTCAAAACGGGGACTGTCGACGTCGATTCGAAAGATGCGGATGGTCGAACAGCGCTCTCATGGGCTGCTGGCAACGGTCACACGGTGGTTGTTCAGTCACTCCTCAACACCGGCTCGGTTGATCCCGATTCGACAGATGATGCTGGCCGGACACCGGCGTCTTGGGCAGCTGAAGGCGGATTTGAGGCTATTCTAAAGCAGCTTCTTGATACGGGGAAACTCCAAGTCGACAGAATGGATCATGATGGCCGAACTTTACTGTCACGAGCTGCTGAGAGTGGCCGCGATGGCATGGTCCAATTGCTTCTCGGTACAGGAGCAGTCGAAGCTGACTCCAGAGACAAGGATGGCCGAACGCCCATCTCTTGGGCCGCCATGAATGGCCACGAAACTGTCATCAACCTTTTGCTCCAAACGGGGGTTGTCGACGTCGATTCGAAAGATGAAGATGGTCGAACAGCGCTTTCATGGGCTGCCGGTAATGGTCATACGGCCGTGATCCAGCAGCTTCTCAACACGGGCGACGTCGAAATCGATTCCTCCGACAATCTAGGCCACACTTCTCTGTTATGGGGGGCCGAGAATGGTCACAAGAACGTCGTGGAACAGTTGCTCAAGACCGGGAAAGCTAACATAGCCATGGCAGACATAAAGGGCCGGACTGCATTTTTGTGGGCTGCTCGGAATGGCCACGTAGCTGTAGTTAAGTTCTTGCTCGAAACAGGAACATGCGATGTCGATTTAGAAGACGCAAATGGTCGAACCGCGTTCTCATGGGCCGCGGGCGATGGCCATGTCGCGATTGTCGAGCTCCTCCTCGATGCGGGCGGAGTGGACACGGATTCGACAGATCACCGCCGCAGGACCCCTCTCTCCTGGGCAGCTGAAAATGGGCATGCTGCCATTGTGCAACTGTTACTCCAACGCGGGCAAGTCCACCCCGATTCAAAGGACAAGGACCGGCGGACCCCTCTCTCGTGGGCTGCTGAATATGGGCAAACGGGCATTGTTGGGTTGTTGCTTGGAACAGGGAGAGTTGATGTATGCTCCAGAGATCGGAAGGGCCAAACGCCGCTCTTACTGGCAGCTGCGGGTGGCTACGAAGTGGTAGTGAGACAATTGATCGGTGCATGGAAAGCAGGGGCCAATGTAACAGACTACCGAGGCCGGACACCACTTTCATGTGCCAAAGAACGTGGACATGACAAGATCGTGGAGCTTCTCGAGAGGCCTGAGTTTGGTACACAGCTGTAGAAGACAATCACTTATGGGAAAATCTAGAGGTAATAAACGGGTTATTCACTCCGCACTCTGGATGCCCAAGACTTTTTCAAAGCCGTGTGCAATAATTCCGACCAGCCCATCTTTTGGTACGTAGAGGGTTCCATCGTATGTCAGACAAGCGAGACTCAAACAGTCTTGTTCCATCCAGTCATGAGGCAAGAATGTTGAATATTCGGAAAGTCCTCCCTCGGGGTCGAAGGTGCAAAACCACCCGGCTTTGTCGAGAAAAGCGAGAACATCCTTGGATCGTGGCGCTTCTGTGTCTCCTTTGCCCGATCCCTTTATGAATCCAAGAGGTCGACTGATTCTATCCAAGATCATTCTAGGATACCTCGTCACGACGACTTGCTCTTGACGAGCTCGGCAAGCAGCATCGACAGCCCCCACGTCAACGAAGAACAAATCAAGATCCCTCCCGTCCGTCAGCGAGGTTTGCATGAGTATCCTTGACCCATCGCTTGAAGTAAACGTTCTAGCAGGTCGACATGGCGCGGTTTCCTGAGTTGGAGGCTCGACGAAGCTGGTTTTGTTCGTTCTAAGGGCTTGAGAATTCTCAGGAAAGCAGAAGGTGAGGTGTGTCACAGGCTCCAAAGTATCCCATTTTAACAGGTGAATACCTTTAGAATGAAGTCCAAGAAGTAGGTCGGGTTGATGGGGGTGATTCAACCACCAGTAAGATTCCGCAAAACTGACACTGGAAGAAGGTGGGGACGGCTGTTTGAAGGACCAGGAGCGGAGAGAGTGTGAAGAGGCAATCAAGATAGAATCCTTGGTCTCGTGAAACAGGATTTGGCAGGCAGATTCGACCAACTGCGTCTGGAAACTGGCTGACCAGTGCAAATCATGGCGAGCGATTTTGTGAACATGTAACTGGTCCATATCATCCGTAAATCCGAGATACTCCCCACTCCGGCTCCAAACCGCATGCTGGATGGTGACCGAGTACGGGGGATAATGTGTGAGCAGCTCGTTTCCGTTAGCTTCAAATATCTTCAAGCCTCCGCGGGAATGGGCAGTGCAGAACATGGCGCTGGGGTTGGCGACTGCGAGGACTTCTACCGGGGCACGTGGCTCAGCGAATGAACACGTTCTTGATGACATGACTTCCTGGGAGGTGTCAAGATGTGTCTCAGCAGCGTGCCTCTGGTCATCATGAAGAGGTGAGTCCAGGGGGAAGCTAAGGTTCAAAACGTCACAAGAGTTCCCCCGAAGTGCATAAATATTGCGTCCGTAAGGACAGAGAGCCAAGCCGTTCAGGGAATTGTAGTATTTCAAAACATATACCCTGGCAAGGTCGGTTATCTTCCAGACGGCCAAGACGCCATCATCGTGTGAAGTGACGAAAAATCTCCTTGTGGGGCTGCAGCGAATTTCTCTGGGACGTTCGTTGCATATGTGACGCTCGACCTGGCGGTCGGGATCCCACATGCGGGCGGAGCCTCCACTGATGGAAAGAACATGATATGGGGTTGGAGTCCAGTCAATCTGCTGCACGGGATCTTGTGCTCTTTCTTGACCAGGTTTACCGGACCGCGACCGGGGCCCATGTAGACCACCGCTTGACACATCCCACACGGACATAGGGCAGTTGTGATACGCGACCGCGAGCATCGTGGCGCTTTGATTGAATGCAGCGAAGCTGGGAGCGCTGCTATTTCCGTCGTGACCCACGGCAAGAACGGACCCGAGGCAGCGACTGCTGGCTGCGAAATCGTCCAACGGGTATCGCCACACGCTGCCGTCCCGGAAACAGGCCAACACTGCATCGTCACCTCCATCAAACGCCATATCGAGCATAGGAGCAGCGGCTGGGGCAGTAAAATTCCAGCGTCGAAGCCAGATATCGATCTGCCAGACGCTGATGGTTCGAATACTAGCAAGGGCCAGCATATGACCTGAGTTGCTAAATCGCATCCGATTCACTCTCCCTTCGTGGTCGATGATCCTCATCTCACACGGATTCGCAGTTGAGACTAGTTGGACCCTGCTCTTTCCAGAGGAGGACACGGCAACGTATTGATTCGTGCAAATAACCCTTGACGGATTATCGACGGGAATCCTTGCCAGCGTGTCGTCCCAGACTTCGTTTGGAACGCCTTTCACGGTGATTCGTGATGACGTGCTTGGACCCGCGAGCTGCTTCCGTACCAACGACACCGCGGGGCAGAATTGCGGCACCACTTCGTAGAGGGCCCGAGGCTGCCTCAGTAAATGGGATCCAAATCTCCCGAGGATCCTGACTAGCTCAGTGGCCCAGGGCCGCAATATACTGTCCACATGGTGTTTTGGTGACACCATATATCTTCGCCGGTGCACAGCGGTCAAAGTGGCTGATGCGTCCATAAGGAGATTTAGTTGGTTAGATCTCGCAAGCATGTACATCCACCAAATCACCCCAGGACCGTCAAGGAAGTGCCCCAGCAGTGACAGCAACTTGCCGTCTCGATGCGCTGCGGAGCGGGAAAGATGGTATTCCCAGGACGTAATGGCATATTCGGTCCATGGGTCTGTCTGCGAGAGGCCGTCGGGAATACCGGTGCCTATTCTAGTCATAGCCTTTAGGGTGACCGCGAGAAGAATCCCGTGGCCCTCGAGGGGCTCGTGGCACAGGCTATGGTCGTCTGTGTCGGTCAGGAATTCCCAAGCGGTTCGGTGTCTTATTGTGACACGAGACTGCCCATCGACGTGGAGCAGCGCTCCATAATGTTCGAGCAGATCACGCTGGTCAAGATCGCTGGACCCATAAGACGAAGTAGCCTCGTGAAGTTGCTCGACCGTAAGAGGAGACCTGGCGTACGCAACTAACGTCAAGATGCCTTTCGCACGGTTTTCTTCACCGATTCCCCAGGCAGCTCTCATATCGGACACAATCTCCACCCAGTATCGTTTGGGATCCAGCTGGCTCATCTTTACGTCGCCCACCGTGGGCGGCCTATTACCGTGGCGGAGAACTTCTCGAATGACTCTGTCAGCCTCAAGGTAGTTTCCTTGTGCGTTGTATACAGCCTGGTCTATCAGGTGTGTGGGGATCTCCTTCAGCTTCGCCCTTATCAAAGATCGGGTAGCTTCTCTTTTTGCATCTTTCTGCTCCATGTTCAGCCGTATAGGGGCCCCTAGTTGGTCGCATGTGCGGGGTAGAGTTGACGTCGTTCGACTAGTGATCAGGACCCGAAGAGGAATGGACGACAGGGATGGGTGAGTTAATCCCGAAAGAAAGATCTCCCCAGAGTCGCACATATCCAGGCCATCAATGATCCAGTATATTGGAAATTCACGATCAGGCAGTAAGTTTGACAGTTCGTTGGCAAATAGCTTGTTCCAGATTAAGTCTTCTGTGTCGTAGCTAAGGCTGTAGCCACCAGTGGCATGTGCCACCATATAGCTACGAAATAGCTCAATTTCTTCAGCCATTTGAAATGCAAGGGACCCGAGGAGTGAAACAATTGATTGCTTTGATTGAACATCATGTCGGAAGAAGAAAAAGTGGCAGGCCATATCCTCGTCCTTCAGGCGTCGCACGATATATGAAGCCAGGACCGACTTGCCAGATCCAGGAAGCCCGGACAGGAACAATATGCGTGGGTGCGGCGAAAGGTCTTCTACCCAGTCGAGATACTGCGGGTCCGACTCGATCCATTCGGTTGTTCCGGGACTACATTGATTGTAGAAGAACGCAAGATCGTCGTATGGAGCGTCATTCACACCGAGGAATCTGTGGAGCAGGTTGGTCTTTTCTTTTGAGTCTAAACTCCAGACGCGGCGTTTGAACGGACCCAGCCAGTGTAGAAAGAGCTGCAACTGTCGCGAAACTTTGGTGAACCCTGGGTCATTGGGGTCTGAATACCGCGCAATGTTGTCGTGGTCTGCGTCAATAGATTCCACTATCTCTCTAGGGAAGCCCAAGTGTGACGACGTTTTGTCGACGATAAATCCATTCTTTGTCGGTAGTCCTTCGGAGAATGATGCAATATGCAGTCCGTCCCCCTCGGTTCGAACAAACCGGCCGTTAATATTGTCGAGCGCCCACGACATCTGCTCAAAGGTAGGTTCCGCCTGCCACCGGCCCTGCTCCTGACTCCACGCAAGTGAGAGCCGTACCGCAGCAGCCTTGTGGGGGGTTGCCAAGAACAGAACGGCACAAGTTGATCGTGGGTCGCTTCTGGTATCAAAGAGGTAAGCCTGTCTTCACTTAGATTCCAGCCGCGTTGAAGGTGTTTAAAGACACCCGGACCTGTTTAACCATGATACCGCCTGTCGAGTGGGCCACGAAGACAACAGGGATCTGCATTTCAGGAGAGGTTTTCTGCGTGGACTGATCAGCCCAGTAGTTTAAATGCCGGATGGTGCCACTCACATTCTTTGCCAGTCTATCCCATAAACGCCTCACAAATCGGTCAATTGCGACATGAGGCTGTTGCAGGAGGTTGTGATTAAAATCTGCCGCACGGTATCCCATCAGCCAGACTCGTGCCATCCGAAGCGGGCCTTTATCACGCAACCAGTCGGGCCAGAAAGATGGCTGTGGACCCTCTTTCGTCCATGTGTCCGTACTTGTCCAACCTAAACCGTGGACGAGAACGATGTCGAGGTATGGCAGGATGCCCTTGGGCTCGTAAATAAGTTTCATTAAACCCAAGCTGTCTTCATCTCTGTGTGAGCTAGGGCTGCACGCCATCTCGTCAGAGGGTGCCGCTGGAAGCACGACGCTGAATCATCCACGTTGTGAAACACCTGTGTGTCTTGATAGAGTCCGCGGCGAAGGCGTCGACGCGACGGATGGACCAAAGTGTAGGGCGATAAAAGAATACAAGACGACGGGGAGAAAAAGATCACGTCTGTCTGGTTGTATGCACTTTGCCGCCTGCGAAGATGTGACGAGATACGAGCGTCCTGCAGGTTTTCCCCCCACTTTCGGCGAAATCGTCCAACCAGGAGTCCAGCATATAAGACGGACCAACAGATAGACCTACACGGATTAAGGTTAGCCGGAACATGCCTAACTTCACGTCAACAACGTCGTTTCGAAAGCGACCAACTTAATGAAGAAAGTCTTTTCTTTCTCTCCCACGTCTTCGGAGATATTACGACCAGATTTATGGAGCAATACCAACGCCTTCTCGAGTCAAGCAATGACTTGTGGAGCACGCTACCTCCCGGGACCGAGGTTACGGAAGCCACCCCATATGGATCTGGATGGATGAAGACCACGCGCCTAAGGGTGAGATTACCGGACATGACAAGCAAATACTATTTTATAAAGGTGATATGAGGGTTAATTCCAAATTCATGATATATTTGACTAATGATGTTGTAGGAGCCGATGACAGAAACTGGCAAACTCACCCTTGATGGCCAACTATTAGGGATGGCTATAATGTACGATCTGTCACCTGGAATAGTCCCACGAGTTTGGAGGAGGGAAAACAGAGAGAGAGAGCAGGAGAGAGAGAGAGCAGGAGAGAGAGAGAGCAGGAGAGAGAGAGAGCAGGAGAGAGAGAG